CCTCTGAGAGAGAAGGTGGGGGGGGGCAGTCAGAACCAGCTGAACTTCTGGGGAAGTGGAGCCCACCTCAGGGTAGGGACACTGCTTGTGGTTAGGCCATGACCCTGAAGCCAGATTGCAAGATTGCTGTGTGATCCAAGTCTTGGTGAGCCAGGCCAGCAGGATGGTATGAATGAGCACTTTGCTTACTGTGGTGGAGCAAAGGTATGTCCCAGATCACTGAAGCTGGAGCTTCAGTGGGTGACTTTGTGTCCACTGGGTAGGATGAGAAGCACCTGTCTTTCTGTGCCAGATGCCCTGCCATGGGTCATTCATTATGGTGCATTGTTCCACACCTTCCTTGGTATCCAGTCAAGAAAGGATGGACAGAGGAAGCCCCCATGCTCTGGCCATGCTGAGCTCTGAGGACATGAGCCTCCATAAGTTCTGATCCAGCTCCTCCAACCTAAATTTTAAAGTTAAACTTGTGGCCACAAGCCACATGTAGCACCAGGCCACAAGAATCTGTCCGAGACCTCTAAGCACCTAGGTCCTCAGTAACTGTAGGTGTTTGTTTGGTTCCGGGGATCGAACTCACAATTGTGCACTTGTATGCTGCTGAGCTTAAGTCTCCAGCCCCGTAACTGTGTTTTGATAGGCACCCTGGCTTCTAGGGGCCTCGAGTTAAAGGGGAGACTGGGAGGCCCAATCAAGGGCTGTGGGGAGTAGCTGTGGAGTCAGGGCTGAGGGAGCCGGCCTCAGAGCCAGAGATGAGGACCTGACATGTGTCACAGTGCAGAGCAGTACAGGGAAAGAGGGATGCATACAAGAAGAGGGGCATGATGTAGGCATACTGCCCAAGATGTCTTCACCCACATGTGATTATGATGCCTAGTAGGTCCAGATACTTGGCCAGGTGAGCCAATAGATGTGCCAGTGCTTTCTGCCTCAGGGCTATGGCCAGCAAGTAAGAACCTCAGGATCAGCTAGGCTGGGAGGGGGACAGCCCTGATGACCTCTACACAGGGGCCAGGGGCTTAGGGCTTGAGCCTGGGCTGGCTGTTTACTCCCCAGCACTGTCTCTCTTTATCCCTTGGGCATTAGAAGTGTCACTTGTAAGCTGGTGAAGGCTGCCTGGTCCTGGTGCATTTTTCTACCTCTAGAACCATCAGTATGACACCAGATGTGCCACAGGGCAGCTACAAATGACTGGCATTGTCCTCAGAGAACAAGTAAACTGTGGCTCGTATCTGCAGTGCCCTTTTTGGCCTTTCTGGGTTCTGGCCAGCACTTAGGCAGTGAGTCCTGCCTGCTAAACTTTTTCTGGGCAAGCAGAAAAATACTTTCTAAAATTCAGGTTTGAATTCTGTGACTGTTTTCATTTTTCCTGCATGCCTGCCTTCAGAAAAACAGGTAGGATTCCCTAGGTCCTTTCTGTGATCTCTGTACTTGAGGTCATACCCTCATCCTATCTCAGCCAGCACCACTGATCGGAGTGTGAGCTCACCCTGACAGCCTTGATGTGGACCTCAACCCTTATGTTTCAAAGGCTACCCCAGCCAGCTGTGGGTACCAGTATTGCACAGCATGCACTGGTAAGCAGCTGTTGGCTGGGCAGCTATGCCATCTCTGCTGAGACTTATGACTGGATCCAGCACCGTTGCCTGGGACCACAGCATCTGACCCTCTCTGCCTTGATGCTGGAGTAAGCATGTACCAAGCTTAGTCATCTCTGCCTTGTCTCCCCTTACTTCCTGTGGTTGCAGCTTCTAAGAACAGCAGCAGGTCCTTTAGTGTGTGTCTTGGCACCCATGAAGACAATGTCCTGCCTTAATCACCCCATTGGCCCATAAGAAGCCTATGAGACAGGAGAGTGAGGCTGTCTGCCCCGCTGACTCTTGTGGGTGTGGTGACCTGAAGACACCTTAGAGCATGATGACTACCCTTCTATGTTTTCTTTGTGTCAGTTTGGCACCAAGAGCTGTTCTATGCCACATCAGCCTCTGTTCATCCCAGGAACTCTGCAGAATTCAACACAAAACCTGTGTTCACAGGATGGCTCAGGTGGAGATGCCCTCCTCCTCCTCCTCTCGCAGATGTCACAGAGCTTACCTGTGATAGATGCTTGAGTTAAAGAGGACTAGTTAGAGATAGTTCTTTGTGGCCAAGCACTGAGGCCTACAAGAAGCAAGTAAGCAGTGTTTATGGCTTTTGAGAATCTTTAAGGGACACCATTAGCTCTGTCCCTCTCCCCTACCCTCTCCTCTGCCTTACTGCTCCAGTAGCCAAAAAAGGCCCAAGTTGGAGCTAGATCTTCTGCCACTGAGTGTGGCAAAGGCATATGCTTAAAAGCTGTAGCATTCAATGGGGAGTAGAGTGGTTGCTGATAGGACAGGTAGCCTCTGAGTGTGGAGGTCTCTGGGCAGAAGTGGCACTTGTCTGTTCCCTGTCTTAATGTCAGCTTGCCCTCTGTCTGTCCTCCCACCGTGCCTTCATCAGCCACTCCCTGATGTCAGGCTTCAACTCAGAGATCAGGGTATCACCAGAGCCACGACAAGGGATGCCACCACAGCCACGGCAGCTGAGGCCAAGGGAAAGAGGTGATAGACCTGTCTTTGAACCCCAGCTGCAAGATTTGTACCATTATGGTTCTGCTATTGGCCCTTCTGTTGGGCTGTGGAGCCAGTGGCCAAGACCAGAGGAGCCGAGGTTGGTATGTACTTGACAGCTCCTGCAGCAGCAAAAGTGATGCTGGCAGAGCCCTGAGGATTCCCAGTGGATGCCCCTGCTGGCCTAGCACATGTGAAGGTGCCAGGAGAAGCATGGTTGTTAGGCCCAGCCCGAGTCCTAACGTGCAGACCATCAGAATGACCTGCAGGCCAGTATGTGAAGGGGATAGTCTCAGCTTGCAGCCCCCCTTACCAGCCTGATCACCTGTGATCACTTGTCCACCTGTAGTCTCCTGATGCCGTGGCTTTGGTGATACCTGTGTTTCTTGGGGCTGGGAGGCTGGATTCCATGGATCTGCAATCCTGGGGATACACAGCAAGTCTGCCTTGGGCAGGCCCACGTGACCTGATATGACGCAGTGGTGGTAGGGTGGTCACAGGTCTCTCTGTAGGGAGCCCATAGGGAAAGATCTAATTTGGGTGTATCTGGTCACTCAAAAAGGGATGGGTTTCAGTGGGGCACATGGCAGAGCAGCAGGGGGTGTCCAAGGTGAGGGTTTCAACTGAGACTGGACTGGATTTTGGGTAGCAGCAAACTCCAGGGCAAGAACTGGTCAGTGGAGTGCCCCAGCAAAGCAGGAAAATGGAAACTGGACAAACTGGTGTTTCCAGTTTGTTCAAGTCAGCAAACCTTTGACCCTGTCTGGGTCCTGTCTAGGTCCTGTCTGGCTTTGGGATGGCAGGGGAGAACTGCAGGTGAACTGTTATGCCCGCCTGGACCTGCAACCACGCTGGAGCCTTTGTGGTGTATATTGTAGCCTACCACTTGGGGGAAGGTGTGGGGCCTCTAAGTGAAAGGGACCCAGCACCTCCAGAGCCAGGACCCATAGACAAAAGCCATGGCCAGGAGGCACCATGAGCACAGGATACAACTCCAACTGGTTGTCACTGATTGCAAAGTGGTTGCAGGGCCTGTGTGTTGAACTAGTGATGCTTTTCCCTCTCACTGAATTCTTGAGAAGATTCAATCAGGATGCATTCCTGAGAAGCAGGTACCTAATTTGTGCGTCATTGAGGGTGGGCAGGGTGCTGTAGCCTACCTGTCGCTTTGGAGTGTCTCCAGGTAAAGCCCAGGAACCCACACCCACCATGTGAGGTTGCAAAAACTTCTCATTTCCTAAGCCCTTGATATATTCTGTGGCTTCAGATGGGAACAAAACTCAAGTCTTCCTGGAGTTGTATGGGATGCAGAGGTCAGAGCAAACACCTGAGCGCTGCAGAACTTGTCAGCGTTTTTAATGGGCTGCTAGCACTAAGCTTCAAAGGTGCTTCCCTCCTGCCTGGGAAAACATTTCCTCCTCCCACACAAGTTTATTTTTCTTGTCAATTCAACACAATATTCTGTTTCTCAGTGCCTTTGGCAGCATAAAATCCTAGCCAAATGAGGCAGTGGTGTGCCAGAGGCCTTTTATTTTTTAAGTATGTAACATAAGGTGCATAATAAAGCTAAAGGACTTGTCACTGTGTGACCATAGAGGGACGCCTGCTGTGCACATCCAGGGCAGAAGTAATGGCCCCCAATCTGTTCTCTGTGGGTGCTGCCCATCCTGAGGCAACCAGGCCCCTGACTGCTAGCAACAGAAGTCTAGAGGTAGCAGGACCAGAGCCTGTCCTCCGCGACTATCACGTCAGAGTGTGAGAGTCCACCACCCTGTGGCACACAACTGTGGCTTGTTCTTTCCTGTTCTGTGTGGTGCTCTAGCCTGTGACTCGGTCCTCACCACATGTCTACTCTACTGTTGGAATCTGGCTTTGCATTATAGGAGGGCAGCATGCAGAGTGAGGGAATGTAGTGAAGTCAGGCTGTCCTGGTTTAAATCCTGGATCACCACTGTCTAGCTGTGTGATCTGGGACAGGCCTGCCTTATCTGAGCTCTAGGTTCCCCTGTATAAAATGAGCACAGTCCCCATCTCCATAGTGGTTAGGCAGGCTAAATGCAAGTGAATGTTATGTGCAGCCATGCCTCAGCTCCAACTGGCCACACAATTTGTATGTCCCCTTTCTTCTTTAACTGTAGCCCCTGTCCTGCTCACTGTAGACTGTCAGTATTGAGGGACGATGGTGCCCTTAAGGGGCCTGACTGCCTCCAGGGCTGTAGAGGGTCTCTGTCCCAGCCACACCAACGTACCAAGTAACTATGCTGCAGGCCAGGCCCAGCACAGTGGGCTGATTTTGGGGGTGCTTGGCATTTTGGAGGCCTTAGTGGGGCTATGTGTCTGTGTCTGTGTCTGTGTCTGTGTCTGTGTCTGTGTGGTCGTGTGCCTCCCGAGTAACTGCCTGTGTCCCCTCAGGCCTCCCGGAGCAGTACTATAGTCTGACGTGGTTCCTGAGCCCCGTCCTTGGCCTCATCTTCACACCAATCATCGGGTCAGCAAGTGACCGCTGCACCCTGAGCTGGGGCCGCCGGCGGCCCTTCATCCTTGCGCTCTGTGTAGGCGTCTTGCTTGGTGTCGCACTGTTCCTCAACGGCTCTGCCATAGGTGAGTGCCAGGGTGCTGGGCCTGGGGACTTCACCCGGCAGGCGTGCAGCTCCAGTCACACTGGCCCTGTGGGACCTGCGCGGGCCGCCTGGCAGTGACCAAAGTGCAGGCGGCTGGGCAGTGGCACCAGCCCACATGGGAACGCCAGAGGAACCTGTTCACAGGGAAATGCTTCCTGCCAGGCCCGTTTGTTTTTAACGCGTATCAGATAATCATATCCTGTTTCCAGCATTATTTCAGAAATTATCTTCTCTTTCTTTCTTTTTTTTTTTGTTTTGTTTTGTTTTGGTTTGGTTTGGTTTTTTGTTCTCCTTTTCTCAGACTTGGTATTGAAAATATCCAGATCCTAGTTTGGTATTTATTTTTTGTTTCACATGCTCACATATTGTTTTACCTCTTCTTGTTTTGTGTTTAATTAAATCAAGTGTGTGTGGGAAAATTGGTTTTTGGGTTGTTTTTTGCTTTGAGATCATCCATCAAAACTGTAAAAAACAAAACAAACAAAAAACCTGCTTGGCAAACACAAGCTCATTAATTCGATCCCTTGTTCCAGTTTAAAAAAAAAAAACTGGTAGAAACAAAACCTTGTATTTTGGCACAAGTGTTTGAGCCAGAGCTACCTGGCATGCCTTCTGCATTGGAGCAGCTCACCCAGAACTGAAGTCAGGTAGAAGTCTGGGAAGGTGGACAGAAAGCCCTCCAAAGTCCTTCTTGATACAGCGGAGCCACTCAGCTTCTCAGGAGCTGGGGGATGGACACGGCTCTGCCCCTGCCTCTTGTGTCTGTGTGTTACCTCCCTTGTGTGGGTCAGCCTCCACCCAGGAGTTCCAGTACCATGGCGCCTGCTGCTGCTGGCTCTGGGCTGGTCAGTGCCCCACTAGGCAGTAGCGCTACCCTCTCCCATACAACGTGATGGCAGCCTTGTACTGTGTCCTTGAGGGTGGCCCTGCCCACATGTGGCCCAACGGCAGCCAGTCTGGGCACTGCCTCCTGGGCACTGTGGGAGGCCTAGGCAGAAACTCCCTTTGGGGCCCTCTTGTGGGTCCAGGTTCAGCCTCGTCACAGTGCTTTGGGGTGATTCTATACCCAGGCTTCAGCCCTGCTCCTGCTACTTGTGTTTGAGCACTGATCCCCGCCCCCTCCCGGCATCAGGTGAGACACAGCTTGGGCTGGTCAGGTGTCAGGTTAGTAACTTGACCTCTGGCTCCAGGGCAGTCTTCCGAAACAGGGAGACTTTGTTTTGGGACAACAGAGACTCCCTCCTAAGGATGGTGGGGTGCTGCAGTTGTGCTCATCTTTCTCAAAGCCTGTCTGAAATTCAGCATTCATTCAGGGTCCTTTCTACTTGGGTCTGGAGTCTTCCATGGCTTCCACAGCCCTTGGATCTAGCTGGGTGCCTCAAGTGGTATGGGACTCAGAAAGGATCCTCAGTGCTGGCCCTGTGGAGCCGGTGCAGAGAAGGCTGCCCACATAACCACCTGCCAAGTGACACTAATTAGCACCCGTTCCCCTGTGATGGTGGCAGGGGAAAGAGCTGCTCCCCTTCCTGCTTGAAAGATAGGATAAGGAAGCTGTCATGGTCCAGTGGGTGAGAAGAAGCAGTACACTCTAAACCTCAGAAAATGCAAAGAGAAACCCCTTTTTCCATGAGTCTGCCTGCCACAGAGTGGAGGTCTGGAGAAAGGCCTGTGCTGTTCCCAGCTGGCTCCCCATAAAGGGGAGGCTGTGTAATCAAGGAGCCCAGTTCAGCTGGCCCTGAGGTCTGACCACTATCAATGCTGTGTCCAGGTCTGGCCCTTGGTGATGTCCCCAACCGGCAGCCCATTGGCATCGTCCTTACAGTACTGGGAGTGGTGGTCCTGGATTTCAGCGCTGATGCTACTGAGGGACCGATCCGTGCCTACTTGCTGGATGTGGTGGACAGTGAAGAGCAAGACATGGCCCTCAACATCCATGCCTTCTCTGCTGGTAAAGTGCCTGTGCCAAGGCAGGCTGGCGGCGGCTGCTCCCTGAGCCCATGTGGGTGGGGAAGAAGCACCCCCAAATTCATTGCTGACCCTCAGCATGTGGCTCTATCTCAGACACTGGCAGGCAGAGGGCATGGCTAGGGCTCAGGAAATAGCCAAGGCATTTTCCTGGCCACTGAACCCAGCAGAATGAGGGAACTAAGGAGCAGGGAAGAGGGAGAATCAAGTCAGGGCTGCTGGAGTGACCTGCTTGCTGGGTAGCCATACCTGGGTCCCTGCACTGACCACTGTCGTTAACTATGTTTAGGGAATAGCATTCAGTTCAGAGAGGCATGTATGGGGATGGTTTTTGTCTAATCTTGAGATTAATTTGCCCTTATTAAGTGGGCAAATTAATTTATTAAGTGGGAATTTTGTTAGGTCAGAATTCTCAAACTTGGAGCTTTTTTCTTATCTTTCATACCCTTTTCTCATTCCCCATCCCAAAACCTTGTGTCCTGACCTGCAACATAATTGTGAGGGTGCCCAGGCTCCCACTGAGGGCAAAGCCCTCCAGGCTATCCTGGCACTGGCCTCCCATAGTAGGCCTAGGAGCAGGGACCACAGTCTCCACACGGCTTACCTGCTCCTTCCCTCCTAGGTCTTGGTGGCGCCATTGGCTATGTACTGGGCGGGCTGGACTGGACACAGACCTTCCTGGGCAGCTGGTTCCGGACCCAGAATCAGGTGCTCTTCTTCTTTGCCGCTATCATCTTCACAGTGTCGGTGGTCCTGCATATCTTCAGCATCAAGGAGGAGCAGTACAGCCCACAGCAGGATCGAAACTCAGAGGAAGCTGCTGCCCTGTCCGGCGCTAGGCCTGGCAGCACCTTGACCAACACCTGCCTAAATGCCCTTGGTGGGGGCACGCAGGACAGCAGCCCTCCTTTCCCGGATGAGGTACAGTCAGAACACGAGCTGGGCCTGGACTACCTCAATGTGGACATCGTGCGCAGCAAGAGTGACTCCGTGCTACATATGCCGGATGCCACACTGGAGAGGGAACCCGAGCTGCCCTTCCTATACGACATCGAGCCGTCCATCTTCCAAGATGCCTCATATCCCAGCACACCCCGCAGCACCAGCCAGGAGCTCCCAAAAGCCAGGCTGCCCCATCTGTCCACCTTTCTCAGGGAAACCACCAAGGAGGATGATACCTTGCTTGATAATCACTTGAATGAAGCTAGAGTCCCAAATGGAAGTGGCTCCCCACCGAGAAACACCCTGAGCAGCAGCACCAGAGTGGACCTGAAGTCCTCAGCCACATCCAGCTCCATGAGGCGACGCAGACACATGTTCCGCCGTCAAGCCTCCAGCACCTTCTCTTACTATGGCAAGATGGGGTCCCACTGCTACTGCTACCGTCGGGCCAACGCAGTGGTCCTGATCAAACCGTCCCGCAGCATGAGTGACCTCTATGACCTGCAGCAGCGGCAGCGGCAGCGCTGCCGGCACCGGAACCAAAGTGGGGCTACCACCTCCAGTGGGGACACAGAGAGTGAGGAGGGTGAGGACGAGACCACCGTGCGCCTGCTGTGGTTGTCTATGCTGAAGATGCCAAAGGAGCTGATGCGCCTTTGCCTCTGCCACCTGCTCACCTGGTTCTCTGTCATCGCCGAGGCTGTCTTCTACACTGACTTCATGGGCCAGGTCATCTTCAAGGGGGACCCCAAGGTGAGCAGTCTGCAGGCCGGGAGAGGGTCTTCAGGTGAGGCTCATCAGTGGGTGGCCTTCTGTCTTGATGACTTCTTGTTGCTGAGATAAAATACTTGACACCAAAAGTTAAAGGAGGAAAAATTTATTCAGCTCACAGTTTTTATAGGTTTCAGTCCATAGTCGACAGGGTCTAAGGGTGGCACGTGGCAGAGTGGCAATAGTTCATGGCAGTGGAAGACAGCAAAAACAAGGGAGAGGTCAGATCTTTTTCTGACTCTTTATACCCGCCCTAGGGTGTAACGTTCACAACCTTAATCCTACCCAGAACTATCAATGGGCCAAACCAATCAAATGAAGTGTGCCTCTGAAAGGCTGAAGCTGCCTCTGAAAAAAAGCCTATAACCATATGAGGTGTTGAGGGGACACCTAGGCACAGATATTCCCAGGGTGCCCCACTGGCTGCCTTTGTGACCACTTCACGGAGAATACCTAGCAGGCAACTGGCTGGTCTATACATCTGTTCCACGGTCCAGTTGTCTGAGCCCAAGACTGGTCATAGTACGGTGCATGGGAACAGATGTGAGTGCCAACCACTTTCAGAGTTTGGAAGCCTGGATAGGCATGGCTTCAACCATCTATTGTCCTGACTGGACTATCCCAGAACTTGGCAGTTACGGTAATACTGCTGTTGCCCTTAGGGCTCAGCTGGTGGCTCTTTTGGGCCCCATAACATTAACCTGAGCTCACCTTGTAGCTATGTTGGCCACCTCTCCAGGAGAGCCATGATGGTCTCATACACACTCAGGGTCCATCTTCACCCATCCAGGGTCTACCATGGCAGCTCAAGAGGGTAGAGTCACTCCTACTGGTCGAGACCAGCCTATCTTTTGGGAGCAGAGGGTCTGCCTTTTATTGAGGGGATCACAGATGGGCCAGAAGAGACTGGAAGTGACTTATCAGACACTGAACTTGGATCCAGAGGTAATTCTGTTTGCTGGACTCTTAAACAGCTTGCCAGTGCCCTAATCCCAACCTCTTTCCGGAACAGGCAACCTCCAACTCCACCAAAGGGCAGGAAGCCTACAATGCTGGTGTGAAGATGGGCTGCTGGGGCTTGGTCATTTATGCTGCCACTGGTGCTATTTGCTCAGGTAAGAGGTGCCCAGATCAGGTAAGCATTTGCAGCTGGGGAATGCTCAGAGCTTGGAAATATGGAGTGTGAATAGGGACCTTATTTCTGCTAGGAATGGATATTTTCACACTCCCCTCAAATGCACTACTATGTGCTGTCCTACAGTGCTGTGCAAGTTGAACAGCACCTGTTAAGCATGTTGTTCGAGCCCTGCCAGCTCAGGGGTGCAAGGAGACCAGATCCTTGCCCAGGGATCAGCAGTCAAAGCAGGAGTCGCTGATCTAGGCGGCTGGACAAGGCCTCTTACAGTGCAGCTATATCCTTAAGCGGGGGTCAGCAGCTTTCCATCTTGGGACCAGTCCTCCTGGCTCATCTCTGGAACTGAAGAAGTCATGGTTGGGGTTCACTGCCTGCCCACACACTGCCTGAACCAAGGGGAGGAGGTCAACTTTGTGTTATCCTCATGAGGACTTGGGGATGGTCGATATGAATAATACCATGATCAATCAGGTGCCAACACCAGAGTGATTACATTGTTGTCACCACTCTAATGGAGAAATTCTTGGAGAGTGCATGGTGATAGGCCAGGTGAGAGAGATGTTGCTTACAACTGCTGGCCTAGATTTGGTTTCCACGAGGTGCTCCTGGGGGCGGGGGGGATGGGAAGGGGCTACCTTGAGTGGGCTGCTTGATCACTGCTCCTGTGGCCTCTCTCTGCAGCCCTACTACAGAAGTACCTAGACAGCTATGACCTGAGCATCAGAGTGATCTACGTGCTGGGAACTCTGGGCTTCTCTGTGGGCACCGCTGTGATGGCTGTGTTCCCCAATGTCTACGTGGCCATGGTCACCATCAGCACCATGGGCATCATATCTATGAGCATCTCCTACTGCCCCTATGCCCTGCTAGGGCACTACCATGACATCAAAGAGGTATGTCTGGCTTAGTGGTGCCCAGCTAGGATGGCATGAAGTGGCATCAGGCTCAGTCTGTAGCCTGTCTGGTCCAAAGCCTGGGCTCAGCACCCTGCTCTCCCCTGCACACAGGCTGAGCACTTCCTGCCCTTGGAGTGTCCCCTCTGTCTTCCATTCTGATGAATCCAGGATCTGTCAGTTGCTCTGGTCAATCCCTGGTTACAAGTCTCTGACTGTCCTGGCCAGCCAAGAAACATCTGGAGGCCAGTGTAGTCACTGAGTCAAGGCTGGGCAAGAGGCTCATTTTTGATGCTCGCAACCCAGGTGCAAGAGCAGGCCAAGACTCTCCAGCATAACCTCTAGGCCTTTAAAAGGGAGAGCAGGAAAATCCTAAATTCTGTTCACTGTCCTAATTTCTCATGCAGTTATTAAGGCAAATTACTGATTAGAAGCACACCAAACAGTGGTAATGAAAATCTAATGGCATTACTTTTTAACCACTTACCACTCCAATTAAATACAGGATGAACAAAAATGGTGTGTTCTTTTTTAAATTCTCATAAGATAACAGGAAATAAAAATACAACAATTATAGTCTGTACAAGGTGGTTGAAATTACACTTGCCAGGATAATGCTCAGTACATAAACACTGCCTGAGTGATGCTCAGCATAAACTATTAAGTGGTTAAATGAACTTTTAAATTGAAACATAGCAGACCACTAACTAAATCATAAGTAAACTGCTTCACTGCTTTTGGGGAGAACACAGTTGTATGAGCAATCCAGACAGAGGAAGGCCATTGCCAGAGCACCCTCATTCGCTGTCTAGCACCCTGAAGATGACCACTGCCCTAACTTCTAATACCATATATTCCTTGTACCTATTTCTGAATTTTCTATGACTATCTGGCTTCTTTTACGTCACCTCTTCCTGTGACTCACTCATTGCCACTAGCACTTTGTATATTTCCACCTTCCTGATGTGTCTGGGTTCTTGATCACATCCCCTGTGTACCAGGGCTTTCCTGACCACATGCCCAGGGTGCTTGGGTTCCTGATTATGGGATCCCCAGTGTAACTGGATCGTATCCCCAGTGTGACCCTGGGTGTTTGGCCAGTTGCCCCATGTGTCTAGGGGTCCCTGATTTACCCTCCTTTGGTGGGCTTGGTTCTTTCAATTCAGGGCTGTTCAGACATGCAAGCATTCCTCTTCAGCCTTCATGATACTCTGTGCTCTGCCATCTCTGCCTGGGGATGATATGTGTGGCTTAAAGTAGCAGGTTGAGGTTCTCCAACTCTGACTCTGTAGGGCCATCTTTTTCATAAACTGCATCCTGACATAAAGGATGTGCAGGTGCCTATGACCCTTTGTCCTTCTACTCTTTGAGAGATATCCCACTCTCCTAATTAAAGTAATTCTGGAATAAGTCCTCAGATTCTGTAGTGTAAGCTCTTCACTGAGAGTGAGTATCTTGGCTACTTTTACCTGTTTTATTTTTTAACTAAATGTTAGATTCCTTCTGGGCTTTCTTTCCTTTATAGAAAACACACTGACTTTATTTGTAGATCAGTTTGGAGAGAATTAATAACTGTACTGTAATTAATAACTGTACTGTACTTTCCATCGTCAACTTCTTTTTTTAATTCTCATAGCTCACTTCTAGGTTCTTTTGGACTTTAAATATGCAACCATGTCACCTGTGCATTATTTTAGTTCTTCCTCTCTGTATCCTGATACATTTCCTCTTTTCCTTGCCTTCTTGCAATGTCTAGAACCTCTGACATAATGTCAAATAAAAGTAGTGGTGGTGTTGAGTTTGCTCTTTCAAACTCCAGTGGCAGGTCCTTACTGTCTTGCTAGAAAAAGCAGTGTTTTAAATTGGAGTTTCCTGGAAGTTTGTCCACTTCATCTGAACTTGGCAATTATTTTTTATCTTTTTTTTTTTTTGAACTTTGAAAATCATTGGCATTAAAATGTTTGTATTTCCTTGTAATGCAATACAACTTGTACTGATACTGTTTTTTTCATGATTGATATTATTCAGGAGTTTGTTGATTGTGTGTTTTCAGAAAGCCTTTGGTTTATTTAGTCCTCTGTTTGCTTTGCAATTTATTGGTTGCTGCTCTTTATTGTCCCTTCTGTTATCTCTTGTTTTAGTTTTCTGTTTTCTAATTTCTTAATTTGATTTCAGCCACACATTTGCATTTGAAGCTACTGATTTCTCTCTACAACTACCTTTAGCTATAGTCTGCAGGTTTTGTTCTGTTGTGTTCTCCATCACTTGAGTTTTCTCATTTTTGTTATGATTTCTGTTATGAGCCATTATTTAAAAGTATGTTGATGAATTTCTGACATTTGGGAGAATTTGCCAATGATTGTGTTAGTATTGATTTTTAATTCTTCACAATCTGGTAACATACTCTTCAATGATCTCAGCCCTTAAAATTAGTTGAGACTAATAACCCTTTGTGGTGCAGAGTATCTGCAGGTATTGATAAATGTTCATTATTTACTTGAAAAGGAAGTGTATTCTATACTTTGTGCTCTGTCTGTTTCAGTTAGATCAATTTTGCTCATTGTTTCATTCCTCTGATCTTTTACTGTTTTTATATCTGCTTATTTTATGAAAAGTTTATCAAAATCTTTTTCCACTATGGTTGTGGTACATACAAATACATATACACACATACACTAGAATTGCCTTGTTTCTTATCTTCTTCATGGACTGGCTTTTCTTGATTATCTCTAGGACAGCTTCCTTTGGGGACTTAGTATAACTATTAACAGGGAAGGTGTACCAGTGTTCTTTCCTATCTTGAGAAACACAGATGAAACTGCCCCTCTGTTTCCACTGGTCCAGTCTTCTTGGCCATGTGGTCAGCCACATGTAGTGTGGGAGATGGCTAGAAGTGCTGGCAATGAGTTGACACTCAGAGCTCCCCTGCTCTGGCCCCAGCGGGAGAACCCCCGGGCTAAGGGGAGTCATCAGTCTCCGTTGCTTTTTTCTTGCTGCTAAGATAAAATACCTAACACCCAAAATGAAGGAAGGAAAGGTTTATTTCTTACAGTTTTTGGAGGTTTCAGTCCATACACCTGGCTCCAAGGCAAGGTAGCATGGCTGAAAGGCAACCGTTCATGATGGCTGCAAACATGACAAAAGAGAAAAGCATGCCTCCTTCCCTCCCTTATGGTGAATGCTGGCCCACCCCTGGGCAGGTGCAGCACTCACATTGCCAATCCCAGCACTAGACAATGAACCAATCACAAATGCTAGACTTAGCCACTTCCATAACTGCATGAGTCTTGGGAGGCCACCTAGACACAAACCATAACTCATCTCACCTCAGTCTTGCCCTGCTACCCTTCCTTGAACTGGAAGTAGGTTCCAGGGAGCTTGTATCCTGATGGCATTGATGAAATTGCTTCCATTTGCCTCCTCTCCCAAGAGCTGGAACTTCTGCCTCTCCTGCCTGCAGACTCCTACTGTATGGCCTCTCATGAGTGTGTTCTTTTCTCTTGCAGTACGTCCACCACAGCCCCGGGAATTCGAAGCGAGGGTTTGGCATCGATTGTGCCATCCTCTCCTGCCAGGTCTACATCTCCCAGATCCTGGTGGCATCTGCCCTTGGGAGCGTGGTTGATGTGGGGACTGTCCGTGTCATCCCCATGGTGGCCTCCGTGGGCTCTTTCTTAGGCTTCCTGACAGCTGCATTCCTAGTGATCTATCCTGAGGTATCAGAGGATTCCAAGGAAGAACAGAAAGGCCTGTCTGGGCAACCCGCTGGTGACGGTGAAGGCAGAGACAAGCCCACGGTCCTGAAGCTGTCTCGGAAGGAGGGTCTGCAAAGCCCTGTGGAGACTGAGTCCATGGTCTGAGCTCTGGCTGACACATTCCACATGGGAGGCAGGTGGGGAGGCTACCAGCCACTGGCATTGCTGGCGCTTTGAGGGCAGCACTGGCCAGCACTTCTTCTCCAAACAATCGAAGTTCAGTAGTTGTAGGTTAGGTTTGAGCTATTAGACAAAATTATTACACTAATTACTTTTTTCCACAATTAAATCATTTGAAATCTTTTTTTAATTAAAGAAGATCTTTTAATTTCAGCTGTCTTTTATTCTGCAGGTATATTATTCTGCATGTTTTTACATTGTAAAACATTATAATATAGTTAAGTAATTTAGAAAAAATGGGATTTTTGCATTTCTGAAATTACAATGAAAGTACACGACCTCTGATGTCCTGGGTATACGTGGCCTGGGCACTTCAGACAAGAGCAGTGTAGTCAGTGACTAGAGATCCTTTTCAGGGATCCCTCTGGCACCGCAGGTATGTGGATGCCCCTCAGATCTTGATACGTTCCGTTGGTGCTGCCGCTGTTGGAGAGTATTTTTCTTTATGATTATTTTAGACAAAATGTTTTTTTTTCTTTTTTATCACTATGGTTTTCTTAGAAGAACAGCATCTCCTTTCCCTCAGAGAGTTTGACACATCATGCCCAGTGGCGCTATGCCCAGGCACAGCCACACACCAAAGTTGGAGAGGGCCCCTGAGGTGGCCATGGGCCAAAAGGCCCAGGGCAAGACGTACACCAATCCCCGGATGGAATTTGAACTCTCAAATCCAGTGCTGCTTACATCACCTGTGTGAGCAGGTCCATGTGCAGACCCTGCCTGGCTGTCCATGCCTGGAGCTCCTCAGCCCAGTCCCCAGGCTCCTCACTGCACTTTGACTCATCTGTACCTTTGCCGGAGAGCTGTGCACAGAGTTCCAGGTGGGCACTGGCTTGCAGCCCTGCTGCAAAGCTACCTCGAGCATGGAGGGCAGCAGCCTCCAGGAAGGGCACCTGAGGCCAAGCCTCCCTCGCTGCCATGGCAGGGCATGCTCATTGGAACCTGTCTGAACTCCTGTGACTTTCTCACCTGCTGACCCACTTGTCCCTAGGATTAGAACCAACACAGGGAGAAGCCAAGTGTCTGGAAGGCCCTGAGTGAGGGCTCAGCACGGTATTCTGGTTCCACATGCAAGTAAAAGTTATCAAATGCTGCAACTGTTTAGATATGTTTTTCAAACCATGGTCTCTTTATTTGAAACAGTTTCTGCTCTTCATACATAAATCGGTCAGTCTAAGCTTTCCAAGATCAGGAGAAAGAGGCCCTGCACATCACACAGATGGAATCACATCTTGTCATAGTTACTGCCAGTCCATGTTTTTAATAAAGTACTTTAAAATGCATGAGAGTCATGCTGCAATATGATCATTCTAAAGCAAATATATATATATATATATACATATACATATATACATATATAGATTTCAAGATGAAACTAAGCAGTTTTTAAATAAATTACTTGAATTTTCTGTGTATTTAAAGTAATGGCTTTTCAGCAGACTCCTGGTCTTGCTATGTGTCCTGCACTGATGGTGCTTTGTAAGTTGTGTGTTTTGTGTCAGAGGAGCAGTCCAGTACCTGTGTACAAGGAGGGTTCCTGCAGCCTGGGCCTCCATTAAAGCCCAGTCTTTTGGAGGACTGGCTTCAGGTCCCTAAGGCTTTTTCTATGTGCTAACATTTGGAATGGCCTGGAAAGTCTTGTGCTGAACACACAGCTGGCATGGTGGGAATCCTCCCACCAGCGGGATCCCCATTGGCTGGATTCTCTGACCTTTCTTTAAGGTGACAGGCATGTCTGGGTTCCCCTCTTCTGCAGGATATTCTTGACAAGTTATTCTATGCAACTTGATTCTTAGTAGCCTGAGATTGTAGCCCCTCCCTAAGACTTTGACCTGGGTTGTTAGAATTGGAGTCTGCTAGAGCTGAGGATCTTTCTTCTCCACCTGGCAACTAGGTGGAGTGTAGGTGGTGCCAAGCGTAAGAACACGGGCTGGGCTGAGAGTGGCCCCAAACAATCAAGATCTGAAACAACCAAACCAAGCACAGGGAACCAACCTGCCTTGTAGCCCACTCTGTGACCTAGTGGGCCACAGACACTGGTCCCCTGACAACTGCATGTGCAGGAGCCTCAGGCATGGCCTAGGCACTTTTCAGAAGAAAGGGGCTTGAGACCACAGCTGAGTGTGTTAGCCCTTGGGACCCCAGCCATGATTTGACCGTGATTTTGTGTTCACACCACAAGCCTTGTCAGAAGCCACTATTAGACTGTGAGCTTGCTGGAAAATAAGCCAGCAAGGAGCATGGCTGCTGTTTGCTCCGACATCTGTCTTGCTGTATGGGTCTGGTTAGTGTACAAGCCTTTGGGTTTTAGGTCCTAGGGTTGATGATGGGATCAAATTCTGGGAGGCAGACACAGGTGACCCAGAGCTCTAGTTATGAGTCACACTGGACACGGGAAGACCAAGTAACCAAAGCCTTTGCCTCAGTACTTCTCTTGCGGTGAGATTATTCAAGTTTGTAGTCACTTGGTACTATTGTAGTCACTTGGTTATTACATTGTGTCTTAAACCAAGAAGCAGGGATCATGCCTGCAGCTTGCTTTGGTCAGTCTGGCTTAGGTGTTGGTGTTTTTCTGTCACTGTGCCTGAGGTGCAGCCCGGGGATTGGTGGGTTTGCTGAGAGCCCCTAAGCAACTCACTGGTAGCTGTTACTTAAAAGGCACTGATGGGTGGCCTATGCTACTGGGATTGGCAGATACAGACCCAAGCAAGTGCCTACTCATGGCCAGTGCTGAGGACACATCCTGGAGTTGACTATGTAGCACTTTCAGGGTAGGTCTGCAAGGTCCCAGGGTAGCGTCCTTAGAGCATTTAGTGATGTGTATCTACAGTGTTTCAGCTGGTTGAGTACTGTATAATGAACATAAATTTAATATCAGGATAAGGTAGGGTCAGTATGATTGGCATTTTTGTGCCCTATAAAATTCAACTAAGTAAAGATTGTTTTAACAAGATGGCAGAACTATCCCTGTATAGGAATGTGATCTTAGGAAGTGACGGGGTTGTGGGCCACCCCAGCCATACTTTGACTAGTTCCCCTTGGTTGGTCAGTAGAATGGCACTGCCACTTTCCTGGTGGCTGGAGAGTTGGCAGTAAGCATTCCATTTTTCTCAGTGTAAAGCAGGTCCTCAGCACAAGTACAGACATGTCTGCTGCTTCAGACCTCAGCCTTGTAAGCCTCTGTCCCTGCAAGTGCCATGCTTGGGGGGAACTCTGTTCCCTAGAGGAGATAGGACAGTAGTGCCCTCCTCAGATGATCAGTAGCTTCCAGCAGTGCTCAGGGTATTTCCAAATGGCATTTTGCAGGAGAGGTAGATCTTGATAGCTCAGAAGCCCAGAGCTGATCCTCTTGGTCAGCAATGCAGCTACAGTGGCAACCAAGAGTGGCCAGACTCTTGTGAAGGACAATACTTTACTCCCTGGGATGGCGCTGACCTCCACAGCCTGCAGTGTTCAATAGCATGTTTGAAAAACACTCAGTGTGGTCTGAGTAGCAACATCAGCAATGGCGCCACCTACGATGGACACAGTTCTGAGATCTGCAGAGTGTGGCTGTGTACACCAGATACTACCAACCTCAAGAAGGATGCTCCAGGCTGCCCCCCTTCTACCTAAGCCTCTTTCCATCTTCAGCTACCAAAACTATGAACATGCAGACTGGCTGCCGTGCTCCTCTGACAGCTGCCACTGGAAACAAGCTCATGTGTATTTGCCTGTCAGTCAACACGCAGTGCTTCTGAGTTCTGCCATTACTCTGCTGCCAGTTAGGCCAGTGCAGGCTCCTGGGGACCCTGCCCAGCACTTCCTGAGTGTGGTATCAGCACAGGCCATGTTGACCAGGCCCTTGCACCCATGCTGTACTGGGTCCAGCCTACATACCTCTTGTCATCTCCTCGTAAAGTCAGCATCACCACATGTGCTAGAGCCCCAGCCTTGGGGTGGCCCCTTGAGCAATCCATCCTTGGACCTCCCAGAGAGCTGACTGGGGCACTGTGCTGTGTGCTGTGGACTGAGACTGCCTCTGGGTAGCAGCTGGCCCATTTGTTAGAAATGCCTGGACACCAGAGAAAGACCCCAGGCACCTCGGAACAAAGCTATTTAGTTCCATTGCGAACTGGCCACAAGACAAATCTTTATCAACTTATTAAGTTGGAGCACTATAATGATAGCTCTTGCTGATTTTAGCAATGATTCAAGTGTGTGTTAAACACATGATGTTACGTTTTATGAGGGAAAGGGATTATACAGAAGAGTAATATTGCACATGACTTGATTTTTTACTAGGTGAGCAATAGCAGCCTCCCATCTGTGTCTGTTTCTGCTCAGCCTTGAGGTCTTATTTTTTGTTTCTGTTTTTTTCCCCAACGTTGCGTTTTCGCCCATCTTTTGCCACATAAGCGTCTGGTGCATGCTGCACCGTTACATCACCCTGTCTTACGCACAGTTCAGTGTGTGTCATGCTGACTTCCTCCTGCACAGAAGAACCAGTGCTGAGGCCAGAGCCTTCCTGCTTCTGTTTTTGTATTATTGTGTGGTTGAGTCATAATAAACCTTTCCCTCCAAGATGATCATGTGGGTGTCTGTCACTGTCACTTTGCCAGGGCTGTCTATCATCCTGGAGCCTGGTAGGTCTAGTGTGCTAGGCACAACATGATCAGGCCCACAGGTAGGGGTGGGCACAAGGATGGGCTCGTTGATTCTTCGAGGCTCCCCATGCTGCAAAGCTGGGGCCCACAATGGAGGCCTCTGCTGGCTTGCTGGCTCTGGTAGGACTGATGCCTTGTGACCCCCTCGCTCGGGCCTGGTTTGATTGTTGGGTGGTGGGGTCCAGGGCCTCCAGCCTATTAGAAGACTGCTGGGTGCCCCTATAGAAAACATTTGAGAGAAAAAGGACTGGTTGAGGCTGATTAGCACATGCTTAAGTGACCGAACCATGAGGACAGTAGGTGACCCTTGGCCCCTGGTGCATGCAAGGTCCTGTGGGCCTGGAAGTGGATTCCCTTGATCTTCCTTGAGGAAAACACATCTGGATCTTGGGGCAACCTGCTAAGAAAGTTCTCACTGTCACAGCCAGTTGGTAACAGGAAATGAAAGCGAACAGGTCACAGCTAGTGGGGTTTGAACCCTGAACAGGTAGGTTTCTTTAGTGGTTTCTCTGGCCTGGAGCACCAGGTGTACAGGCAGATTGGGGCATGGGTACTGAATTGGGGTGGGTTGGGGTTGGGGCTTTGGTCTGCTTGGGTTCAAGAGGAAGGGAGGAGGGCTCTGAACACGACACTGTAGTCAGCGGGCCTGTTCCCAGGCCTAGAGACTGAAATCATTCACACCTTGAACATCTGCAGTAGCACAGGGCAAAAGAACAGGAAGGAAAATGAGGGCTCTGCACTGACCCTCACTGTCCCTAACACCCCTGCCTGGAGGACAGGAGAGGAGGTTCTGTGCCCCTTGCTGCACCTGGTGAGCCTGATCCAGAAGTCCTGCCTGCCAGAGAGCCAGAAACCTATTAGGAAGTCCTAGATGGAGGGGTGGCAACTGGGAAGGGCCTTTTATTGGAGGGTGACCTGGCCACCACACCACATTGCAGGGCTGCATGGAGATGTCACCTATAGCTGCTCATCTGGTGTATGCAGCAGGGAATGAGAAATGGCACCCATAAGGACCTCTCAGGGTTGGGGAGCATCTAGCCAGGTAGGGGACAGTCCCCAGCTGTGCCCCTTCCCTGGCCTCCCTTCACCTAGGACAGGAGCAGCCAATACTGCCAAGAAATCACCACCCCAAATCCCCTTCCAGTGGGCACAGCCTTCACAACTTGGTCCCCTCATAGGCTAGCGTTAAAATAATTTTTTAAAAAGTGGGGTCAGGGATTTAACTCAGTAGCCCAGGCGCCTGCCTGGCAAGTGTGAGATCATGAATTTGATCTCTGGTACTGAGAAAAAAATAAAAAGTGGACCACTATGTTGAGTTGTACCATGTATGATTTCTTCGGTTTAGCAAAATACTGATTTTCATTATTAGTGCCTATAGTTAAATGTTCTATTTTTTAAAATTCAATTTTAGTTCTGGGGATCAAACCCAGGAGTATTCTACCATGGAGCTGCATCCCCTCTCCCCTTTTTCACTTTAAGACACATTCTTGTGAAGTTGCCCAGCCTGGGCTCAAACTTGTCGCCCTCCACCTTAGCTGTGATTACAAGCGTGTGCTGCCAGTGCCCACAGTTTTTTTAAACTTGGGGCAAGTTTACATACAGTGAATGAAACAGGTGTCGAATGTGCCAGTCCGTGAGTGCTGACAGGTGCACACCTGTGAAACAGATGCCATCTGCTGAGGACATTTTTTTCTCCCAAAAGTCCTGCCTGGATCTTACACTTCATTCCCATGCAGATGGGTAACCACAATGATGGGTCCAACCACAGCAGGATAATTTTGTCTGTTTTGAAATTGTCCTAAATGAAAACGTAGTTTTTGGCTTTTGTGTCTGGCTGCTTTCACTCAGCAAAATGCTTTTGGGAGTCATGTCAGCACTTGTGTTCCTGTTCCTGTCTCCGATCTGGGGTGAGAGGACACACCACATCCATTCCCAGTTGATGCACATTGAGTATTTCTAGTTTAGAGCTATTACAGAAAAAAAAAAAAAAACTGCTTTGAACATTTGTAGATGTGTTTTCATTTCTTTTGGGTAAGTATAGACAGCTGTAGGATAGGTATATATCTAACAGAATCTACCAAACAGCTCTCCAAAGTGGATATGCTGTTTTTATCTAGCAGTCAATGTATGAGAGTTTTCTTTGCTCTGTATCTTTAGCTGCCTTGGTTATTAAGAGGCTTTGTAACATTAGCCATTCTGATGAGCATCAAATGATGTTTAATTAGTCATTTTCCTGATGATTAATGATGTCAAGCATTTTTTTTCAAACAGGCTACCATATAGCTTCATTGATGTCCTTTACACATTTATGAGTGGGCATGATAGTGCACACTTATAATCCCAGTGCTTGGGAGACTGAGACAGGACAATCACCTCAAGTTTGAGGCCAGCCTGGTCTATATAGTGAGTTCAAGATCAGCTTGAACCACCCTATCTAAAAAAAGTATATATTTACTAATTAAGAAAAAAACCACATTACTGATTTGTAGAAGCTTTTTATATATTTTAGATAAAATCCTTTTCAGATACAGTATTTCTCCCAGTCCATGGTTTCTTTTTTCATTTTCTAAATTATGTATTTGCATTAAGTCCAATTTACCAATTTTCTTTTGTGTTTAGCATTTCTCTTTTAAAATCTTTGCACTAAAGTTGCAAAAATGTTTCCTTGTACTCATTTCTGGAATCTCTACCTTTGCGTTGAGATTAGTGAACCACCCTGACTTAATAGGTAAGCTCCCTCTTTTTCCACACCCTCCCTTTTTTTCAGTATTATAATACCACTTATTGAATAGATTTTGTAAACACATTGTCTTGAAAGTTTGTATAGTCAGCTGACTGTTGTACCTCTAGATTCTATATTTTGCTCTGTTGATGTATTTATCTATCACAGTACCAAATCCCAGTCTTAACTGCTGCAGCTTTTTAAAAGTTTAAAGTCTTTTTTTTTTTTTTTGGTTGTGTGTGTGTGTGTGTGTCAGGGATCAAACTCACAACCATGCTTTCCAGGCAGTTCCTTGCACTACTGAGCTAAATCCCCAGCCCAAAGTTTAAAATCTTGTGAGTGCTCCATCTTGATTTGGAAGTGGGTAACTGGGCATTGAACCCAGTGTTTTCAGCCAACTAGACAAGTGCTCTGCCACTGACCCTACAGCCCCTGCTCCTTTTATTTTTTGTTTTTGAGACCAGGTCTTGCTAAGCTGCTCAGGCTATATTCAAATTTGCAATCTTCCTGCTTGAGCCTCTGAAGTAGCTGGGGTTTCTTCTTGGTGTGCACAATTGCACAGGCTTTTGATCTGCCTTTTAAAGTTTGTCTTAACTATTTTTAGCATTTCCATATGTATATTATCAAGTTCTCAATTTCTTTTTTTAAAATTACATTAGTTTTACTTGGGATTAAGTTAACAAATCAATTTTGAGAAAACTAACATCTTTACAATACTTAACCTTCCAGTTCATGAACATGGTATATCTTTTCCTCAGGTCATTTAAAAATTCAGCCATGTTTTTGAGTCTTCAGTGTACAGGTGTTTCACATCATTAACCTTATTTGCATTTGATGCATTTTAATACTGTTTTAAAATGTTACTGTTTCTCCTGTTGTCCTATGATTATATTGACTTTGTATTGTTACCTTACTAAATTTTCTTTAATTTTTGAAATAGATTCTTTTAGATTTATGTAAACAATCATGTTGTGAATAAAGACACTTCTTCCTTTTTTGGTTTAATTGTTATGGCTCTTTTTTCATTGTCTATGGTTAGAAATCTGGTACAGTATTGTGACTGTCTACTCCCCCCCCCTTTTTATTTTTTATTGGTACTGGGGATTGAACTCATGGCCATGCGCTTGCAAGGGCAGGTGCTTATGCCGCTGAACTACATCCCCAGCCCGTTTTTCCCCATTTTAGTGGGGAAGCAATTAGTCTTCCACCATGGTTTCTACACTGGGCCTCTGATAGATGGTCTGAGCAAGTTCCTTCTTACCCTGAAAGATTATTTTTACCCATGAATGTTTTATGTTTTGTGCATCTATTGACATGATCATCATGACTTTTCTTTGTTCTTCTAGTGCTATTTTTTTTTTTTTTTAGTCTTCTTTTTTATCGGTACCAGGGATTGAACTCACGACTGCCTGCTTGCAAGGCAGGTGCTTATGCCGCTGAGCTAAATCCCTAGCCCCTAGTGCTATATTTTTGAAGGTTAAAATAATCTTGCATTTTACAGTCCCACTTATTCATGATATATTAACTTTCTGAAATATTGCTAGATTGTTTTCTATTTTTTCCTTCAAGAATATTGCATTTATATTCCTGAGGGGGTTGGTCTGTAATTTATATTCCAGTCATTGTCAAATTTATTATAAGGTCATGCTGGTGTCCTGAAATGAGCTGGCAAGTGTTCTCTCTTCTTAAAATTTCTAAGGGATTTTGATTAGCCCATAATTATGAGTTAGAATTCACTAATAACCAACTGAACCTATTTTTTCTTTATAAGAAAGTTTCTTTATAAGAAAGTCAATTTAGGGCCAGGGATTTAGCTCAGTGGCATAAGCGCCTGCCTTGCAAGCGCACAGTCGTGGGTTCAATCCCCAGAACAAAAAAAAAAAAGTCAATTTCATTTCTAGATAGAAAACTACTCAGATTTGCTATTCCTTGTATTTGTTTCATGAAGCTGTTTTTCAAGATTTTTGTACATTTTCTCCAAGACAGTTGTTCATGATACCTCTTTTTTATGTCTATAAGATTTTTTGTTTTGACTTTGGTTATCTTTCATAGCCTGCCTGCCTGCCTTTTTTCTTTTTTTGATGGCTACAAGATTTTAATCCCATCCTTCATTCCTGGTATTGATAATTTGTTTTTTTTTTTTCCTGTGCAGTCTTGCTAGATCTGTCAATTACTTTACAGATTGAACATTTGGGAAAAAAAAAACAAAAAAATTTTGGCTTTGTCAGTTCTGTTTTTTATTGATTTTTTTTTTGTCTTTGTTATTTTTCTCCTTATTTTAAATTTGCATTTATTTTTATACTCTTATGATGGAGATTTATGAGTAAATTCAATTTTAAATCTAATAGGGGCATTTAAAGGTACGATTTTTCTTTTTAATACTTTTTCAGTTGCCTCTGTCAAATTCTGAAATACCGTGTTTTCACTATCACTCTATTCCAAACATATTTGATTCCTCTTATTATTTTTAAATTCTCTGGAATTTGTTTTTCTTCTTCTTTTTTTTTTTTTTTTTTTTTTTAGTACTGAGGATCAATGACCTCATGCTTACCGGGCAAGCACTTGAGCCACTGAGCTAAATCCCTAGCTCCCAACATAATTTTAATTTGTTAAGTTTTAAAATATATTATTACTGGGGCTAGGAATTTAACTCAGTGGCATAAGCAGCTGCCTGGCAAGTGTGAGGTTGTATTTGATCCCCAGTACCGGAGGGGGAAAATATTTTAACTAAAACATATTATTACTATTGACATCTAATTCAATTTGTGGGGTCAGAGAACATATTCTACAAGTTCTAAATCTTTTCAGATTTCATTGTCCAGCATAGTCTAACTGGATGAGCAGTATTCACCTACCATTCTGTGAAGTATTCAGAGCCAGGTCCAATTGGTTGACAGGGTTATTGAATTCTTCTGTATCCTTCCTTGTTGTTTACTTGTTCTGTCAGTCATTGAGAGAAGGATGTTAACACCTTCACCTAGGGTTTTGGGTTGTTTGTTTGTTTTAGGGAGGGTCTTGTTTAATCTATCGTGGCCTCAAATTTAGGTACCCTAGACTGACCTCAAATCCTCCTGCCCTGCTCTCTGGGATTGCAGGCACGGATCAACATTCCCAGGTAGGTTTGGGATTTGTCTGTTTTATAGTTCTATCATGTTTGCTTCATGTATCTTAAGTCTCTATTATTAGTATGATATCCTAAAATATATGTGTATGATATCCTATGAGATCATGTCCTCTTGATTGAGTTCATCATTATACAATTCCTATTTGTGCACTAAAATATGTTTTATCTGACAATATAGCTATAAGCTTTTTTGCTTACTATTTGCATGCTATACCTTCTTTCATTTTTTACTCATGTTTTTTGTATTTCAAGTACATCTCAGAATACACAGCATATAGGTGGATTTCATTTTTTATCATCTGACAATCTGCCACTGGAGTGATTAGTCATTCACACGTAATATAATAACCAATGTGCTTAGGATTAAGTCTGCCATCTTGCTATTTATTTTCTATTCGTCACATCTGGGGTTTTCTCTTTTTATGTTGTTCTTCTGTTATTGCTTTCCTACTTTATTTTTGGTAAGTCATTTTTTAAGCATTTAATTTTGTGGCCATCCGTATTGAGATAGTAGTGATTCTCAGGCTCAGCTAAGTACACCACTGTCCTACTTCACCACATATGAGGCACCTAGTCACCTCCACATGGCAGCAGTGCCCTGGCCCCTAGCTGGCCACTACTCATAGAACCCACAGCCACAAATGCGCTCCCTCACCTTCAGGGAAAAATGCAGACCTGGAAGAGATCCTCCTCTCCACCACCAGACAAGGTGAGTTCACTCTCTCCTCCCTCGAGGCACTGGCTGAGCAGGGCAAGGACTGCTGACCTCTCAGGGCAGCCCTGCTCAGCCTCATGCTGCCAACGAAGCCTCCTGTCAGTGCGAGGCCAGCTCTAGATGCTTCTTTAAGAAAAACAGGGGAACAATACTTCCAATATTCCGGGTCACTTAGTATTATGCATAACCATGCATTTGACGCACCTGGTAAGCACTGCCCCAAGCAACCTTACAATAGATGGGAGCTGTGTGAGTGTCCTGTGGCTCGCTCAGCAAGTAACTACAAACTGGGGGTTTAAGATAAGAAAAGTTTATTTCCTCACAGTTCTGAAGACCAAGGGTCTGAAATCAAGGTATGGGCAGGGCTATGCTCCCTCTAGAGGCTCTAGGGAAACACTCTTTTTGCCTCTTCCAGCTCTGGGTGGCTCCACATGTCTCTTGGCTGACATTGTGGCCTTCCTGTCCCTGCTCCATCTCAAGGTGGCCTGTTCTTTGGGTGCCCATCTCTGTGTCTCTCCTCTCCTCCTCAGAATATTTGTCATTGATTTCAACTCAGAATCCTTAATTATATCTACAAAGACATTTTTTGCAAACATGAGCATTATCACAGATTCCGAGGGTTAGGACATGGGTGTATCTTTTGAAGGGTACTGCAATAGCTTTTGCATTTACTTCTCCTTAATATTTTCACATAAGCCCAGGAAGCAGCCCAGAATGAAATGTTCTTTGAGCATTTCCTTGATGCTCAGCAGTTCAGCTTCTCCCCATCAGGCTTCATACCAGCCCTGCACAAAGGCAGGGAAACACAGGTCAGGTGGCCAGGTCCCCCAGCTAAGCTCAGCTCAGGCCCTGGTCCACCTGCCCTGCCCCCACACAGCCTTTATTCTAAGGCACCAAAACTGGATCCGTGTCCTGCGCATGCGCCAGTCACCTTATACTCAGTGGCAGCGATGTTCCTGCGCCTGTCTCACCCTCAGTGATACTGTAGTATTCCTGCAAGAAATGTAAGTAGAGGCCTGTGGTGGACCACCTGGACAGTTCTCTGTGAAGAAGAGCTATTACCTCCATTTTGGCTAACGTGGCCCTATTTCCATGTGTTGATATGTCCAGAGCTGGCTAGGACTTTTCCTTATCCCTTCAATTGGCTTTAAGCAATGCAAGTCAGCCTAGCCCAGGTGCTGATGTGTAGTCTTTGTAGCAAAGCCCCATCCCATAGCTCCCAAAAAACTTGTGTGAGAGGGAGAGCCATAATCCACACTGTCACATATTGTCAGCTGAGATAAAAGGCTATGACTTCCCAGGGCATATAAGATTACACATCAGAGCTGAAGCACCAACCCCAAAACATTAGACACTACCTCAAATTATGTTATGCAGATCACTCTTCCGCATATGCTTCCCTGCATACTGCGGAGGTATTTCAGGCCTCCTACCTAGCCCGGCTCACAGCGCTCATGTACTTCCCGTACTTCTCGGCATTTTCAGTCACCCATCCTGAGCCACTCCTCTCGTCAAGAATTAATAAAACCTGGGTTCAGCCCTGGGTTGGGCCTGTGTTCTGGTGAGCCATCACCCTAGCTGGACCTCATGGCTCCCCACTACTTAGTGTCTATTCTTGGCATGTGTCACAACGGTGGTGGTGGACACGGATTAACTTGCTAGGATCCCAGTGATTTTTCCATGGGACTACAAATATAAGCTTCCTGGATTATGACAAGGACCTAGAAGGGCTCTCTATTGAGGCCACTTTGCCCTCCTCAGCCACTTGGGATTTCCTTAAAGAGTTCTTTAGAGGTGGACGAAAGTCATGTGCTTTCATTGCAGACATTACAGCACATTCAAGGGCCACATCAAGAGGCAACAAACACTTCCTGAGAAGGAGTCAAAGAAGTGTCACCCCCACACTGCCTCAGTGAGGGGAGGGTGCTTCTGGCCCCGCTCCCCAGCTTTCTTCTGTGTCAGCTGAAATTACCCTAAGATACAATGGCTTCTGGTTCAAGAGCAACACTCTTGTGCCAATAAGTTGCTAAAGCCACGGCAAGGAAGGCAGTGCAGTCTAGTGAACCCGCTCATTCTGGCCCTTCTCATGACAAATCATTCATAACAGACTCTCTCCAGGGCACAGGGGAACCAACACTCCAAACTGCCCCTTTCTTCTAGGTGAAGCCCACCAGCCAGATGCAGTGTACATCAGTACAGAACCAAGCACTCGCTCTGCCCACTCATCCCACTTCACTGCCTTTTCCTCTTTTATATAAATGACCACTCTCTAAAATCCTGTGGAGGTTTTCTGCACTGGTAGTTTCAAATATAATCACTGTCACATACATCTTAGAAATTACCACTGTGAGGGAAAGAAATGAAAAGTCTGCATTGACATAAGTTGATTGGTGCTCAGAATGAAACAAGAGCAAGTTCAAAGGCCCTGGGTTATTTTCCTCCACTCAGTGATGGCTGAAATGAAGTAGATGTCAGCATTTATCAAATAAATGAATTTATTATTCACAAGCTGAAAATAGCTGGTTACATCTGGACTGGCATTAAATACTTTATACACATCTTTTTAAAAGACTCATTATAAGGTTCCACATATTTACAAAACCAAATTCAACCTCTGACCTTCACTGCTCGCGATATCCCCCTCCTGGAAGTTGGGGATCCCTAAACAGGCACCAAGCTTTGGCTCTGCATTCTAGGGTACCCTGAGGAGCCAGTGGCTATGCAAAGCCCTCACCTTGGGGGAAACATCAGTCAGTGACATGGTTCTTCTGAAGCCTAGGTGTCCAAGAGGAGACGACTGCAGGCTGGAGTGTGGCCCTGCTCCTGGAGATCAGCAGACACACTCGGTGGCCTGTCTGCCGGTGGGCAGGCTCTCACCTGGTATTCAGCTGTGTCCTGAAGGCCAAGCACAAGCGCTAGGGGGTTGATGGCTGAGCTCATAATGGGTCCACAGGGACAGGCTGCTTGCCCTGGTAATGTTCAGAGGGACAAATATTTCCTCCAGCTTCAGCAGCTACACCCAAGACATCCTCACCGAACACTTCAGGAATGAAATCTTAATCACAGCATAATAATAAGCAAAGAGTCCTTTTTGCAAATATTTAGTTATTTACAGCAATTTCTAGTTACATAATAAAGAATCACTTACATATACACACGCACATTTACAGAGATGCAGGTCAGTGGGCAATGCCCTGGGAAGACGCAACTGTGGAGATAAGATGCTCTTCTAGACAGACCTGTCTGTCTTTAACTTTGGTAGAAAAAGAGTCTCTAGGTTTTTTCATTATAAAAACTTAGAATTCATAAAAAAGAAAAAGAGAGGCCAGGTACAGCGGAACACGCCTGTAATCCCAGCACTCTGGGAGGCTGAGGTGGGAAACAGTTTGAGCCCAACCTGAGCAACTGAGTTAGTGAGATCCTGTCTCAAAACAGAAAAATAGACTGGGGACATAGCTCATTTTGAAGCCCTGAGTTTGAATCCCAGTGCTGCCCAAAGTGGTGGAGGGAAGAAAGGAGAAAAGAGAGGGAGAAAGAGGAAAAGGAAAAGGAGGAGAGGAAAGAAAAAAAGAGCCCAAGCCCTAACTAGAAAAATCTGCCCACAGTGTTGTCCCCTCCCCTCAGGCAGGCCACCTGTTCTGATCAGGGCAGCCTGGGCTGTGCAAACCTGCTTGACCACAAAGTGGTTACTATTAAATGCCCATAAGACTGGCTGGAAATTAGAAGTCACTGGAACACTGCAGGGTGCCTTTGCTCACCCTTATGGCTACCCATTGTCACTCTGGTGACACCTAAGAACAAATGAACTTTAAGAGACACAAAACTAGACACTAGGGGCTCCAGGTCACCTGTGATTAAGCTAAACTGGTGGACCCAGTGCTGACCCTGGTTGTATAGTCTGGAATTTTCCAGACAGCACACGTGGTAGCTGCCCAGAAGAGGTAGCTATTATCCAAATGAGCCATAGCCACCAGTCTGAGGAATACCTGGCTTGAACTGCTCAGGCCAGAAGGTCCTGTCATGGGCTCATGGAAAAGGACGCCCTCTAAAAAGGCCCAGACTGCTCCCAAACTGACCGAGTAGCTTTGCCCTTGCCCAGCCCTCAAGGCTTCTGCTGTGGGGACAGCTCCAGAGAGGCCTGTGCAGCTGGCAGGGCAGGCTGCCGCCTGCACATCTGCCCACCATCACTCCACTTTCCAGATGGCAATCTTGCCCTCCTCTCTGCCCGACCCACTCAGCACGTATCGGTCTTCGGCAGAGCACAGGGTCCTCACACAGTCTGCATGTGCCACCAGCTCCTTTTCCACCGTCTTCTGCTCCACATCGATCACATAGATCATTCCTTTGAGTCTTCCCTGTGACAGCCCCCTGCCGCCCACCCAGATCTGCCAGAGAGAAACAGGAAGGGTGTCAGCTGGGAACGTATGGTGCTGGACCCAGTGCCCAAGCTAATGCACCCCCAAATTCATGTCCTTCCTGGTGCCCCAGAGGCTGAGCCACCTGATGGGCTCATACGCTGGAGCCTCAAGGTACAGTGGACTGTCCCAAGCCATAAAAGCCTAGGGGATAATGTGACCATAGTTAATAATATTGCCTTGCGTACCTCTAACTTGCTAAGAGGTAGATTTCAAGTTTTCTCCACAAAACAAACTCCGTAGTAGTAACTGTGAGGTGATGCATATGTTAATGAGCTTGAGTGTGGTGATTAGATACACTATATCAACACTGTATGCATTAAATGGGTATCATTTGTATTCGTTAATTATATGTCAATAAAGCTGGTGGAGGAGGGCTCTAATAGAAATTCCCTGCTGAGTTTCAGGTTTGCTTGGGACCTGGAACTCTTTTTTCCTTCTAATTTCTCCCCTTTGGGATTGGACTGTATACCTTCCAACTCCCCCATGCTTGAGACCTGGGAAGAGAGGAAGCTACAGTCTCACAGCCCCACAGCTGGAGAGTTCTGCGCGAGGATGGACCACACCCAGAGCCTCACTCCTACAGATTGGGTAGATCCAGGTGTTAAAGGTTTGGTTCCCAGCGTGGTACAGGTGGAGATGGTGGGGCCTGTAAAGTGTCACCACCTTGGTTTCAGATTTCCAGACTCTGGGACAGAGGGAAAATAAAGTTTGATTTGTTTTAAGCTACCTAGACCGTGATTATTTACTATGGTAGACCTGGGATGATCTGGTTTCTAAGTATGGTAAACACTATGGAACCTAAGGTGTGTGACAATCTAGGGACACAGAGACAGAACCTGGGAGAGGAAGCAGGAAGGCAGGAGCAGCAGGAGGGGCCAGGCAGGGCAGAAGCCCACAGTGTCATCTTACCTTTCTCTTCACACGGATCATGCAGCTGACCTCGGAGCAGTCCTGCAGGTGGATCCGCTGCGGGGCCTGGGTCAGGTCCTGCAAGCTCCAGATGCACACCTCACTGCGCCCCGCACAGGCAGTCCACAGCTGCCCCTGCTAGAACAAAAGTCACGCTGGCACTGTGCTGCGCCGTGGCAGCCCGCCCCATGCCCATGCCCATGCCCCACTGCGGGTACCTCGGGAAGGATCTGCAGGCCCAGGAAGGAGGTCTGTGCCTCCCTAGGGTCCTTCTCTCTCCTCAGCTCTTGGCACAGGAAGTCATGCATTGTCACGACCAGGATGCTGCTGCCTGTGCCTGTGGCAGGAAAGGACTAGAATGAGGTCCAGGCAGAGTGTGTACAGAAGCAGAGGGTACATGTCCCATGTGACAGATGGGAGTGGACAAGGTGCTTACACTCTCCCTGTGAGTCTACACAGCAACACGTGACTACAAGGACCCTTCCTGCCTTCTTTTCTTTCTTCCTTTTATTTATTTATTTTTCATTTTGGTCACCCAGACAAGGATCAAACCCAGGGGCAAGGTGCTCTACCACTGAGGTACAACATCTTTACATTTTTTTAATTTTTTGAAACATGATCTTGTGAAGTGCTCATTCATGATTTTAGCTTCTCCTGCCTCAGCTTCCAAAAGTGCTGGAGTCGCAGGCATGTACTACTATGCCCAGTTTGTGAGTCCCATTTCTACATAGAGAAACAGCTAGAGCCTTCCACCCTCCTCTGAAGCTTTGTGCAGTGCAGCTGGGAAGCACAGCTGCTGTAGAAGTTGCCCAGCAAACACTTATTAAGTTTTCTGTTGCCTGATAGAAGTGGTTCCTAACCTACTTAGTGACTACCACAATTCGAGGCACATGCCTTGCTTGGTGCTGGTATTTCTCTCAGTTGCAACTTTCACTGGGTAAAATACATTTTTGCAAACTGAGATCTTCAGTCTCTGCAAGATAAACGCCACCAAAACTAGCCTAGAGAAGAGGCAAAGCCAAGTCTCCAGTGATGGCAGAGAGGCCTGAAGAAAAAGTTCAGTGTTGCCCAGCCTTCTTCCTTATACTGTCACTGTATGCAGCTCCCCATGCCCTCCTACCCATAGCAACAGTCACTATGTACACCCAGCAGCTGGCACAGGTCTGGCCGTTGGGAGGAACCCATTTCACCAGCAAGAGGCCTGGGGATGCCAGTGCTGGTAGGCAAGAGGCACCACCTGGAGATGCTGCACTGGCATCCTGATGCTACAACCTTGGATTGCAGCCCCCTCCTCCAGCCCTCAGCCTCACCTGGGCAATAGCCCCTTGGTCCCTGGCCAAACTGATGGCTCAGAAGCCAATCTGGGTTTATATCTCCACTAGGACCTCTGAGCCCAGACAGCAGCGTCCTCCAGGAAACCTTTTATGCAGCTATTCAGGTACCCATTCAGGCTGGTAAGTAAGACCCTTGCAGATGGCTGCTCGTAGGAATGCTTGGCCCCCAGGAGCCGCAGGCCTACGCCACAGGAAAGCAGGGGAGGGGTCCTCTGCCTGGAGGCCACAGAAGCTCCTCCCCAACACAGTCTCCTGGCTTTCTGATGCTACATCTCCTACTGCAGGAGGAGAGGGCAGAGCTCAGCACCCACACTACTGTGTGAACAATCAAAGATGCAGATATGGACAGATGTGGGACTGCTGTCCCCACAGTGGGCCAGACAAACAAATCTGCTTAAAAATTCAAAGGAGGTAAAGATAGGATAAGTGAAGACATGAAGAGTTTAGGAAAACACTAAAGGTCCACGAGAACACCAATGGATGTTCGGGGATTACAGTGAAAATGTACTGAGAGGGTTTGGTAACCGACAGGACACAGAAGAAAGCTTCAGGCTGCTGTCATTTGGATCTTGAATATTTCCCAGCCATGGTGCTACTGGGAAGCAGCAGAACCCTTGAGAGGTGAGGCTTAGGGAGAGGGAAGTGTGGCCCTTGAAGAGGATGTTCAGGGCCTAACCTTTCTCTTTCTCCCTTGTTTCCTGCCACCAGCGGATGAATGGCCTTGCTGCACCCCACACCCCACAGTGACCCTCACCATAAGCCCAAAGCAACCATGGAATGCAGGCTGAAATCAACCTTTCCTCCTTTTAAGATGTTTTCTCAGGTAGTGAACAGGGCTAGAAAGCTAACACACAGGTTTTATCCAAACTAACACATGGAGAGAAAAGAGGAAGCAAAAAATGAAAGCAGTGCCTGAGACCTTGGGAACAGTGATAAACATTTGTGTAATCATACTGGAAAAGACAGGAAGATTTAAACTTCCCCCAGTGATGACAATAAACCCCCAAGACATGCACAAAGGCCTTCTGGCCTAAGCACAAAACCTCAAAACTGGGTGAGTGAATAGATTCAGCCAAACGGCAACAAGGAAGGATGGCAGGCTGCTGGTCAGGGACAAAGACAGCTAGAAGCCAGTAGATGTGTGTTTGTAACCTGCTGCGTGAACAAATGCCACTGGGCCAGTGTCTGCTTCCAGCTAACTCTGACTGGAAGACCTGCAAAGGGGATGCTCCAGGCTCAAGGGAACCATGCAGAGAAAACATATAAACATGGGAAGGAATAATACTCCAAGAATGTCAACACTGACAAAACGAGCTTTCTTACTTTCTTTAAAAGATCACTGACTGCCTAAGGAAAATATGTAAAGATATATTCTGGGTTTATCATGGCCTTAGAAATAAGCTACTGTCTTCAACAACAGCACAAAGGGAAGAGAGGTGGCTGGACATAGGCTATGGCAAGTTTCCTGGCTTACACATGAAGGCCTGACAGAGTTACCTGGGCTGGGCTGGGGTCGCAGCTGGGGTAAGATGTGATGGGGGTTCACAGTGCAGTCTTTTTTCCCCCACAATGCAATCTTTAGAGCAACCAGTAAAGAATAAAGCAATAAAAGAGGAGAGCTAAAAAGACAATAGACAAGACTACATTAGTATTAAAATAATCAGTCCAAAACAAGGCATGAAAGGAAGGACAAAAGAAAAAAAAAAGAGAACAGACCAGAAAAGCAGAAAAGAAGCAGAGTTATAGCCACCATCTGATAAACATCACCAAAAGTAGCTAGAGTAATGGGCAAAGGGTTTAAGTAGGCATTTCCCAGTCTGGGATGACACTCAGTGGGAGAATGCTCGCCTAGCACAGAAGCAAGGCCCTCAGGTCCATCTCCAGCAAAACAACAAAAAGAAACAGACATTTGCCAAAAGATGGTGTACAAGTGATGAGTAAGCATATGAAAACAAAACCACAGTGGGAGACCCTCATGCTTTCCAGGGTGGCTGTCACCAAAAAAGGCAGACAAGAAGGGCTGGTGAGGGCGTGGAGAAGTTGGAACCCGCATACCCTGCTTGTGGGAATGTGGGACGCCGCTGTTGCTCCAAAAAAACCCAACAGTTCCTCACACAGTTAAACACAGCCCATGTCTACCTTGGGAGAACAGGCGACACAGTATTGAGCTAGTACAGTAACACATAAAATATACCATGCTATTCAGCAACAAAAATGAATGAGCTATTGACATTTGCAGTAGCATAGATGAACCCTAAAAAGTACCATACTGAATGAACAAAACCAGATGAAACAGAATATATACTTCAGGGTCCATTTATAGAAAGTGATGGAAAAACCAAATTCATAGTGATAGAATGAAGAACAATCGCATCCCTTTGGGCAGGGCAAGGCATGGCCTGAAAGGGGGGTCAGAGAAACTTTCAGCAGTGATAGCAATGTGCTGTATCTTGATTTTTCTATAGTTAGGCTGTGTACGTAGTCAGCCCTCTATATCTGTATGTTTCACATCTGTGGATTCAATCAACTGTGGCTTGAAATTATTTGAAAAAAAAATCATGAGCAGAATGTACAACTTAGCCATAGAGCACTTAACTAGCCTGCACCAGCTCTGGGCTCAGTCCTGAGCACATACATACACAGGTCTGCACTGAAAACACATGGGCTTTCTCATCTGTCATTATTCCACAAACCACACAGCATAACCATCTATGTAATGCTTACACTGTTTTAGGTATTATAAGACATCTTGAGGTGATTAAAGTGCATGACATAAGAAGACAGGCACAGCCTCTACACAACCACTGTGCCATTTGACACAAAGGACTCAAGAAGCCATGGATTTTGATATCATCAGGGTGCTGGAGCCAGTTCCCTGCAGGCACTGAGGGACAAGTCTGCTTTTGTCATTACAACAACCTGCACCCTTCGGTGTTTTACCGTATGTAAAATATGCTTCAACTAAAGAATTTGTGGAATTTGTGAGTGTTACTCATGTGGTCTGGCAATGCCGGGTGGGGAAGCCCTTATAAAGTGCAGGCAGTGTTTGTGCCCTATGGTGTTCAGAAACAGCATGAGCTACCAGGCCACAGCCTGCACAGCCCATCACCCCTGAAAAATGTTGGCTTGGCTCCAAGGACATGAAAGGCCACAGGGATGTGCCAGGACAAGCACAGGTAACCACACCAGGGCCTTGCTGACCTGGTCCCTGGGGGAGAGAATGACACGCACACACAGGGCTATAGAGGACGCCAGTGGCAGCCACGTGACCTCAGCTTCTAGGCCAGGGTCGCCCTCAGAGCAGGGCCCTGTGAGAGCAGGGAAAGGGCAGGTGTGAGGAGGCCTAGGGATAGGGTGGGGGAAAGGCAGCTGGGAGCAGAGAGAAGTAACCAGGAAAGGGACCCTTCCTTCCCAGGCAGGGAGCCAGGCCATCTGGACTTACAGCACCACAGGCTGCTGCTATGCAGGCTGATGGATGTGAGGCCACAGCAGGGCAGCTGGAAGCGGCTGTTCACCTCCAGAGTGCTGACGTTCCATGCCAGGACTGTCCCATCCAGGCTGCAGGAGTAGACCTCACTGGAGGGACCAAAAACACACATGTTGATTTAGGCCTTTGTAGCACGGTGTGTTCCAACCACAGAGAGAACAAAGCCACCACTGGGGTCTCCACCACAGGGATGTGAAATAACGCAGCACTCCTGCAAGCACATGGCAGAGAATGGCCAGCTGGTCATGGGCTTGGCGAGTAAAGCTGCAGCTTGTCTGGTCTTAGCAAAGGGCTACCCAGCTCCAAGAGAAGTCCAGGAGGGCAAGCACACCTCAGCACTGGTTTAGAACCCACAGCTTCAGGAGGGCGGATTGTGGCCATCGCCATCTGTGACCCCCGTATCTTGTCGCCTAGTCCACGATCAGGTTCATGCCTGTGTCCTACCTGAGCTGGGCCTGGCAAGGAGAGAGGCTCTCTGAAGCGAAGTAGGGGTAAAAAGGGGTCAGGAGATCAGCCAGCCTGGAGAGGAACATGGGAGCTGGACCCACCTGCCAAGTAGCCTTTCCCCAGGGCCACCACAGAGACCCTGCCCCATCAGCACATGTATGTTGGGTGCTGTCTTCACCACACGACACAGATGGGCAGGACAGAACTGGGCATTCTTGACATAACACTACCTAGAATTACCGTTGGATTGTGGCCCTGAGAAAATACAGTGGTGTCCCAAACCTCAGTATCTCAGAATCTGACTGGACAAGTTAAAATAGGATCACTATGGTGGGACATGACCAGTGTGTCCTTATACACAGGGGAGCTGAGGACCCTGCAACAGACACAAGGGACACCACAGGTAGCCGGTAGCTAGTGTACCAGGAAGGAAAGACTCTTCACAAAGGGCTCAGAAGGTGCACAGCACTGCCGACACCTTGATTTTGGACTTCTGGTCTCCAGAACAGGGTGAATTTCTGCTCTAAGTATACTCATTGGTGGTGTTCTGTCAGGGTGGGCCTATGAAAGTAGGGCAAGGGAAAGGAATGTGGTTTGGTAGGACATGGTGACAGATCACATAAAGCAAGACACTTGGGCAGAGACTGCAAGAATCCTAGATGGTCCCCAAAGTTATACACAATCATAGGGTTTTTTCAGAGATGGCTGGATTTAGGTGTGATGCTTGGATGGATCATGGTACAATGCTAAACTCAAGAGCACTAGGAGGAGCACTAGGAGGGTGGGAGTGCTACCTGCCCTGAGTAGCCTGTACGAGATATAAAGGGGCAGAAAGAACTATGGTTATCCCTTGCTTGATTTGCTGCCCCCTGCCTACCATAGACTGTTTCTCTTCTCTGATGCCTGTCTGCTGCACCGCCCTGCCTTGTAGCCAGCTGATTATGGACTGAACCTTTACAAACTATGAGCTAAATACACTTCTCCTTTTAACTTTTGGTGTTGGGTATTTTGTCTCAGCAACAAGAAAAGTAACTAAGACACATAGAACCCTAGATGAGGCCAGAAAAATGACTCTAACAGTTCTTGCTTGAGATGCTGACTTTCTAGAATAGGGGAATGGGCACAGAAAGGCCAGCTTGCTGGTCACTACCCACCCATCTGTGTGGCCTTGTGGATACCTCACGCCCTCTCTGGAAGCCTCCCTGGATCAGGACAGTCTCAGGGCTTTGTGTTTCAAATCTTTTTCTCCACAGTGACTTGGTCCCAGGTGGGATGAGGCTGGGGTGGGGACACAGGTGGACACAGTTAGATAAGCATACCAGTTTGACAGGACTTGCCTGTGCCTGCAGTGTTGTTGTGGTTTAAATCTAGAAGGTTCCCCAAAGTCTCATGTGTTCAGGGGTGGGGATGCTGGAAAGTGACTGGATAATGCGGGGCACAGTACTCATCAGAGGATTGATCCACTGATTAGCTCAAGGCTGAACGCGCTGCTAGCAGGTGCACCTGGACTGTGAAGACACTGGAAGGGTGTGTTTTTGTCCCCATTTCCTCCCTTCTCTCTGCTTATTGGCTGCCACAAGTTGAACTTCTTCCTTTTACCAAGCCCTTCCACTGTGCTGTTATGCCTTGGACTAAATCCTCTGAAAACCATGAGCCAAAATAAACCTCTCCTCCCTCATGCTGTGGGTGTTGGGTATTTTGCCCCAGCAACTAGGAAAATGATGAATACAGTGGAGTCTGGAGTTTCCTTTCCGGCATCCCCTGAAGAAGAGAAGGCAGGGCCACAAGGGAAAGTCCACTGGGTGAGTTTTAAAATGAAGATTATGGCACCAGCGACATCTTCCCCACCCAGAAAACAGCTAGAGACAGGTCAAGGGACACAGCTGCCCCACGTCAGCTCCGTCGCTTCCATGAGGAAGAACGCCATTGGTCCTGGTCAGTCTGTACACTGCTGGCCAGCACGTAATTGGTGGGGGACACAGGGGATGTTGCAATGACAGATTTAAAATGGAGCCAAGGCTGAACACTTGGGTAATCTCACACAGAAAGACAAACTGCTGGTGTCAGTAGGAAAATGAGGCAACTGAAGCTATGGGTGCTATTCTTACAGGAGGCTCGCCCTTCTACCACAGGCCTCCAGCAGAAAGGCCAGGTGCCAAGACAGGTCAGTCTCAGAGAATAAACACCCATCTCATACCCACAACAGAAGCAGACCTTGCCTGTCATCTCCCAGCCAATCCACTCACTCGGCCTCCTGGTTCCTAGCACATGCACCTCAGGAAACCCTCCTGAAAGCCAACAAGTAAGTCTACGTCCCTGCTTGGCCTGTGTACCTGGGCTTCTTCCCATTTTGCACGATCAGCCCTGTGACAGCAGTGCGGTGGTCCGTGAGCTGCTTGTTGCAGGACATGCTGTGGACATTGATGATGTAGATAATGGAGTCGTCCGAGCCGACCCACACCTGGCTCTGCTCCGCCATCACCATGCAGTTCTAAGGGGAGGCCAGGAAAGAAGAACAATGCTCAGTGTTCACGGAGTTCCACCCCACCAATGTGCCACTAACACCAAGTAACCCAGTACTGAACCCTTGTTCCTAGTGACAAAAAGCACTAGACCCAGAGCACCTGATCGTGGCATCTTCTTCAGTGGGTTATTATGTGACCTTGTTATAGGTTTTTGTGTTTCCTCCTAAGATAGTTTACTGAGTGCACACTGTTGATTCATTAATATTGTGCTCATAGCCATGGAGACTATCACCACACCTGAGTGAAGCTCACCTAACCCCTCTGTCTTCTCCATAGGGTGTGTCACAGGCTCTGTGCACACAGGAACACTACTCTAACCATGCTTGTGGCCACCGTAATTGGTGATAAAAATCACCAATTAAAGCACAAAAAATATGGAAACCATGGGAAACAAGGAAAGGCTGCTTATCTACCATGTGAGTGGAGGGAGAAAACAGTGACATTTGTCAGCCTCAGCTTTTCCCACTCTGTGCATAACTAAGAAGCCACCATGGAGTCACACATAAATTTTAGCAAATGGCTGTGAAGAATGCAGAAAGGAAGGTCTACCACATAGGGGCAACCAACAATGCGACTCTCTGTTTCCAGAGAGTGTCCTTGGGGTCTGCTGCTTACCAAGGCCAACAGTCAGCAGTCTTTCTGTTTATCCCTAGGCTTTTTGATATTGCACATTTAGGCTTAAGACACCAAAGAGTCAGCACGACATGCACCACATGAAGGGCTGTGTTTGCTTGCATCTAACAGTCAGTCTAGTGGCCTGACCTGCCCCGGCCAGTGCCAACAGAGATGGTCAGGCAGCTGATGCCTGCACTATGATTACCTCTTCTGTCTCCATCCATGACGAAGCCCACATGGTACCACTAAATAAATGTCTCACAGTTTCAAGCACACATAGAGGGGCTGGGGGCATGGCTCAATGGCACAGCGCCTGCCTGGCAAGCGCAAGGTGCAAAACTTCTATTCCCAGTATATGTATATGTGATGGTTTTCAGTACACATAGATTTTCAGAGGGTAAAAATAACATCATTCTGGCAGGTTATTGAGGACTAGATACAATACTGGATATAATCAGTGTCAATGGTGGTTATAATCTTTAAGTAAGAAGAAAGCTTTCTTTTTTTTTAGAAAGCTCATAAAAATTAATAATTTAAATTCTAGTTATAAAAACTGCTGTAATTTAGAAAAGGAAGCCAACTTGTTAATGCAAGAACTATTCATTTAAAAGAGCCCTTTCTACAAGCAAAGGCCCTGATCTGTGCTCATACCTGATTGCTATACAACTTGCTTCCCCATTTGCTCCCGATTTACTCAATTTTGCCTGAGTGATTACACTTGTAATCTTACCAATCGACAATAGTTCTGTCCCACCTCGTGACCACTTCCTTGCGAGTTCCCAGTTTTCCCCACCTTGGACCCACTTCACCTCGTGGTTTTGCTGTATAAAAATCCTAGACAAGGTGGGGACCACAGCAACCCACTCAGAACCCCTTCTCTCTCTCTCAGACAGATGCTTTCTTTCTCTCAATAAATATACTCTGCATTAAAATAAAATAAAAGAGCCCTTCATTCTTACATCTAAGGAATGGTATAATTTTAGTAAAATGTCTTGCCTACATGGCCAAGATATCTTAGATTAAAACTAATTTGAACTTCCCACTTCAGGCAAGGCAGCATTTTTCTTGAGCTATTCTCCAGGTTTCTTTCACATAGAAAGATAGGAAATAGCTGTGAAACTGGGAGGTAGATATTTTCACACAACTGAAAAACATATTGCTTTCAGTGTTCCCAGGCCTAACTGGAGGACAGTAAGGATGGCTACAAAATTAGCTTCTAATTTTATTTTAACTAGAATTTTTAAATTTCCACTATTAAAAAGTCTTTCAAATGTTATAATGAAGAACCAAGAGTAAAAAGTTAATCTAGATTAAGCATAATTCCCTTAATTTCTCTTTCCTGTTTTGTTTGGTTGAAAGTGTTACTGACCCTTGGTAAATACTTTGACTTATTGTACTATGAATCCTGTTACTCAACTGAGGCTCAGCTGAACATGGAAAGAACTGAGTACCGTCTCGTCACCTTGCTCACTGCCACTCAGACACTAGGAGTGACTCCTTCCTCCTGAAGGATGTCTGCAGTATTTGTTTTATAGCAGTTTTGAAAGCCCACGTGGTGCCACAAACTGTCCTATTATTTTTAGGTGATGAAACCCAGCTAGCACAGTCGATGGTCAGCAGGGCCTAATGAGCCTAAGCAGACTGTCGTTCCGCCTTCAACAGGACCTCAACGGTTGCATCATGTCGGAGAAGAAGAGTGCCAGGGTTCCCTTATGTCCCTAGATGTCCTGAACAGAGTGAAGCACCAGGTGGGGTATGTAGATGTGGATCCAGATGTGGGATTCAAAGAACACATGCACACCAGTAAGAAGAGACAGTGAGGGACGCGTGCACGGAGGACCACGGGGCACCGGGTAACTGACAAAGCATAGTAAACAAAGCTCGTCTTGTGAGTCCAGGGAAATGCAAGGAGGCACTTGTCACACTGAGTGGAGGGCCAGGAATGGGGTCTCCCGTGGAGAGACCATAAGGCAGGGGTCCTGGGCTGTGTGTACAGGCTAATATGATTTATGACACAAGCTGTGCCACGGCAGTGCCAAGGACACAGGACTCAATGTGTACTTTCTGTGAAATCTTCTAAGCTTGCTGTGACTCAAAGGACGAAGGTGTGACATATTTTGACAGCTGTGGTGTCTGCTGCCTGGTCCATAGGGCAGTCAAAGGCCCACTCAAGCCTCCAGAGGAGCAGCTCACTCCTTTTTTGAGTCCAAGAGACTCACCTATCACCCTCACCAGCAAACATCAGGATTCACAAGGGCCATGGTCTTCAGTCACCTCATGATGTCACCCACCACGTGTGCACCATGCTGTGGCGTATGAAGCAACCCAGGGTTTTCAAAGGTGGGTGAGAGGTTAAGCCCTTACCTTAACCTTCAATCATCACATGTAAGCAAAAGGGGAAGGTGAGCTTACACTTCACTGAAAAATGGGAGGCCTTCAAAACTACAGGCCTCCCATTTACAGACCATGTGTTCTCTGGAGACTGAAGGCCACCACACTCGTGTGTCAGACCTCGTGGGCACCTGGATACACACACAGCAGTCTGAGCTGAGCAGCTTGATCTACTCACCACCTTGGAGGTGCCTACTTTAAAGCAGGGCTGATGGATGGTCCAAGAGGAAGCATCAAACACGACTACTCTGCCTTCGCTCAGGGCGCACCACAGCTTGGGGTGAGCATCCTCCACCTTCTCTGCAGGGTCGAGGTGCCCTAAAGAGGAAAGTGGCCATAGTGTTGGAAGGGAACCTCTGAGTGTATCGGCAGGGCAGTGTGACATTTCCGGGTGTTACGGTGGTACTGAGCACCAGCTGCTGTGCAAGGTACTGAGAGGCATGAAACCACACCCTGCCCCATGCACACAGAGCTTGGTGCCTTGTGAACAGGCTGCCCACCATGGAACCACAGGATGGACAGAACTAGGTCAGAGGTAGGGAGTGCGTGCTGAACTACTGAACTAGTTCTGCAGTGACAGTTTGCTCTCGAGAACCACTTAGGAGCAGGGACAAGAGGAGAAGCCAGTGGGCTCCCCACACACAGCGCAGGGGTCAGGCAGAGACACTGAGGCTATAGTACTGAGCTTCCACCAACTTCCATGACACTGAAGGGCATGCCCAGGCTCCTCACTCCACAGCTTCACCAATAACGGTGGCTTCAAGTCTGGCCACTCTAAGAATGCAAAGTTTCTGGGGGGTTTTCTTTGCTTTTATTGGTTTGTTTGAGGCAGGGTCTTACTGTGTTGCCCAGGTTGGCCTTGAACTTCCGGATACAAGCAATTCTCCTGCCTAAGTCTGAGTGCTGGGACTACAAAGCAGGCCACCAAGTCCTAGGTCAGCTTGTTTTTGGTTTTATAACTATAATTTTATTGGCATTTTCTTTCTTGCTCTTGAGGCTGAGGTTTTTGCTGGTCACTGGGATGTCACTTTCTATTACAGAAATAGTTCATCTACTAACAACTTCTGAGGGTCCCATGTCCCTCTCTGGGTAGGAGCCCCTAACCATTATACTGTGCCAAAATGTCCTTTCCCATCTGTGACTTGCACTTTCACTCTTGGAAATAATGTTTGATAATCCTCAATTTCAGTGTAGCCAACTCCATTCTTCCCTCCACAGTGAACACCTCAACACACAGGTATATTTTGTGCATAAACATCTGGCAGTTTGCTGGCTTTAGTTACTGTTTGTTTGCTGTGCCTGTCACACGTAGATTTCTGTACCCTTCAATTGGTGAGAGGCTGAAGTGGGTCGGGACTTATCTCCCCACATAGAGACACAGCGTTACCCCAACATGTACTCTCAGCCCCATCTGCCCAGCAGAGCCACCTCTGCCCTTATCAGGGCCACAGGTCTGCCTTCTTTCTCAGGCATCTATTCCATTGCTCCTTGGTCCCCACAACGGGAGGCCCAGTGCATATTCCTCCCACCCAGGGGAGCCTCAGCCCATTTGAGGCCTACAGACTTGGTTCTTCCAGCTCCGTATGTGAAATTCTAACCCGAGCTAATGGCTTTGAGGAACTGCCCATCGTGGTGGTTCCAAGCCCAGTGTCTCCTTCATCTGGCCATGCAGGCTTGCAAAGCTCCACTCCATCAGCTCCTCAGTCCCCAGAAGTGGCAGCCAGGCCGCAGGGAAGAGCAGCTTCCTACCCTTCCCTGCCCCCTGGCCTTTATGTGGACACAGCAGAGACACAAAAAGCAAGGGTCTGGGAACTTCTCCCTCAAGGCAGGAAGCCCACGGTTTGGTCAGCACTGTAAGAAACTGTCTTGGATCTACTGTGATACAACAACTAGTGAGGTCATCAGAGTCTTGGTCAGATCAACCCACAGTGCGTGTGGGACAAAAGCCCCTCTTGAGAGGAGGCCACCACACAGCCTACATTTGCCTGGTCAGACAGCTTAGTGGGGTCACCACACCCAATGGGACGGGGACCACACAACAGTGAGCAACAAAGATGCTCACTATTCATTCTGTCTCCACAAAGGGCCAGGTTACCCCATGACACAGCCTATGTCCCATTCCTGTCGCAATGAACAGGCAGGACACCAGGTCCTCAGGACAGAAGCAGGAGTCCATGCCGTAGCTCCCAAGGGAGAATACGTGAGCTAAGTGCCTTACAAACTGCTACAGAGGGAAGGGCACTCACTCGGGGCAGGGAGGAAAGCTCCACGGAACCCTTCCCAGAACCTCTGCTGGATCGCCAGCTGCAAGGCCCCAGAGCCACGAGCTGCAGCGGCCAAGGCGGATCAACCTTCTCGGGATTTTATTCAAGAGCAGAAATAACCCTGTTTCCACCACAGTGCTGCCTCCTCCCTTAGGGCTAACCTCAAACCCAAACTTAAATTTATCAGGTTGTTTCTAACCTAGCAGCATAAACCAGTAAGACAGCTTGGTACCTGGCGTGTAAAGCAAGACGTCAATGGCTTGTGGGTCAGTCTCTCCCGCTGAAGGGTTGATCTTGTGCTTCAGCGTCTCCGAGGTTGTTTTGGGGACAGCCATGGGCACTGAAATACAAGCCCTGAGGGTTAGTTCCTCAGACGCAAGACCATGACATCACGAATAGTCTCACACACTGCTGCCCTCAGATCAAGAGTTTTGGGGTAAAACTGCGTGATTCCTGCTGAGGAAGTTATCTGAACCTGGGACTCTGGGTGCTCTTCTTGTGTACTGTTGAGTAAAGCAGTGGCAAGAGGGACAGGCCTGCATCGAATGTCCCCACCTTTCCCTCAGCTGGGAGGCCGCCACCAGGTCTCTAGCCACACACACCCACCAGACACTGCTGAACAGAGAAGGCTTCATTGCTCAGCAGCAAAATGCTTCCAGATGAAAGGGACAAGGGCCTAACTCGAGGGCAGTGACACTTGCTGCTGCGGGGCGGTCCTGTATCCCCTGCACTGCATGGTTCAGCAGCATCCTGGTCACTCCCCAGGCACCAGGCCAGCCCGATCCACACACCAGTACACCCCAAAGGCTACGCAGGGATGGAGTATAAACCGTCTCCAATTAGAAGCACTGTCCACGAAGGCCCTCTCCCTCCTGCCCTTCTGCTGCACAATTCACTGCATTTCCAGGTGGAGCCTGTGCCTGCCTCTCTCTGGGGCTCCTGGGACCACCTCTGGGAGGGAGGCCTCCTCTGCTGGCTTCCTGGGAGACTTCACCAGCCTTCTTCTCCCATCAGCCACTGAGTCATGCCATCTGGGGTGGGAGGACTGTGTAGGTACTCACCAACTGCGTCTCTCCCCTCTTCTTTCAGAGTCTCACTAAATTGCCTTGGCAAGGCTCTAACTTTTGATCCTCCTGCTTCAGCCTCCCAGAGAGCTAGGATTACAGGCATGTGCCAACACTTCCAGCTTCCTCCCTCATCTTATTACACCTCATAACAATCTGATGAAGTCAATACTATTACCACCAAGAAAAGAAAATAAAGATGAAAACCTCAAGTGTGCAGACATTAGCTGAACTGCTTAAGATCACAAGATCAGTATAGGTCAGCCAGGACCTCAACTTGGGTTGACTGCTCTCACCTCTCTGCCAATTTCCCCAAGTTAACACTGTATTTTGGATATTTTCAGACCCCTCACTGTGAACCGACCAGAAACCACAAAGTTGAGCTCAGGACCATGCATCTTTACCTAATGATGCTCTATATGATGGACAGTACTTCTTGATTTGCTAGGAAGAGATCAGGAATTCAGACATGTTTTGTGACCTGAGCTTAACTGGTCCTTCCTTTTCCACATAAAGCAAGGTAGACAATAACTGAGAGGGAGCTGCCTGTGCCCAGTGCTCCCACATGGCTCTGTAAACTCCAGGCAAAGGTCAGGATAAGCTTGGACTGTATAAGCAGTTAAAGCATTGTGTTTATTTGATTTTGTTCCTAAGGAAAAAAGAAAACAAGTGCCGTCTGGTTCAAGCCACTCTGGCAGGTTGTGTGGTAACACACAAGGCTCCAGAGTTTCCTGGCTGCCGCCAATTTAGTGTCCCCTGGGTTATGTGGGTGGAGTGAATAATCAGAAAGCATCAGGGATCCCTCAGTCAGTGGCAGATGTCACAAAGAGGGCAAAATATGCCAAAGTAAATATAACGGGGTTTGTTTTTTCTAATTTTGAGAGAGTGTTTCAAAAACTAGCACCACCTAGCTTTCTATTCACAAGAAACAAAAACAAATGTCCTCACACAAACCTGTACGTGAATGTTCACATCAGTATCATTCATAACAGGCAAAGAATAGACACAACTCAATTGTTCATTAACTGATGAATGGATAAAGAAAATGTACTATGTCCAAACCATGGAATATTATTCAGTCATAAAAAGGCAAAGAGCTAACACTGGCTACAACATGGATGAAAGAAGCCAGGGGCAAAACGACAATTACAAATCTGTAGAGACCAAAAGCAAGTCAGTGATTGTTCATGGAAGGGGAGGTAGATACTCAAGGGGTGACAAAAACCTCTATAATCCTCTACAGCAATGGTCTCACAACTCTGATATTCTAGAAACCACTACATACTTTAAATGAAAATTATGTATCAATAAAGCTATTATAAAAAATTCAACAAAACGCACACAAGCAAGACTAGATGTCCTTTAGAAGGCATTCCTATTTTGTTAACCTGTTTCATAAACTACTTTTATATTGTTAGTTTAACACATTAATCGTAACAAGTCCTCCTCAGTATATTTTTTACTTTTTTATGCAGATCACCAGACAGTGGATGGTAACAGATCATTTAAAATGGAAACAAACTAGAAATAGCTAAAATGATGTGCAAAGACCCAGGAGAACATGGCGGACAGACAACAGCAACTACCGAAGGCTCTCTGAAAGGCTCGGCTCAGAGGCCAGGAATGATGCGGACTAAGGAGACACGAACCAGTAGAGATATGCTCTGCTGACTCAGGAACAAACTGGGCTGAAAGAAACCAACTTAGAATACAGTCCTGGCGCTAAAATAGGAACAGAAAAGGCTCGGTGTGGAGGCTCGACCGCGCGCCATTGGAAACCGCGATTTGGGTTTCCCGCCGCCCGGCGGCTGGCTGCCTCCACAAGCGGCTCTGCAAGGAGAGACACACAGAAGCTCGGGAACGGGAGTCTGCGAACGGAGTCGAAAACAGGACGGACAAGGAGGCGTACACGAAAACTGACTGGTGGCGAGGTGAGTGAGAAACGGACCCCCTACCACAGTTTGACTCCAGCGGAGGACTTTTTGGGTTCGGGCAGTCCTGTAAGAGCAGGGCGCGGTGGCAACTCCAGCCACACATTCCCCTCTCGGACGGGATTGGTGAAAAGTTCCTGGCCTGAGTGACGCTGCTGGCGGACTCCCTAGGCTGGCCTAACCCAGATCCCAGAGCCTGACGGTGGCCCGGAGGAGCGACTGACTGCCGCGTAGGCTGCCTCCTCCGCGACTCCCTGGTGCGCAGCGGTGGGCGGGAACAACTAGCCAGCGCAATTTGACCAGGCTGTGGCTGACAGGCAGGGAAGCCGGGCTTCCTTTGTAAGCTTGCATTTTATAAGGAAGAGAAAATATGGGGAAGGAAAGCAACAAAAAAGGCTCCTCGGCCCCCAATCCTGAGAATCAGGCAATAATGGACACCGCACCAATATACATTAAGCGCCATCTAGAGAGCCTCATAGACCAATTCAGGAATGAAGTTATCAACGACCTGAAGCTAGAAGTATGCAGAATAGTTAGAGAAATGCTAAGCACCACCCAGGAAAAAACAGACGGTGGAATGGAAGAACAGAAAAAGAGGGGAGAATTGCTTGATGGAGAAAACAGAGAAAACATTGAGTATGTGAAGCAGGTTCAAAGGGACTATCAAGAAATTAAGAAGTCTATCGAAGACTGGCATAACAGCTTGAAAGAAACTAAGGACAGACTATCTGAACTGGAGGGCAGACTTGTAATATGGGAGAATGAAATGAAAAACTTCTTAAAAATGACAAAGAAACAAACAGCAATAATACAAAGACAAGAAGATGATAAGAGGAGCCATAACTTAAGGATTAAGAACATAAAAGAAGAAGTAGGGACACAAACAAGTGAACTACAAAAGCTACTCACAGAAATAATCCAGGAGAATTTTCCTAATTTAGCAAAAGGTAAAGATACTCAGATGTATGAGGCATACAGGACCCCAGCTACCTACAACCCTAACAGAGAAACACCCAGGCATATAATAATAAAAATTCCAGAAATTCAATACAAGAACAGAATATTAAAAGCTGTAAGAGACAAGAAACAGACTACTTACAAGGGAACACCCATCAGAATTACGGCAGATTTCTCTTCACAAACCATCAAATCACGAAGAGCGTGGGGGGAAATAATTCAAGCTTTGAAAGATAATAATCTCCAGCCAAGATTGAGATATCCTGCACAACTGTCCCTGGAAATTGATGGAAAAACGAGGTGCTTCCAGGATAAAGAGGAACTGGGGGAATTTGCAACCACCAATTCAACCCTACAGAAAGTATTGCAGGATATTCTAAAAAAAGAAAAATACAAAGAACCCAGAAATAGTGGCGGGGAGGCTACAACGAATGGAGCAGAGAACAAAATGAAGAAGACAAACTGACAGCTACTGACAGAAAAAGAGCTCAACAGAAATGAGACAGAGACGATTGGATGATAGGAACAGCTATTTTGGAGAAAATGACATCTTAATAGGTAATACTGATTTAGTACCATCTTGTTTTGAAGTCTCATCTAGCTTTTGTTCTTCTGTCTCCAATGGTCTAAACAGGTTGTATCTTATTGGATTTTATTATGTACGATAGTATAAGCAAAAACCTTTTAAAGACAAGGAGATTATACAGAAACCATTGTTCATTTTCTGTTAGTCGATTCTAAATACTCTATAATGCTGTCATTCTCTTAAATGGTTTTACATTGTTTTGATATACTTAATGCTACAGTATACGAAGTTGTACTCAAGGACTTCAAGGAAAGAGTCAATATGGTAACTACTTTTGGGTCGGAAATATCTGGTGGTGAAACACTATTCTGCTTAAATGGTTATGTTTTGATCTGCCCTGTTTCACTGTTATGCCCTCTTTTTTTCTCAATCTCCACTCCATTATTTACTTTTTTATTTTTATCCGTTTAATTAAAGGGAAAAAATAGCAGGATATAATATAGTAACCCACTTTGACTTTCTATTATCTCGATTTGAAGCCCTGTATTACTCTCACCATCTTGTTTTTGACTGAGGTTCCTCTATTCTGTTTTGCTGGATAGTATCAGGTTCGAAAGTTTAGGCATCAGCTGAGAAGATAATGAGATTCATTATAACGCCCATTCTCGTTGACCTTTATCTACTTTTGAAGACCTACAATATCTCCAATGTTTTGGTTTTGTCAGTTTTATTCTTTACTGTTTTGTTCAATTGTATTACAACTAATGATATAGGCAATTCTATTAGAAATAGCGGGAGGCATTATGGTAACCATTGTTGATCACCTTGTATTATGTTTTTATGTTATCTATTATATCCACCCTTTTGACTTGACTGATTCGGTTCTGTTATGTCACATTTGGTTTTACTCTCTTCCAAAAAAGCAATAAGAACTGTGGGAGCAATGAAACCCAAAATGTGTAATAGTCACTGTACAAAAGAGAGGAAAAGAACGTGCTCTAAACTATATAACTGCATGTATATTTAAATGTATAAGATAGAAAATGATATCACAGAGTTTTATTGGATCATTGAACAGAACTGTTTGCAGCATCATTGTTGGAATGTCCACTCTACAAGCTTTAATTTTGTGACTTGAACAATTATTTCTAAGATGGCAATATGTAATCCATTAACTAGTGATTTCCTACTGCACATTTTTTTCTTCTGTAAATCTGTATAACTTGTACCCCTTCACTGTTTTTTTTTCTTTTCTTTTCTCCTTAAATAAATAAATAAATAAATAAAATGATGTGCAAAGTCTTCTTTGCTCCTAGACTGAAAATCACCTAAAAAACACACCTGAGCCTACCATCCATCTGTGTGTGGCTTCTAAAAAGTAAAGACCAGATAGAAATGCACGGGAAGGAGATTAGAGAATTCCAGGCTAGGGAAACCAACCAAATCAAGTTTTTTAAAAAAAAAAAAATACATGCTAACATTCACCATCCTCCTAACCCTACGCAGTGATAAAGTCCACCAGTGCACAGGCCAGCCACATAGAGGGCCCATGGCCTTCAGGGAGCATGTTTCTAACTACAAGACCAACACACCACTTGGAGATCCCATGACCCACTTAGTAACCTTGCACAGATTTGTAGCCTGCTTGCACCAGCCAGAAGACATTTTGTTGTTTGCAACTAAGAATCACAACAAACCCCTTACATTATGAAACCTCTTACAAATGTTCTCCAAGAGCAAATGAAAAGGTGTCCTGATGTATAAAGAGCTGTGAGCCCTCTGTTAGTGAAACAAGGGAAGCACAGGTCCCTGCAAGGGACACAGAAATAAATTAGAAGGTGCAAGACAAAAGCAAGATGGAGGGAGGGAGGAGGGAAGGAAGGAAAAGGAGATGAAAATGTAACTGTGATGTGTTATACACGTGTACCAACTCCCATATGGAATGCAAAATTATGTCCTGCAAAGATGTACTAATAAGAAAATAAAATATTTTAAAAAGAGAGAAAAGCAAGCAAGGGACAGAGTCACTTAAGAGCGCTCTCAAGACATTGCTGTGTGAAATTGGAGCTTGTCTTACTTTCATTCTTCATCTTATCAAAGTAAGACAACTTGGAAGCAGCACTGATGGCCCCCGGGGACTGCAGTGTGCCGACCACAGCATCCATCAGTAAGACATTGGTCAGCGCCTGCTGGACATACTGCGGGTCCTACGACAGAAACAGGTACACATCAATTCACAGGCCTCACGAAAGTCACCTGCCCAGGAGACCTTGTTGCCTTACAGGAGGCAGGACTTCCACCGGTACATTTTCTTACAGCAAAACAAGAGGAGTTTGAATGAAACATGAATTCGGAGTGTGTTTCATCATTTTTCCCTCTCAGTTAAGGCTGGCACTGATGCTCTACCTCCGCGGCCAGCAGACTTTCTCTGCAAAGAGCCAGGCAGCCAACACTCCAGGCCTGGGGGCCACACCATTGCTGCTGTCACCTGAGCTCAGCTCTGCCAGCAGCACAAAGCTGCCTTTTGTAACATGCAGGTCGAGGCTTGGCAAAACTCGTTATGCAAAACAGTTCACCAGTTTTAGTTTAACTGTGCTGGTTTATGCTAAATATTGTAATACATGGGGCGTAAAACCAAGGGCTAGCCCAAAAATCACATAATACTGAAAGCTTAGAAAGACCATGTCCCCCCTCCAGTGACTGGGAAGTCCTCACCACTCAAAGTTCTGTTTTTTCCAGTGCCGGCCTACCATGGTGGGTGCCATCGTCACCTGCGCTTCTCCAGTGACTAGCGGGACTACAATAGCACCATGATTTTATGGAGTGTACCATGTGTGTACAGCCTTGCTTGCGGCCCTACCCTGTGTAACAGGCTTCCTGTTATAGCTTTCCAGTTACACCATGAACAGCTCTCACCTATCCCTGCCTCCTTCATCACCACAAACCGTGAGCGCATCACTTGGGGTAAACAAAGCCAGCAGTTTGGCCCAAAATAAGGCATGAATATACAAAACTGCCTACAATATAAACTGCAGCCAAGAGAAGAAACCCAGTACCTTCCCTGCCAAACCCTAATTTGGCGAGGCTGGAGGGTGCAATCCCTCAGAACAGCGTGTGCCCAAAACATCAACTAAGACCTAGCAGAGTGGACAGGTCAGCACAGCCCAGGCCTTGTCACCATCCAGTGGAATGTCACCAAAGTGGAGGGGATGAGCCCTCATGATTAGTCCACCCCTGTGTTTCCTCGCCTGGCACCCACCACATGCCAGTAAGCTTCTAGCTGGGTCACACAACATTCCAGAGAACCAGACCTCACCCTTGGGCCCTGACGGCAGGGCACTCGCCTGCCACCCAAGCTGGTCACAGGAGGCAGGAGTGACTGACCTTGTGGTCATCGGCCAGCTTCTTCCCAGCCCACATCTCCTTCACCATCAGGTACCAGAGGTCACACTCGGATTTCAGGTTAGCCTCGAAGACATCCTTCTTGGACATCATCTTAATCTTCAAAGTGGGTATTCTTAGGAGGAGAAAAGCAACTGTGGTGCTTTTGACTTCCTGCAGAGGCAGAAACGGCAGTTACATCAGAGCAAGCACTCAAAGGGTGCTAGGTCACAGAAGACAGGGCACAGTTGTCCTGAAGAGAAGCCCCCACCAAAGAAAGAAAAGACAAGAAAAAGACGTAAGATGCAGTGGCTCCTTGTGGTCATAGAGACAGGAGCAGCTCACTGAAACACCAGAGCCCTAAGCCTACCCTGTGGTCTCTGTTGGAAGGCCACTACCTGGCTTCTCCAACCACAGCACTAAACCACCCCAGCCTCTAGAGCATCCTGACACTACAGGTGTACAAACTCAGGAGCATAGCAAGTGTCTGTGCAGGTGGCTATGCTGGAAAAGTGGGTGGCTGTCCTCACTCGTCCAGAGCAGAGCTGACTCCAGCCTGGGACTCGGGGCTCCCAGACCTCACCTCTATGTTCCTAAAGGTGGAGATCTCCACATAGCCCGGCCTCCCCTCAGTCAGCAGGAACAGGCGCTTCTGGGTCATAGCGATCTTGCCGACGCCACGGTTGGTCTTGACAGAGTTTGACAGCTTGTAGACACACTCATTTTTATCCAGATGCTCCTCCACCAGCGATGGCAGACTGACCTCCTGGGCCTGAGCTTCTGTCTCCTTCCAGCAGTTGTAGAAATCTCTGAATGTTTCTGGGTCGATCACTTTCTGCTGTCCTGAATTTCATAAGAAGAAAAAGAGATTTCTCACAGCTAAGGGAGATGAGACTTTGCACGACCTTAAGAAACAGTGTGTTACCCAAACCAGGCACCAAGTGGCACCAGGATTGAGGCCTGTATGGATTGGCACCTTCTCACAGGAGGGCTTCCCTAGCGGCCAGCAGCCAAGGTGTCCAGGTGAGGCTCATGGCCTGGCTGCAGGCCATCTGCCTTTTGAGCTGACAGAAGATGCCTGTGTGCCCTAGTGCAGGTGGTCACAGCTCTAGGAAGGAATTCCAAGACCAAGACACACTCATGACGTATACACATTTTCACTATGAGAACTGAAGGCCCCCAACCAAGGACATTAGGAGAGCTAGCCCTGAAATGAAGCTAATGCTGAAGATGTCAGATCCGTGGGGACTCTCGTACACCATGGATCAAGCCTTACCTGAACTAGCTCTACCTTGGTTGTGAGCAAACAGGGCGTTTGTGTTTAGTCAAGGATGCAACAGTCTGTCCAAAAGTCCAGCCTTCTCTAGTCAGAGACCCAAATCTGAAGCCAACTTCCACTTCTGTTCAATACCAAAGAACTTGCTTCCTTATCTATAGGAGGAAGATGGACCTTCCCCACACAGCTGTTAACAAGCCCACTCTGATAAACAATAAGATACCGTATGTGGTGGTACGAATCTGTAATACCTATTCAGGAGGCTGAGGCAGGAAGATCTCAGCTCCAGGTCAGTATGGGCAACTTAAATCTTGTCTCAAAACACAAACTGAAAAGGGCTAAGGATATGGCTAGGTGGTAAAGCTCTTGTCCAGCTGGTGCAAGGCCCTTGGTTTGATCCTAGGACCAGTAGCAAAAATTGGTAGGTAAATAAATAAATAAGCTATTTGTGATGACAGTTATCTGGGGGCATTACACTGCCATAATGGGGTTGGGACTAAGTCACTGCCACAGTACTCTATGAGAGAACAGCCACGTGCAGGGGTGGGTGCTGCAAGAGGCTTCCAAGGAAACTTCCTTGGCTTTTACATCTTGCTTCCAAATTATGGCAGCTGAGAGTGCAGAATGAGCCAGACAGGAAGATCCAGCAGGCCACCAAACCACATGCAGGGGCCTGACTATGTGATGTGGGGCTCTCCGCCAGATGGCGCTGTTTTGACTTAGTTCTTTCTGTTTTGACTTAGTTCTTTCTGTATTAAGTGGTTTATATTGGTTAAGTATATTCACTACATTAAAAAATTTCAAAGTCATTGAATCCAAACAGAAAGACTCAAACCCTATGAGTATATATGCACTTGTCTAATGAATGCAAAAGTAGTCGCTGAAGAAGACCAATAGCAGGGTGCCAGGTGTACCTTGTGGGTCTCTGCAGTCCCCTGCAATGGGCAATGAGGTCTGCAAGAGGGTCACTCCTTGACTCCATCAGATGGCTGGCCACCAACACAAGTGGCGCCCTCTTTCAGGGTTTAGACACCTTTTCCCCTGCCTTGCCTTTGGCTGGGAAGCTCAGTCTGCACTTCTGGAGGGCCTGAGTGACTGGGTCTGTGACACTTTCTTCAGACATCACTTAAGAAAACCAAGAAACCAGAGAACAAGAAGGAACTCAGATAGCAGGCAAGACCACTGAGCATGACAGTGAAAGCCAAGCACTCAACCATGAGCAAGAGACAAGGGTTCAGCAGAATGGCTCTCAGGACAGATCCTCTCGACACCTGGGCCATGCAGAACACAGCATGTCACCAGAATTCCAAGACAGCATCCTGCGTCAGACAGATGTCGACCAGAGCTTAATATGAGAGGCTCATGGCTCTCAATACCAGACAGCCCCACCAGGGCAGAAGCTATGAAGGATACCCCACTGGGTGAGGAGTGACACTCACTGTCACTGTCAGTGCCACAGCACCCATGCCACATCGCGTGGGAATGAGGCAACATGTACACTCGGCCACGGTGCCCACCACTGCTGTGTACACCTGCAGCACTGCAGCTCACACCCACAGCTGCTGTGCACACACAGACGTCATCACATCCTTGGCCACTGTGAACACTCACAGACACTGTGCAGAGATACTGCAGCACCACACAAGCCACAGCAATTGTCAGGCATACCGCTGCTGCACCCTCTCAGAAAGACAAAAGGCCCATTCCCCAAGCGTCTCCTCTATCCTGTCCCCCAGTGCACCTCCAGCTCATCCCAGTGGTACACAGGTGACATCCCTTTCTGAGCTGGCCACAGATACCCTGCTCCACACACTCATATGAAGGCAGCACACTCCACAGAAAATCAGGTTCTGAGAGTCCTGGTGTATAAATACAGGGGCAGACTATTAACTTTTACTAATAATTATATTGATCAACTAGCTTACATATTAATCCTACATTTAAATTTTGACCATAAAAATGTATAATGATGAAATTATAACATCTTAATAAAATCTCAGATATATTCTCACATCTCATAAATGTAAATTGGTGACATTCAGCTCTGATAGAGGGTTAATCTTTACAGCATGCAGGCATTTGGCTGAAATAAATACACAGTGCTGCCTTACAACAGTGACTCCAGGCTCCTGGGCCCTAGGACCAAGAGTGTTTCCCAACCTAATCTGCAACACTGATGAAGCCAAAGGGTCCACAACAAGGGCCACTGAATGCTCCTAGTCATTGCTAGGTCTGCCAGCATCTCCTGAACACCCTCCCCTCTTGCAGCCCCTGGATGGCCACACATCAGCTACAGAGCTTCCTCCCAGGTTCCCTTGTGGCTGAGTGACCATGTGACATGATGCTGCCCAATGGGGAAGAGGAAGAAATGCCTAAGAGACAGACAGGCTCTCTTTGTTAGATCCAACAGTCACCTTGTGACCATGGGGTGATGAGGCTGGGACAGAGAAGTGAAGGAGATGGAGGGGTCTGGTCCCTGATGGCACAGACGAGCCACAGGCATGCTTAGGCCCTGACAGGATAGGACAGTCACCCTGCTGTGCCTCAGCTGCTGTGCATCAGGCATCCACACAGCTAAACCATGGGGTCTCTGTGTCTCCATGCAGCCCCCTAGGGAAAGAGCAGCAGGCCATCTCCTGAGCATCCAGGGCCACACAGGTAGCCAAGCTCTGCTCAGGTGTCTTGCATACACCAGTGGAGGATTTGCACATGACCCACACACAGCCTCCTGTACACTGCAAGTCTCTCTAGGTAACATCAATATCTGATAGAACAGATGTCATGTAAACAGCTATTTTACTGTACTGGTTAGAGAATAACAATAATAATGAGAAAAAAACCTGTGCATGCTCAGCACAGACACAATTCTCTGAATATTTTCAGGCAATAGTTGGTTGACATAGATAAGAAACCCCGAGAGATGGTACTTGGCTAGGGCCATTGCATCACATCGACTAGCTGGGCCCAGCAGATGTGTGGTCTGACTGGTTCCCAGTGGGGAGGGGCATGCACTGTCACTGGGGATATCCCAAGAGGTACACGGACCAACACAGTCATGCTCTGTAGTGTCAGCTCCGCACCAAAGGAGATGGTCACATCAGCCTAGGCTTCAGGTGCCCCCACACATGCACTAGGGATAGGAAGGGGGTCTCAGTACATGTGGGAAGGTAAAGCCTCTGGACACCTCCCCATGGCCACACAGAGAAATAAGCTACACTTCACACATGGCAATACCACCCGGGCCCAAGAGGACAGGTCAGACCTGTGCTGGAACCGTAGGCAATTCTGCAACACACTGGGAATAGGACAGGGCTACACACTGGGCCAGATGCCATGACACAGTCGTGGGCTAAGCACAGAGGCTGTGCCCTGGGTTTGTACTCTCTCCCATAGTCAGAAAGGGACAGAAGCTCCCTTGGAGAAGGTGCAGGGCCCCAGTTGGGCCTAGGAAACCAGCCCCTGAGGCAGGCCTGGGAAGCTAGGCCTTCTCATACTTGGCATCTGTCCATGACCTCTGCATTTCCAAGCTGTGCAGCTTTGCACAGCAGTCTAGACGAGGCCATTGGCGGGGTGAGGAGAGTATCTGGGGGTACTGTCTCCCCATCTCCTGTCACAGGCCCTGGATCCCCTGCCTTGCAGGGGCCCAGCCCAGGAGCCCAGCCAGGGAGACTTTGAGATGGGCAATAAAAGACTGCTGAGGGCACTGCTACCCCACCGTTCCTGGGCTACCCTCAGAATGCCAGCAAAGAGCCAGCGCATTGTGACCCCTCACCCAGAACCTGGCAGTGCTTGGCCTGCTACTAGTACAGTCTTTTGGTAACTGCTGCTGTCCCTTGGTATTTGGGCACGGGATTCAGAATCCCTGCAGATACCAAAATCTGCGATGTTTGAGTATAATAAAAGGACACAGCATTAGCACATAACCTATGCATACCCTCCCCACAGACTTTAAGTCATTTCTAGAAGTAGTGGTGCATGCCTGTGATCCCAGCTACCTGGGAAGCTGAGTTTGAGCCCCCACTGGGGCATACCTTTCAATTTAGCAAAAAATTTTTAAAAGGCTAGGGACAGAGCTGGGCATGATGGCACATGCTTATAATCCTAGCACTCAGGAGGCTGAGACAGGTGGATCACTGCAAGTTTGGAACTAGCCTGGGCCACAAAATGAGCTCAAGGCAAGCCTGAACTGCACAGAGACAGTCTCAAAAAGACACAAAAATAAAAAAAGGCTAGGGACTTAGATCATTGAGGAGGCCCTTGATTTAATTCCTAGTATAGGAAACAGACACACATACAGAAATATAATGTAGATATTATGGAAACAGTTATTAGACTGTATTTTAGGGAAAAACAGCAAAAAACAGTAATTTCTGTACAGATGCGAGTTTTAAACATTTAGTATTCTCAATACAAGTCAGATAGGATAGTGCACACCTTTAATCCTAGCACTCAGGAGGTTGAGGCAGGAGAACTGTCCCAAATTCCAGGCCAGAGTGAGCCGTACAGTGAGTTCAAGGCAGCCTGAACTACATAGTGAGACCCTGTCTCAAAAAACAAACAAAACAAAAAAAATGTATAATTTTTTTCTCAACTCAACTGGGTTGAACTGGTGGACACAGCACTTGTGGGTCCAGGGGCAGCTGTGGTTAGATGGTGCGCTGTCATGTGTAGCCTCTTACCTACAGTCAGGGCATCGAACAGCCGATGTATGATGTGGGTGTCCTTCACGATCCCTGATTCCTGAACCCTCTTCACAAAGTCTTCCAGCTGCATGTGCTTCTTGGGCAGCTCAAAGTGCTTCACAGCATCGTCTGCCTTGGTGGTCTCGCCCGGCTTGTCCAGGACCTCAGTGATGAGTCTCCTCAGCTCAGGCGTCTGCTCAGCCTGGGAGCGCTCAGGGGCCGACATAGATTCCACAGTGCCCTTGACAAGGTCAGCAGGGAAAATCTGGATGTCTGTCTTGTACAGGTACTGGAAATCTGAGAGGGCACTCAGCAGCTGCCCCTGCATCAGGTGGACAAGGCCACGCAGGTAGAAGTACCTGGCCAGGAGCAGGGAGTTGTCAGGGCCCAGGAGGCTCATGGCCTTGCTCAGCATGGTGATAAAGTTGGCGTGGTACATCTGTATGCACTGGCTCATCAGCGGGAAGTGGATTTCGGGAATCTTGAACGTATATGTGGACTTAGGGGCCACATTCAGAACTAAACAAATTAAAGGGAAATAAGCGGATAGTTAGCACAGACCTTCAAAATGGACACATGTGCCTGTCCCAGGAACACATGGGGCCAGGACACAATGCAAACCAAGAACCAGTATGCCTCCTCCAGAAAGTTCTGTGTACCCAGAGCTCCTCATTTTATATCCTAAGACTAATAACACCTGGTATTCGCTGAACAATTTGTTTGCTAAAACATAATGCTACCTTGAAATGTTGGTGCTGGGGCTCTGAGGAGTAAACTAGTACTGTAAGTCAAGGTGCACTTGCCTGGAAGTTAGGCCTTTTAAAATAATTATTTTGTGCTAGCTTTGGCAACACATATAAAATAACTGTTTTATTTACCTTAACGGCTCTGGGAGGTATTACTGTGGTACCCATCTGGCAGGCATGGAAAGTGAGGCCTCCACAGCCACAGTTATCTGTCCAGCTACTAAATCCTACAGCCACTAGTTAAACCAAGGGTGTCTCTCCTGCCAGCTCCTTCAACAAATGTGGACCAAGGGATTTCAGGGGCCAAGCACCAACCAGTTTCCCAGAGAAATCAGAGGGCAATCTGGGTATCCATAAGGCCAGCTCCACACATGCAAGCTGAGAGATGTGGTCTTGGCCACGACCTGGAGAAAGGAGGTGGGCATAGACCACATGGCTGGTGTATAAAGACAGAGAAAGCAGAGTGTGTCCCCTCAGCAGGAGAGCACATGGGATCCACTCCGTATAGTAGATGAACTGCAGGCCCAGAGAGGCAATGAGACTTGCTCAGGGTCACACAGCCAGGAGTGGCTGTGCAAAAGACACAGATCCAGCAGTCAGCCTTCTGACACCTGCTCTGAGCTCTGAGTCTCAGTTGTGAGCAAGCGTTGAATTATTTTCCTTTATACTCACTGGCTCTCTGGGTCATGGAATGCCCTGCTCATGCAGCATCCGGGATTTTGGTACCTTCTCCTCCAGGTAATATTCAGCACATGCTGCTCAGCTAAGACAGTGGCTACCCAGGGCCCACGTGTACAGGTCACAGTGACCGCTATGCCCATCTGCAGAAGACAGGCCAGGCCTTCCCAGACCAATGAGGTGCAGCCCAGCCTGTCTGCAGAGCCATCTCTGCTAAACCGTCACTTCCACAGCCAACACCTGCCCCACAGGCTCTGCTTCAGCCCTCAAGGGAGGCTGTACCTCCACCCTTGGACAGCCAGCTGCAGGTGTCCAGCCACGGGGCTCCTCTGTACCCCAGATTCTAGACAGTACCTGGCACTCAGAAGGGCCTAGCAGCTGCATCCCTTTGCACATTACACATGGAAACATGTATCTTACACATGTACAGACACACCAATGCCAAAACTGTGTACAGCTGTTACTCTCAGCACCACCGACAGTAGGCGATGAGTAATACTTTTCTTTAACCAACAGTTTGCAAGACGAATGTTCTAAACATATTTCAAATAATTAACCTACTAAACAATAACAAACCCTCTCCCTCCCTTAGAAACAAACTGTGGTCCCTGCAATGGCATGCCCCAGCAGAACCCAGTGGATGCAGGAGGCACAGCTTGCTCACCTGGGCTGTTCCTCTTGCATCCTGTGATGTCCATGATGCGAAGTGAGGAGTTCCTAGCCGGTAGCTCAGGCAGGGTGATGTCCTGCAGGCTGGGCATGCTGACCACCATGCGCCGGTGGGTGATGTTCAGAGGTGAGGACTTCCTCGAAGCCATCTTCTCCACTGTTGGCCTTCTGGGGCTTCTAAGCATCCCACTGATTCTGGGTTAAAAACAGCAGTGCTTTGCTTTCTCGAAGCAACAATGCTTGAGGCATAAGCATCAGTGTAGAACTGTTTGCAGAGCAGGAAGCAGTATGGGGCAGCCCTGCCCATGATCACTCACAACGTGGTGCCTAAATCCTGTCCAGTGCTGCAGGAGATGGCACATCTATGGGCCGAGGATAGCCCAAAGTCCAAGAAAGACAGGACATTATGCAGGTTTTATGTGTGTTCTGGGAGGTCAGGAAAAACCTCAGGAAGGGATGAAAAAAGGAGCAGATCTGAGAGTACAAAATACATGTGGACAGAGGCCAGGGCACAGCAGACACATTAATGCTGACAATTCTCAGAGCTCCCTAAAGAACAGACACACAACGGAGAGGAGCCCGTGCATTACCAACTTATTGAAAATTTCTAAGTGTCAGGATTTTCCTGGTGAATCTATCACTTTTCTGTACAAATAAAGCCATGCCACTAGAGCACTTTGGTCACCAGAGTTGTGTGCAAAAGTCAAGGAAGAGCACCTGTCCTCCTCAGACTGGGTGTCCAGGTCCATCTGTGCATAGGCATCCATCCTGCGGCTGAGCCGGGCCTTCAGGAAAGAGTGGAACATGTAGGTGTCCAAAACCTGCAGGAGATGGCAAAAGGGCAGCCTCTAGGCCTCAGGGTTCTCTACTGTTCAAGGCCACAGTGATCCCCACAGACTGAGAATCTTACCAGACTGAGCACCTCGGCAAGAGGTCCCTAAAAGCTGAGAGCTTCCACACTTGGTTCTAATATGCCAGGAGCACCCCCCAGTTCTTTACCTGATGATCTGAAGTAAGTAGCAACTCCATGTTTGAAGAATCACAAAATTTTCAAAAGCCCAAACCACCTGGCCATTTCGACAGCCATGCCCCACTAACTCCAGACCGCAAAGTGTTTCCTACAGCCCCACACCACAGCAGTTTGCCTCCACCCACTACACAGGCATTTCTGCTGGGCTCTGGTACTCGAGGCCTTCAGGGTCCTCACTATACAAGGGACTCACTGGGGTCTTTGTTTCTTCTGGACACTTCTTTCTACTGAACATGCCAGGTAGGCAAGTGGCCTACAGAACATGAGACTCTCCAACCTACAAGCTGCCACCAACCCAGGCAAAGAAGGGAGGGAGACGGTGCCCAGGAGGTCCAGACAGGGACAAGCAGGATCCCAACACGCAGAATAGGACAGAAGAGCACTGGGCAGGAAGAGACTATGCAGATGACAACGTGAGCACTGCTTGGCCAGATGATGGACCTGCCCCAGCTGGGCCCTGGATCACCACAAGAGCGAGGAAGGCCACGGGGCAGAGCAGCAGAGCCAGATCCCAGAACCAGGCCCAGACACCATGATTATAAAACAAGACAGGAGCTTTGAGTTCTGGATTTCCAGTTCTCTGACATTCTGACAGTCCCTGCAGAATGAGTCCTATGTGACAGTCATGGGGTTTGCCTGTGACTCCACCTATCTGCACTGTATGTTGGGGGACAGCAGGCTTCACAGCAGCCCCCATGCTACCACACTCAGATGGCTTGGTCTCTGCCACTTCATGAAACCACTCTGCCCTGGTGACCATGGTCACTCTCCAAGCTACGTCAAAACGGTGACCTCTCAGTCTTCATTTGAGATCACTGCTATGTTCTCTCTCCTGCCTTGCTTCCACATCACTTGCCCCAGGTGTTTCTCCTGATTTCTGGCATCTTTTTGCCTCCCTTGCTGGAATCCCTCTGCCCCAACTCTTGGCAGACCCAGGACTGAGACACTGCTTTGCCTATTCTCTTTACTCCTCCTTGACACCTGGCTCCAGGTGACCTCGCCATGCTCATGGTGCTAAACATCACACATGCCAGGGATGCTCAGATGTCTCCCTCCTGATCAGACCCTCCCCAGCCTGCAGAATGAGCACATCACCCATCCAACTGCTCCGAACTTGGGACCAACACTGCCAAAGTAGGTCCCCAGGAGGTGCACGGACACAGCAAACCTGCCCAGAACTAGTCAGAGAAGGTCCAGGAAGTTGAAAATGAAGCAACTTCTCGAGCCAGGAGGCAGGGGTAGTTAATGCTCTCAACAGAGAAAAGGGAGAGGCTGGGCCAGACAGGAGGCCATGCAGAAGCCACCAGGTCACACATCAACAGCAGAGGCACTGACCTATACACTGCCTGAGAAAGGCTGTTTTCAGCCCACCCCAAAGGTGTCAAAATATAGCCCTCAAGGGGCAAGAGATTCTGCAAGTGATATGAGCCAGTGAAGGCACAGATGTCAGGGTCAAGAATATAACTCAGCAGTATAGCACCTACTTGGCAAGCATTAGATCCTGAATTCGAGTACCAGTACTTGCTAAATAAATACATAGAATAAAATAAAATAAAATAAAGCCCATGGTGTCACTTTTCACAACCAACAAAAACTGAAATCCAGCTGGGCTTGCTAGTGCGCGCTGTAAAGTCAGGAACTCAGAGATGACAAGTTCTCAAAGCTCTGTCTCAAAATAAAAAATTAAGGGGCTGGGGATTTAGCTCAGTGGCATAAGCACCTGCTTGGCCAGCATGAGGTCCACAGTTTGATCCTTAGTACTGCCAAAAAAAAAAGTAAATAAAAATTAAATTAAATGGGCTAGGGATGTAGTTCAGTGAAAAGCCCTGGTTCCACCCTGGTCCCACAAAAAATAATGCCTGAAAACACCCAGATGGACAGGAAAACTGTGCTCTGCCCAACACTGGCAATTCTTCACCACTAGCGATAGCAGCAAGCAGCTGTTAGTCTCGAGATCATTCCCAAAGGCCGAGGGATGGAACCAGAGAGCTCAGAGCCAAGATGGTGCTGACAGGGGACTCTGAGAGCCTGGCCTGTTTCCAGGGCCTGGGGAGGGAGAGGGTGATTGGGAAGAACCACACAGGAAGTACTGGAGACAATACAAGTGTCTGATGTCCAGACTGAGGACATGATTACGCAGATAGGCACATTTGTCACAATGCTGCAAATTCAACACTGGTGCATGTTATTATATGCAAATTACTCTCTAGAAGCTGGAGAGAAAGGGAATGAAAAAAAGGAATTCAGGTACAGTAGACACATGTATTAGTTCCTCACAAGGAATGTAAACATTATGCACCTCAAACATGCACAAATTTTAAAAATGAGCTACCAAAGGATCAAAAGGAACCGTGTAAAAACAAACTTCTTGAAAAAGAAACCACAAAATATTAACAGATCTTGCAAAAAGTTTATTTAGGAAAATGTTTAGATACAGAAAAGTAAAACAGGTTGAACACAGGTAACATTGCCTGCCTCCCCACCTCTCACCTGCTTATAGAACTGCTGCTCCCCCGGGGCTCTTGTTTTGAGAAATTCCTCACTGTTGAACACTCTGTGTTCATAATTCAGGTGATTCTTCACCTCCCTGAAAAAGAAAGGGCAGTCTAAATGCCAAATCGCTTCAAACACAAAAAAAAACCACACTGCTTTTAGCAGCAGAAAAACAAGGCCAAGTCTGTTCTTCAGAGAGATTATCCTCCCTCCCAAATGTGAAGGTCAGGGTGGGTTACATAGACAGCAAACTCTTCTCCCTGGCAAGGATGGACCCCGGGAGGCAACGTCACTGGCATCTTCCTGAGGAGCCCCTGGCCTTTCATGCGGTGAAGACTCAATAATCGACCACCGTCTAGGACTGACGCTAAGTTCAAGGGCAACACAGGGAGGAGTCATCTTTTTACCTGCTTACCACACTTGGCCACCAGCCTGCCCTGAGCAAATCTCTTCCTCCCTTATACCCATTTTCCCAGGTAATTATAAACTCCTGGCATCTCAATAGATAATCTCTCAGATCTAAAGAAATCTTCAACCAACAAGATCAATGACCTTAAAGGGCAGTCAGTACATGGCATGTTCTATGTTCTCTGAACATGAAGTTTTTCCACTGTGAGGAAAAAAATTATTTCATTTAGGGGCATATCATTTTATAATCTATAGTCACGCATTCTGCTTTTTAAATCAACTCAACAGTCTTCTAAAGTGTTAAAAAAAAATAAAAGACAACCATCTTCATCATGAGACTTCAAAAATCAAAAGGAAAATAACATACTTAGGACCATGCAAATTACAGTGCTTTGAGCAAAAAGATAACAATCTGTCTGAGATACACCACCCCATTTTTTCCTAATAAGTCATTTGCTTTATGTAAGTAAAGACACCAAAAGAACAAGGCCATTGGTGGGGTGTGGTGACTCATGCCTATAATCCCAGCACTCGGGAGGCTGGAGGCAGGAGATCACTGGGAGTTTAAGGCCAGCCTGGGCTACAAAGTGACTTCAAGGCCAGCCTGAACTGCACAGCGAGAGCCTGTCTCAAAAAGACAAAAAAAAAGAATAAGGCCATTAACATTTCAGTTCTGTAATAATCATGCAGAGGCCTGGCAAATCAGCAGGTTCTGCGCTCAACCTTCCTGAGCAGGAGGCCCTGCAACACAGACCAGGGCTGGTGTCAGCTGCCTCCTTTGCTATGGACTCAGGGAGAAAGCAGAAGGGGGGAAAAGAGAAGAAAGAGCTGGAGTAAAGAAAAGGTCTAAAAATTACCCAAGTTGAAATACATACTTAATATTCCTTAAATGACTGCACATTTAGGCCAGAAATAGCAACTCGGTTTCTGTCCTGTATCTCATGGAGGTGCACACAACTAGTCAACCTAACCAATTCTAGCTGCAATGCTGGAAAAGGAATAGCAAGCAAAAGACTTCAATATAACTGTGGATGAGAAGAAAGAAGAAAACCTTCCAGTGGCAAACCCACAGACCCTCATTTGACCTGGAGGCTCACTTAGGGGCTCCATTGTCTACTGTGAGTCATACAAAAATGGCCTGCCTGTCCCATCTCCCTGGATACAGACCTCCTGGCACAGGGTCAACCCTGGACTGACTCCAAGCCTTCAGTCAGTGTACACCTTCACTGACAAGCTCTCCCAGCAGGTCTGTGACTGTCTCCCTGTCACCTCAAAGCAGCCGTCCATCCACATGGCCACTGTCAGGGGAGAACTAGGAGGATGCTAGCCAGGGTCACAGTGAAAACACCCAGCTCTCACTAAACTGGCTGATGGTGGTAATGACAGGAAAAGGCTTGGCAGGGACAGAGCCTCTCAACCTGCTGGATGGTCTCAGTAGTTCAGCTTTGGGGCCAGCTGCACTGAGTGCCACAGGCTGGCTGGCTGCCCCTCCCAGATGCCATATGTGCCCCTTGAGGTACCTGAAGATGCCCACAAGCAGCTGTAGGGTGATGTGCTGGATGCGGGAGTTGAGTGTCTGCTGCCAGGCTCGTTGGCGGGCACGGCCTTCATTCAGATCTGTGCTGGAGCTCAGGTGGATGAGGTGCAGCTCAGGGTGGAGCTGGAGGCTCTGGACCCTGGGAGGAAGCAGACAGACGAGGATGTAGGATGGAGCATGACTTTATGACAGTTCACTAGTCATGGCCACTGTTGCCCTCAAGTGGACACTTCAGGGTGCTCTGGGCACCTGTCAGCCACTCAGGGGGTGGGTAATCACTGCATCTGTAGATGGAAAAGTATTCTCCCACACATAGCGTGCACAATTTTGAACCATACACAGTTTTAATCTCACTGAGTCATTCCAACTCTGCCTGGCTACTGTGCACCCCCTTCTCGGATGCCTAAGGGTTTCTAAAGAGGCTACATCTTATCCAGCCGCAAAGGCTGCAGGGAAGAACAGTCACAGAACTCCGAAAAGCTTCCTCTTGACATCCCCTGCACAGGCAGAGTTAGGTGCCCGTTCTGTGCCTGTATTTCATGTCCTGGGTATCATCAACCATGGCCCACCTAGGGATGCCCACTATTGGCTCATCTGCAGGGCCTCATATGGAATTAGAGGTTATATCAGCCAACCCCGAATCACCATAATCACAAGGCCTGGCCTTCCTAACACTGCCTGACACCATGCTGTGAGAGGGATTCATGGAACAAATCCAAAGGGTTCTTTTGTTTAGGGTTTTTTGTTGTTGTTGTTTTTTATGGTACTGGGATCAAACCTATGGACACTGAACCACTGAGCTCCATCCCCAGCCCTTAAAAAACATTTTTTTTTATGTTGAGGTAAGGTCTTAATCAGTGTCCAGGTCAGCTTTAAACCTACAAAGGTCCTACATCAGCCGCCTAAGTATATAGGATTACAGGCATGAACTCTGTACATACCCAGTATATGGTCTAAAATAAACAAAATAAAGACAAGCAATACATATTTATTCCACAATATTCCTTAAGGACCAACTATGTACTGGATGCTGACTGTGGCAAAGCCCCTTCTTGTACTGAGCTTACATTCAAGGGGGAAAAAACAGAAAAATAGATAAATTAAGCACAAAACAAGAAAAAATGAGGTGGTCAGGCAGAGAATTCAAATAGCGCCATGGGGTGCACATGGGAAAACACTGGGCAGAGATGAGTTCCCGCAGGAGATGACCTTGAATCTGAAACATGAAAGATAAAGACAAAAGTAGTAGGAGCAGATGGGGATAGTAGAGAAAGGGCTCACAGTCACCAAAAGTCCTACTGTGGGCACAGCAGGCTTGCCAGGCTACCATGGCTCCAAGCCAGGCTAAAGCTGCAAGGTGGGGGCCAAGTGGTCAGCGGGAAGCTTCAGAGCCACTACTGATGTGTCAGGAAGCTGCTGCCAAGGACATCTGCAGTCCTGGCTGGCCCAACTGATCAGACAACTGCCATGCCATTGTTTGTCAGCACCAAACCGTGACCCAACAGATCACAGGATGCACAGCACAATAGGGAAAGACATGTGACCAACCCTCCTGCATCAAGTTTGCTGGAATCTTTATTCTCCCTCATACAGGTTCTATCTGGGGGAGAAGGCTGCCCTCTCCCGCACCCTCAGAATGCAGTCTGTCCCACCCACCTACACACTAACCCAGGAGAGTTCTGTGCTCGGCCCCTGCCCCACCCTCCAAAGAGGTCAGACAAATGTACACTTGTAGCGAAAGTAATGAAGACAGAAGGGTAGAGAGAACAACGGGAGACAAGGGCTTCCCTGGGAAGCTGGGAAAGAAAGGCTACTTCCCCATCTCTCCTGGCCAAATGCCCAGGTGCAGATGCACACCACACCCCAGAACCCTGTGGGGAGACTGCACAGCAACCTGGCTTGGGTCAGACAGATGCATCAGGGACACAGGTTATTTCATGTTTATAAACAAAGTTCCCATGATGAGCCTATATGAGACACCACACGTCATGTACCCTGTTTCTAGCCCGTGCACCCTGTGCATTTGTATTCTGGAATCTTAGCAATAGAGAGAGTGGAACATACACGTGAGAAGTTGGCAGAGGTCAGTTCTAGATTGACTCTGACAGTCAAGGGAAGCAGGTCCTGATTATCTGAAAGCAAACAGGGCAAGGACACAAGCTTTGTCTTCCAAGTTCATGAAGGTTCAAATTCCAATGGCGCACCCTGCACAAACTGCCCACAGCTACAGGGAGAAGAGAGCCCTGTGACCTTGCACCCCCACTGCAAGGGAGGCCACACTCCCTCCCTCTTTCCCTCCTCTTCCCCTACACTTTTAATGTAACTGTTTCTTGGGGGTCTTTGGGAGCTTTTAAGTTTACTTAGAGAAGGAACAATAATAAGGGTGGTTATGTACAGAGTATCTCTTATCCAAAATGTTTGCAGCTGGGCATGTAACTCAGTAGTACAGTGCTTGCCTAGGATGCATGAAGCCCTGGATTTGATCTCCAACACTAGAAACAAACAAACAAAAACATAGATCAGAACCATAAGCCTTTGAGATTTCAGACTTTGGGGTATTTGTACATACATAATAAGGTATCTTAGGGATGGAGCCCAAGCCCAAACATGAAATTCACTTATGTTTCATATATTCCTTGTAAACACATGCTGAAGGCTATTCTGTACAGTATTTCAAAGAAACTTTCAATTTTGATGCATCACATGAGGTTAGGGGCAGAACTTCCCACTTGTATCATCACGTCAGCGCTCACATGTTTTGGATTTTGAGCATCTCAGATATTGAATCCTGTACTTTGCTAAAACCATCTGGGTAGAAGGAATAAATTACACACGGGGAGTCAGCTACCAGAAAACCCATAGAGGGAAGCCAGGACAAGCTGCCCTCCTCCTTCCTGACCTCCCCGCTTTCAGCTCTAGGGCTTCTGATTCCCCAACAAAAGACAAGGTGGGATGACTATCCTACAGAGAGGTGTCCCCCAGGATCAGCAAACACCAGTATGGCTGAGCTGTCTGCCAAAAGCCCAAAAGGAACTGAGTGTCATTTCTAGACTCACATGCAAGGTCTGACAGCAATTGGACCCCCAGGCCAAGAGGACAGATAAACAGGAACTCTCTTGCTACCCCTTTCCAGAAACTCACAGAAGAAGGTGCTGCACAAGCAACCCCGAGACAGGCGAGTGCTGCTGCACCCAGTGATCCTGCCTGCCCCAAGCTGACGTCCCTGGGCTACAGCCAGACATACACCACAGTCTGCCATGACCAAAGATTAATCTCCTTCCTCTGCACAGGAGGAAAGTCCTGCACAGTTTCTGTGCCATAACAGAACACAGGGCTCCAAACCTAAAATATATTATGGTCCTTTTTGGAAGAAGTTTGCTGGTATCTATTTAGGCCAATGATGCTCAGTAAAAGAGATAAAAGAAAGTGTAAATAGCTGCAAAACTAGGTTTGAAACAATAAGAACACAAATAGATTGCCAGGGGAGATTAGAGGATGTGGCACTCACAAGGTCCCCTGGACTAAGTATCCCAATGTAGAGCTACTACCGTTCTGTCACTACAGTGTAGTCCGCCTGATTCCAACAGTTAATGGGGATTTAACACATATCTAATGAATGAACAAGACAACAGTACAGGACCCTGAAGCATGGGGCCAAGGATCAGGAGAACAGGGGAAGTGACTGTCCCAGTCTGCTGGGCCATGCTTAGTTTTTAGACAGAACTGGAATACTGACAAATCCCTTTTCTTTAAAAATATTTGCAAATAATTTCTAAACTCTAAAGATATAAAACACCTAACAATGATATAAAATTAGAAAAAGACAAAGCAGCAAACAGAATTTAAACAAAGATGTTCTCAAACACATAATATGTCCTGTTACCTCTGAATAAACAGCTCTGCCACCAGGAAAGGGATATCGGGAATGTCCATGTTATTGTCTGAGGACTTAGAGCAGGTGATGCTACCATGATCAATATCTATGAGAATTAAACCATCAGCTTCCTGCAAAATAAAGAGTGGTGTAAGAATCTTTGAAGTTGTATACACCGTTAAAAACACACAAATGTCTTCTGCATGCCCTACGATAGTGTCATGGTTTAAATTATTCTAATATATGATCCCCAGCAGTGTCAAAAATTAATATGCACATATCTTTATATTATCTCTACAAAAATGTAGAATATACCATGAGTTATATCAATAAGATAAATCTGATTAAATATGTCCTCCTCTTATTTTTCACTACTATAGTAAAATACACTAACGTACTATTTATTATCTTCATCAGTTTTGGGTTTTGGTGTTTGGTTTTGTTTTTTTTTTTTATACTGAGAATCGAACTCAGGACCTTGCGCTTGCCAGACAGGCACTGCACCGCTGAACTATGTCCCCAGTCTCTTTGTCAGATTTAAGTGTACAGTTCAATACTATAAAATTAGATTCACATAACTGTACAACCTGCACTTCAATCCAGCTCCAAAACATTCTCTTGCTCCTAAACTTAAACGCTACACCCACGAACATTAACTTCCCATTCCCTTGTCCCTTGGTCCCCCACCCCCCATGCCACTTTCTCTGTCCTCTAGTTTGACTCATTAAGGACCCCCACATAAGTGGAATCACATAGTGTTTATCTCATTGCTCAACAGGGGTCTCTTGAGGTTCATCTGTACTGTAGCATGGGTCCGAGTTCCCCTCCTATTCAAGTTGAATACTCTGCTGTCTGAATGAACCATATGCTTTTCTCTTTAAGTCAAGATTCCAACACATAGTGTTAAGTTTTCATTGACCGTGGTACAAACACTGCATTGTACTACTTCACGGGGTCCTGGGGGGATATTCCAGACCTCCATGGAGTACACCACCAACACCCAGTGCCTAGCCAGCTCTGCCCCTAAGGTCCTGGTCTAAGCGACCACACACATATGAAATTTCTTAAATATGCACATGGCTTATTTGTATAATCTTATCTATGCCAAAATATACACAGAATGGGTACTTCACTAGAGTTCTGGGACGGCAGACTGCAGAATGTGACACCGAATCTCTCTGAAGGCACCACTCCCACCTTTCATCCCGAGCCCTGCCTCATTCCAGGTGACAAATAAATACTATGTGCAAACACCGCTATCCTCTTGGCCCGGAGCCCCACCAGGCAAACAGTCTTCAGTCAGCAGGCACACAGGGCCCTCTGAAAGAGTCAGTGCCAGATCTTGGTGCAGGTCACCCCAGCTCCCTCTGCAGGTCCCACTGCAGGTCCCACCAGTCAGCAACACAAACATGCAAACAAACCCAAAATGCTTTCAGTTAGGAATAACGTCAGCTCTTGGAATCTCCCAGCCCAGAAAATTCATGAAGCAAGTTTCCTGCATGAGTGCTGACTGGAATTGTTAAGTAAACATGCCAAGAAATTTTCTCTCCTGAAGAACCTGGAACAAGATGGTTTTTTCCCCGATGACTAAAAAAGGAAAACAACTTTAAACTTTGGAGCATGGTCTATTTTTTCTTGTCCATGAGGCACACTGGGTGATGCTTTTCTGTTCTTTCACAGAGCCCTGACTGGCCTTTTCTCAAAGTGTGTTTTTCCCCCAGTGAATCACCAGTTGTAGGATGCAGAAAGAAGGGCTACCCTCATGGGAGGGAAGAGATCCAACCAGTGCCTCCCACCATCCTGGACACTTAAGCAAATGCCTGGAGATTTGCTTTAATACTTCCCACTGACCTGAACCACCACTGACACATGTATGACAGTCCCATTAGGCAGCTTGTACCACCTGATGGGATTGTCCCATGCCGCCTGATGGGTCAGTCGTGCACACACCACCAGTATCTCACAGTCGGCCAGCAGTAAGTCATACAATTACAGCCCCATCATGAACTTATCAAACCCCTAGGGAGTGAGGATGTGAGGGACACAGGGTTAGCAATAGGCCAGCATCGGGCTGCAGAAGATGGCAAGGCACACTGGCATCCACTGTATTCTTCTCCCAGTTTTTGTGGACACTTAAAATCTTCCGAATAAAAGGTTAAATACCTAGACTACCAACACAACTGGAAAAAACAATCCTAAAATTCACACAAAACCAGAAGTGACACAGAACAGCAAAAGCAGTCCTGGGTAACAAGAGCAAAGCAGGAGGCACAGGCCCAGACTTGAAGTTATATTACAAAGCTACCGTAATAAAAACAGCATAGTGCCAGCACAAAAGCAGATACGAGGATCAAGGAAACAGAAAAAGGGGATCAGAGACAACCCTAAAAACATTCAACTATTTGATGTTTGACAAAGGGGCCAAAACCCATATACTAGAGGAGACACGGCTTCCTTAATAAAGGGTACTGGGGAAGCTGGCTATTCACATGTAGAAGATTGAGTCTAGATTCATATTTTCACCATGTAATAAACTATATTAAAATGGAATGTAATAAAAGTGATATCAAAAAGATAAATGTTAAAACAGAAACACTTAACCTGTTGGAAGATGAAATAGGTAGAACTCTTGAAGTCACAGGCATAGGCAAGCACTTTCTGAATGAAACCCTTGTTCTACAGGAAATAGTACCAAAATAAAGAAATGTGGTCAAAAAGCTTCTGCACAGCAAAATAATCAATCAACAGAGTGAAGAGACAACCTACAGAACAGGAAAAACTTTTGCCAGCCGTTCCTCAGACAAAGGGATAACATCTAGAAGGCGGCAAACCTACAGCACAAGTGCACCAGTGGGCCGTCGGTATCACTGAAACGCTACAAGGTGCACCACCACCGATCTAGAACATACACAGAAAGAAGTCAGAACCCCCCAAAACAAAAGGCCCAATCAAAAAATCAGCAAGTGAAATGAGCTTACACAAGAAGTATAAATGACCAGTGAGTATATGAGGAGATGTCCAATATTGTTGGCCATTAGAGAAATGCAGATCAAAGCAATACTGAGTTTCCTTCTTACCCAGAAAGAATGGCCATCATCAAGAAATCAAATAGCAACAGGTGCTGGTGAGGCAGTGGGGAAAAGGAACCCTTCTACATTGTTGGTAGGTTTGTAAACTAGTATAACCACTATGGAAATCAGAATGGAGATTCCTCAAAAACTAGAAGTAGACTGGTGCTTTAGCTCAGCAGCATAAGGGCCTGCCTGGCAAGTGTGAGGTTGTGAGTTCAATCCTCCATAACAAGAGAGAAAAAAAAATTATAAGTAGAAATCCCATTTGATCCAGCTATTCCCTTTCTAGGTATCTGCTGAAAGAGTTAAAGACATCATATTATGGTGATACATGCATACCCATGTTTATAGCAGCAAAATTCATAAATAGCTAAATCTTGAAAGCATCCTGTACATCCATCAACAGATGAATGGAAAAAGAAAATGTAGTATTTATACACAATGGAGTACTACTCTGTCATAAAAAGATAAACTTGAGTCATTTGTAGGAAAATGGATGATCTTGGGACCATAATGTTAAGTGAAATAAATCAAATACCCAAGTTTAAATATTTCATGTTTTTTCTCATATTAGAAACCCAAATTATAAATAAAGAGCAAAATAAAAGATATGAAGCAATGAGACATATCTCTTTCAAATGGGAAGGGAATCAAGAGATAGAAGGATGTGAAGGGAGAGAAGGGAAAGGGGATGAAAAAGGAATCGGGAGGGCTATGTACATGTACCAACTCCGAACAAGGAACGTAAACATTAGGCAGTGCAAACATGTACTGATAAAAATTTTTAAGAAATAAAACTAGAAAAAGAAAAACATGAAACATAAACCTACCCTGTCAGAGCTGCCAGTAAGCACATGAAAAGCTGCTTGACATCCTTATCACTGGGAAATAAATGCACAGGCAAAGACAGTCAGTCTCCAGCTCCCACCCGCCAGGAGAGCTGAAACTAAAAAGACAGATGACAGGTCCTGCTGTCAAGGACGCAGAAGCACTGGAACTCCCCACCCGCTGGTGGGGGTGTGGAATGAGGGTGCTGCATTGTCCAACAGTCTGGCAGCTCTCAAATGGTTAGACACAGAGTAACCACAGGACCTCGCAGTTCCACTCATTTCATTTCCTCTGCCCCAAAGAAGTGGAAAACTAAGTCCACACATGAACTTGCAGCATCATTTGTAAAAGCCAAAAGGAGAAAACAACCCAAACAGCAATTGGCTGTCACCAAGTTGATGGCTGTTTGTCACTGTACCACAGTATGGCAGAACACCCAGGGGAATCTTGTTTGGCAATACATTTGGGATAGATTTTATAAGACAGATAAACCTCAAGAAATGCAGTGCTAAGTGAAAGAAGCCAGATTCCTAGTAAATTCAGTTCACTTACAGGAAAGGTACAGAAGAGGCAACATAATCAGATAAATTTTGTAGCATATAAATTTTGCAGCATATAAATTGTATCACATTAAAGCTGTTTGGGGGGCTGGGGATTTAGCTCAGCGGCATAAGTGCCTGCCTTGCAAGCAGGCAGTCGTGAGTTCGATCCCCAGTACCGATAAAAAGGAAAACGACAAAAAAAAAAAAAAAAAAAAAAAAGCTGTTTGGGTTGTTTGGGGCTTTTGTTTTTACAGTACTTGAGATTGAAATATGATGTACACTAAGCTAGGACTCTACCTCTGAGCTACCCCCTCCCAGCTCTTTTTAGAATTTTTTTTTGAAACAAGGTCTCCCTAAATTGACCAGGCTGACCTCGAACTTGCAATCCTCCTGGCTTAGGCTGCTGAGTACCAAAGACTACAGGTATGAGCCACCATACCTGGCCAAATGAACTATTCATTAAAATCAAATCCAGGCTGCATGCTGCATGTTAGTATTGTCCCAATAGTGATCTATCCAGGACAGATCGCCATTTGCATGTGTGCTATCTCCAATCAGTATAGCAGTAATGGCTGCTACCACTTTTTAAGCACTTAACGTCTGACAGGTACTATTTGGTTGCTCACTTGATTCTCACCCAAAGAATGAGGCTGGCAGATTTGCTACCCTTTTACAACCAGAAAAAGGAGTGCAGGGCTTTGCTCTGGGTGGGGCATATGACAGAAAACAGCCACTAAATTCAGCAAGGTCATGAGCCCTTCTAACACATTCGGAACAGGCTGTGTGGACTGCATTTTTCTAGGAATAAAGTCTGTAACAAAACTGAATTAAAAGAAAAAAACTAGAAAATATGCACCTACTAAACCCCAGGCAGGTGCCTAGCACCATATGGAACATAGACTCTTCCTCAGCTCCACGCCTGCTCAAATAGGTCCTTATCACATTTCACTCACAAGGATCAAGCTGGGTAAGATCAAGTAATTGATAAGGTTATAAACAAGCAAGCAGCAGAGGCTGACTTGAACTCAGGTTCCAGGGACTCTGACATCTGCGCTCTCCTCACTGAGTCTCCTAGGGTTTCTTGAGCTCTCAGAATCTGAGTGACCCACAGGCTCCAGGACCTAAACACAGTAGCCTTGAACACACCCCAAGGTCACCTAAGGCTGGCCAGCTAGCATACGACGTGTGCTCAGCACAGTGCCTGGTACACAACAAATGCTTACGAACAGAAGCAGTGTTTCCTCAACACGGTACACTCTACCCTCGCGCACAGCACTGTCTTTTCTCCTGTTTTTGTTTTTGTTTTGGATACTGGGGATGAAACCAGGACCCTGTGCTCAGCAGGCACAGTGCACTTTCAAAAGCCACTTCCCATCATCCTCACAACAGACCCAGAATTTAATCCTTCCCTGCATGCACTCTACACCTAACCTTGCTGACTTCTTCAAAGTGGTCCAGGTGGCAACCCATGAGAAAAGACGTAGGAGCCATGATGAAATCCAGCATCTGGCCCGACAGAATGGGCACAAAGGTGTGTTGCCACTGCAGGGGGTGGAGGTAGACCATGAAGCACTCGGCCACGAGTGTCAGCAGGGCCCAGTCCGAGGAGAAGAACACAATCCGCTGCTCCGTGAGAAGGCAGGATAGGATCTAGGAAGAACAACAGTATAGTTGAGATGCTGCCAATTCGATATGGTAAACTTCAGACATCTAGTGAACCAGGGTACAGACCTTACCCTGGGCTCCCAGCCCCATTTACCAAAATCAAAGCCACCTGAGACCCCATAAACAGTTCTATTTGCAAATACTGTGCCCTGTAGTAAATGTTGGCACATACATATATATATATATATATATGGAGAGAGACAGAGACAGAGAGAAGGAGAACTGATTCTGTGCTGTTTCTGGTCTCTGATAAGCAACACTGTTGGGCGCCCCACGAAGCCACCCAGCACAAGCCATACCTGCAGCACCTTCTCAGGCTGGAAACACAGCAAGGGCAGGTGAAGGTCCAGGTCGATGACAGGGCTCTCAGGGTCTGCTCGGGAGGGAAACACGACCTGCAGTGGCTTCATGTTAAACATCTGTGATGACCGAGAGCCAAAGTTAGCTCAGAGAACTGCTCCCAGTGGAGGCTGACAGATGCCCAAATTCACCACTTTGGCACAGGAAGTGTCTGAGTCAGAGACCACTTTGGAAGACTCAAGCTACCAGGTGAGAGGTCACAGAATTATACAACAGTCTAGAGATGCTCATAACTGCCAGAAGTTCACACACAAACTGAGTACACAGTGGCTTTATTTTGGTAAGTTAAATCAGCAAACTGTTCACTGAAAGACAAAGACAGATATTTGTCCCAACTGGCACAAATTCTACAGCAAGCATGTTCAAAGTATTCTTCAGTATTAAGTTTTATTCCTAATTATTATGTGGTAAATGTTCTAAGGATTTTCCACTTAACAGTCAAAGTTTCTTAGACTTCTAGTTCAAAAATTATATGAAACACTTTTCCTTTTTCTAAATGATATGATTTTGAAAAGTTTTAGTGTAAATTCCCAGTATGCCCATGTTGTGCTAAAGGACCTAGTTGGGGACGGAAGAAATCAAAGAGGAAGATGCAGTTTCTTGCACAGAGGGGCTTCCCAGCTTGCTGGGAGATGAAGCTGTGGACAGCAAGTTTCCAGCACCATGGGTGTAACACAGGGGTGGCCGGGAGCTCAGTCACCTTCTCTGCCCCAGGTTCTACTAAACAAGCAGAACAGAAGGACAGAGTCATAAGCAAAGATCCAGAAGACAGAAAGGAAACGGACAGATGCTTTACCGAGGCAAAGCAGGAGAGGAGGAGAAAGTTAGGAGTAACAGGGCCACTGCGTTAAGGAAAAAGGTCACAAGATGAAGTACTTGCTATTCATACTTCGCTACAGCCACCTATATCACTGTTGTCAGTGTATTTTCATGGAGGAAAACCAGAAACAAGAGCGTAATTTCTTGGTACTGAGGACACAGTGATGCTTCTCATCAGTCCTGTTACCAATCTGCCTCCAGCAAGACACATTAAACAGAAGGCAGCTTGAGCTAATGTGCCTCAGTGGCAGAACACTTGCCTAGCAAGCCTAAGGCCCTGGGCTCAATCCCCAGCACTTCCAAAGTAAGAAAATAAAGTAAGATAGTCATTTATGTGACCAATACAGGACTTTTTCATATAAAGCAAAATGGAGTTAAATGTTTCAGGTTGTGGTGTAGTATTAATAATTACACAGTTTATATGAAAATTCTCAACATTTCAAAAAAGGAATGTGTCAGCCAATCAGCCAATTAAACATAAAAGCAGAGGCCAATCATTCTACCTCTTGCTGCTTCTTGCCCCCTGGGATTTCCTGTTGCATGCAGGGAGCGCACAGCCTGCACCCGCACTCCCCGAGGGCCCTGTTACCTTACTCTCTTTGCAAACAAAGAAACTGAGAAGACGCAGATTCTAGGTCCCTCTGATTTGAGTCCCAAAACAAGAGCAGGTTCACATTCAAAAAACAGCCTTGAGAAGCAGGCAGCACTGCAGGCAGAGGAAGCCCTGGCGCACTGGTGTCCCTACTACCTGCTTCTCTCAAGCTGGGGGTCCAGGTAGTATCAGGGACAATGGTGCCAAACAGGGATGAGTGGAAAAGGGGACAAGGGGACAAGGCTCAGCCTCTACTTCTTCCCCATCCCCATGCTGTGGGACTCCCTGCATCTTCTACTTAGAAAACACAGAGCTGAGCCAGCCCAGAAGTAACGGGAACCGGCTGAATATCCTACATAGGCACAGCACTCCAAACATAACCACCATCAGCACCTGCAGGAGACGCTGGCTGGCAGCGGCTCGAGAACATGCTGCTGGGTCAGCTCCTGTGCAGATGAAAACTCCTGCCTAAACCAACCCTTGGATTTCTTTAAAACAACAAACATGCTGCATATAGTGGTGCACAACTATAATCCCAGCTACTCAGGAAGCTAAGGCAGGAGGGTCACGAGTTCAAGGCTAGCCTGGGAAACTTAGCAAGATTCTGCCTCAAAACAAAAACTTAAAAAGGGTTAGGGATGTGGTAAAGCATTTATCCAGCATGCATGAGGCCCCAGTACATTAAAAATCAAAAGGTAGGACCAGGGATTTAGCTCAGCAGCATAAGCATCTGCCTGGCAAGCATAAGGTCATGAGTTTGATCCCTGGCACCAAAAAAAAAGGTACCATCATGTGACATTCCCTCAAATGAATGAGCAATGAGACTGGTTAAAGGAAGTCACAGTGCCTGAGTGAGACCATCAGGGCACAGGTGTGAGGTCCACGGTCAGACCTGCAGGCAGGCAGGCAGCACTGCTTCGGCCTCTTCCACACTGCTGCTCAGTGTCCGGTGGAGCAGATAGACATTAAATACAAACATACATATGGAGCCTCACTTCAGATAGTGCTGTGCCCTGCAGGAAGGGAGGGGGACCACGAGAGGGACAGGGAGATGACCCAGAGGCTGCTGTGAGGAGCTAACAGCTGTGCACTAGTTGGAAGAGGAGCAGGTGCCAGTCACTGGACATGGAGGAATTACTTCCAGAACTGCACACGCAAGAGTCCTGTGGCAGCACCTCCAGGGGACTGATGGGAACCCACTGAGGCTGAAGCCCAGGAAACAAGGGTAAGAAGTACAGAGTAAGGCTAGGTGCATGGTGCAGGGCTGAGCTGAGAAGTGTAGTGAGGAACCACTGTGGAGTTTAAGTAGAAACATGGAGCCCAACTTACAGGGTCTAGTGGTCTCTGTAGCCACTAAGCAGAGGATGAAGAAAAGGGCTGAGGAAGAGCAGAAGTGGGCTCCCAAGTCACACAAGTGGGAGAAGCAGGTGGTCAAGAATACGGAGATGGCAGGAGCATGATTAAAGTAAAGGGGACAGGTAGGTTGGTGGGCAGGGCCTAGGGAATGAGCAACACCCCCTCCATGAGCCTGTTCACAGGACAGTGGACGTGGGGACCAGACACCAGCAGACTCGGGCATTGAGACACAGAACACTGCTGTGAACACCTGAAAGGTGCCCTGCTCTAACCAGTGCATGCTCAGGAGCAACTCGAGGCTGCAGGGTGAGCGCCCATTGCACGGATGACTTCACCTCAATCACTGTCAGCAAGAACACACCAGTGGCAGGCTGACCCTCCAAAGTGCTCCAGTCCACACATTTTTGAGCACCAGCATGATGTCACAGTGGAAAATTTCTTACATGACCTCATACCATGAGTCAGTCAAAAAACAAAGAAATCTGGGTGTGGCAGTATAGGCTTGTAATTCAATACTCTAGGAGGCTGAGGCAGCAGGATCCCAAATTCAAACCCAGCCTTGGCAACTTAGTGACTTAGTGAAAACCTGCTTCAAAAAGTAGGGAGCAGGAAGGTGCTGGGGATGCAGCTCAATGAGAATGCCCTGGGTTCAATTCCCCTTATCACAAACAAGCAAGTGCACTAAATATATTTTATAAAATGACTTTCAGACAATGTGTACCAGGTGTAGACAAAACATAAACAAATTCTGTTAGATTTAGATCTCACTCCCAAGGTATCCTGTACATGCAAAGATTCCAAAATCTGGGGGGGAAAGTCCAAAATGTGAAACAATCTCCTTATCTAAAAACTTTAGAAAAGAAGTCTTCCATTAGTACCCACAAAATAAACGTCCCTGGAAGTAGACTGGAGATAGGAAGCAGACCTGCTCTCTGTCTAGACTGGAACGCACCTGCAGGATTCTCCAGCTAGCAGATTGCTGGGTTTGAGGAATATTACAAATGCACATTCTCAATTCAGGATTACAAGTCTCCTGATAAGCAAACTTTGTTTTTCCATAGTCAGTAATAAAAAAAAAAAATGTAGAGGTCCAAGATTTACATGTATAACCTCCCAAAAGTGAGTAATAAAAGTAAAGCTCATTAAACACTCCCAGATACTTAACAACTGTGCTTTAAAAAGAAAGTATCAAGCCAGGTGTGGTGGCCCAAACCTGTAATCCCAGAACCGGAGGCTGAGGCAGGAGGACTGTTGCAAGTTCGAGATCAGCCTGGGCTACAAAGTGAGCTCAAGGCCAGCCTGAAATGCATAGTGAGACCTGTGTCAAAAATACACACACACACACACACACACACACAGAGAGAGAGAGAGAGAGAGAGAGAGAGAGAGAGAGAGAGAGAGAGAGAGAGAGAGAGAAGTGTTCTAGTGTCCTGTACAGGGCCAAGGAGTTTAGGAGATGCTGAGTCATGGGGACAGGTTTCTTCACCCAGCTCAGCAGTCTGACACATTACTCAACCCAGGGGGAATTTGGGCCTCACTTCTCTAACCACTTCACCCTGAAACCCACGTCAATTAGATAGTAACCTTTCTCAAAACAGAACCCAGACTGGGAAGTATTTGTCTATTTAATTAAATATAGTGGCATTTCTAAGAATAACAAAATAGGCAAAACCAAACACTTTTTATTAATTCCTGTGTATAAGAGAAAATATTAACAAGTTAAATACAATACCCAATTTTCAAGATAAATGAACAGAAGGAGAATTTCAAATTTAAATAAATTAAGAGGATTCATCTGGACTGAAAGATTGGGTCTCTGCAGGGGACCGGGTTTAGAACCCTGGCAGATGCTCAGGTCCTTTATACAGAAAATACCTTAGTATTTTCTGCACAGCAAGAAACAAACTAAACACCAAAGCATCCCATTACACGCTGCTAGCTCAGTTCTTCAGGAGCCACTCAGCACAACTCAATCCTAAATATTTAACTTTTCATCTTTATAAAGGGCCTTGAAGAACACAATTTCCACGCAGCTAGAATTTAATCTTCAGCATGTTACTTTTACTACTTGCAAAGAAAATCCTGTAATATAATTCCAGATTTAATTTACCAAATGGAGTGGTCCAGGAGGGGGGCTAGGTATTAATGATAGTCTCGCAGCAAAATCTTTTATATGATTGTCAACTTCAAAGTCTTTACAGAGCTTCAGATGAGTCAATAAACTGAAACAAAGAAAAAAAAGTCAAGTCACAAAACAACAGTGAGAATCCAGTTGTCATCCTTAGTCTTGCTAATCAAGACAACTTCTCCTGAAGGATCTGTAGGTTCAATTTCAGCACCTTCCCGGGTTATCAGACAGTGGATCCTCCGGGTGGGGCTCCCTGGAAGGGGCCTCAACAGGTGAGTGTTTTCTGAGGGGGAGGGGGATTGAGTATGGTCCTGTTCCACTTTCCATTCCAGAGCTGGTTATTTGTGTGTGTCCATTTGTGAAAAATTCCTGGAATGTGAGTGCCGGTTTGTGTTGTTACACTGATGTCAATAAGGAAGAAAAATCCAAAGCCACCTTGAAGGGAAGAACTTGAGAAACTTTGATTCCAAATGGACGCTGACGTTTAAGTATATGACTTAAAGACACTACGTGCAAGTGGGTGCTTAGGGCAGAAGGACTGGGAACTGACTGTAAGGGTGCGAGGGAATCTGGCAACTGAAACATCCCTTATCACAGTCGTGGTGGTTACACAGGTATGTGTATGTGTCGGAGTATGTCCACCCATACAACTCCATGGGTAGGCATTATTGTATCGTGTCTATTACACTACGATCAAGTTGCCTCCTAGAAATTTGTGTGTAAAAGCATAATGGTCTCTTTCTCTCTGCAGGGGACCGGGTTTAGAATCCTGGCAGATGCTCAGGTCCTTTATACAAAATGGGATGATTTTTGCATAAAATCCACACAAACCTTTCTATATACTCTACATCATCTCTAGATTACTTACTTACAATAACTGATACCGTGAAAATATTTGTTATATTGAATTATTCTAGGAAAATTACAGGGAAAAAATTTGCACAAGTTCAGTTCAGGCTCAATTGGATACGTGATGTGGACCCCAGGGATGTGGAACTGCAGACCTGGAGAGCAGCATACAAATTAAAAGAAACACAAAACAGACACGCTTTCCGAGAAGCCCAAGAATGAACACTAATGCCTGTCTGCCTAAATTCACTCACTACTCATTTGCTATGTTCACTCATTTGACCAATTATTTTTTAAAGTGCAATAGGTCAGCCCTTGAGTCTGATGGGGAAGAAAAAGAAGCTCAACACAGAGCAACACGAAGGCCTGGAAGACACCACTGAGTGTGTGTCCAGGGGTGGCCACAGTGCTAGGAGCACACCCCACAATCACAGCTGACCTCCCAGGAAAAGCTGCCCCCTGCCCATCCCCACCACCATGCAAGACTACTGTATCACAGCAATTCAAAGCACTGTTACTTTAAGGAACAAATAGTACTTACTTATGCAGCCACTGTCAGGATTTGGAGATATTTTGATAAACTTCCATATTTCCACTTATTATAAAAACGTAACAGCACCAAAGTAAAATTTAAAAAGAAAATTGCCCATAATCTATTCTCCCAAAGACAACAAAAGACATTCTCGGGGCTGGAGATTTAGCTCAGCGGCATAAGCGCCTGCCTTGCAAGCAGGCAGTCGTGAGTTTGATCCCTGGTACCGATAAAAACGAAAAAGACAAAAAAAAAAAAAAAAGACATTCTCTCCAAAATTGTGACCTTGTGCATAGTACCGCTGCAATTGATGAACAGATGGTTTAAAAATATAATACCTATTGACACGCGGCATCTTGTCTTTCTGTCTGTTATGGTTTGTGCCTAGATGTCCTCTCTCATGCAGACATGGTGGCAGGCTTTTTGGGATGTAGCTGAATCTAGAATTTGTGACTGATTCATAGTGCAATGCTGGGATTAAAAGTGTTGGGATTAAGGCTGGGTGATTGCTAGACTACTCCACTGATTGGATTGGCAGTGCCCTAGTCCAATCTGGATAAAAAGGACAGAAAGAGACCATTTCCCCCTTTTTTTCTTGTTGCTTTTACTGTCTTCCACTACCATGAGCAGCTGCCCCTCTGCCATGTGCTACCTGCCTTGGAGCCAGTCAATTACATCTATAAACCATGAGCTAAAACAAACCTTTCCTCCTTTAACATTGGGTGTCAGATGTTTTGTCTCAGCAATGCACAAAGTAAGTAAAACATCAGCTATATTTTAAGAACCAAAACATGAAAGTACTGGAATTTGAATTACAAATGCTAATTTGAAATAGAAGTTTCAAATTCATCAAATCATTGCTTGGCATACTCTATGACAAGGTGTAAGGTCTACAGCAAGTGTCCTTAACAGGGAACCATCTACAAGCCCCTCATCATGTATGGACTGCTCTTCACTGTCATGACTAAGGGACTATGGAACTGTCTCAGTCTTTTTTTTTTTTTTATCTTTTTATCGGTACCGGGGATCGAACTCACGACCGCCTGCTTGCAAGGCATGTTCTTATGCCGCTGAGCTAAATCCCCAGTCCCTCCATTCTCAGTCTTTAATCAACTACAAATTCTACAACTATGACTTCATGAAATTTATTTCAAAGCAACTGATTGTCATCTGCATTTGGGGAACTGGTCCCTGCCAAACTTGGGGTCTCTCCCATCGCAGTAACATCCTCTGATAGTGAGATGCATCAGGTTCTACAAATTCTTTCCCAATTTTTTCAAAATGTTTTACATACTCAGGCTTTCCACTTATTAGTAGCTATAAGATAATTATAAACTCCACCCAAAAATCTAAGTTATTTTGTTGGGGTGATGGTGGTGGTGATGATGGTACTGGAAAATAGAACCTAGTGCACTCTACCACAAAACTATATCCCCAGCCTTTTTAAAGTTCTGTTTTGGGGCCAGGGATTTAGCTAAGTGACACAAGCACCTGCCTGGCAAACATGAGGCTGTGAGTTCGAACCCCCGGACCAAAATAAATAAATAACAAAGTTTTGTTTTGAGACAAGGTCTTGCTAAATTACCCACGTTTAGCTCAACTTATAAGCTTCCAGCCTGGAACTTCCTGGGTTGTTGGAATTACAGATTTGTACATCACACTCAAAAAGATAGGTTTTAGGGGGCTGGGGATTTAGCTCAGCGGCATAAGCACCTGCCTTGCAAGCAGGCAGTCGTGAGTTCGATCCCTGGTACCAATAAAAAAGAAAAAGACAAAAAAAAAAAAAAAAAAAAAAAAGATAGGTTTTAAAATGTCAATAAAACTTATCAGCACTGGGGACGCTGCCCAGTGGTAGAAAACCTGCCTAACATGGACAAGGGCCTGGATTTGATGTCTAGTACCACCAAAGTAAAAAACACCACAACTGTGTACTGATATGTACACAGCTGGTTAGGGTATTTCTTTATCCCCTCAGTTGGCTTTAAGCACTGCAAATGGGTCTAGCAGAGGTGCCAGTGTGTAGTCTTTGAAGCAATGTGACAGGTCAGTGAGGCCACACCTATAACTCCCAAGTAGTATGTGTGAGCTAGGTCAAGAAATCCCATGCTGTCAACCGACACTGAGCTTCAAGAAAGAGGCAATGACATCTTAGGGCATGGAGATTACACATCAAAACTGAAGCGCTGACCCCCCAAGCACTACATACTGCCCCATCTGTAATATGCAGATTACTCTCTGCGTATCTCTCTCCCCCTCTCTCTGCATATTTCAGAGGTGATTTCAGGCCTCCTACCTGGTCCAGCTCACAGCACTCAAGTACTTCCTGTCCTTCTCTGTTACTCCTCCCTGAGCCGCTCACCTCTTCACAAATTAATAAGACCCAGGACAGCCCTGGGTCAAGGCCTTTGTTTCAGTTCGTCATCACTCCAACTAGACTTAGGACCCTCTTGGTTCCCCACCATTTTAGATATGTATTTATGTCTTTATTTCACCATGGATTGCACTGGAAGTGGTAGATTGGAATGAACTCACTAGACTTTCAATAACATTCCCCTGGGATTACAAATACAAACATCATTGGACTTCGACAAGGTCCAGGGAGGGCTTCCTTTACATAACTTCATAAGAACAAACTACAGCCTCCGAAGAGCTAGGAATAATTTTCCTGGTAAGTGTTTCTTCTCTAAAAACCAAATCAAAATAAACTCCTTCCTATTATTCTCATTTCCAACAGCGTGGCACCATCTGTCTTTCTCTGCCATATCATATTCCTACGTTACCATTACTGGATCTGGGTTTTTAAAGACCTCTGGCTGCCCACCCTGCCACTGGCCCCCATGGTTGGTTTCAGGTGATTCCTCAGCTCACCAAGAGAGGCAGTCCTTGAAGGAGTTGTAGTAGGGGAACCTGGAGACGACACACACTGCAAAGGGCACAAAACAGCCAGCAGCGCCCACCGTACTTGGCCAGGATGGTTCCCAGTGTGCTGTGCCATTGTAGAAACAGCAATCATCCTAGGGAAAAAGCAACAGGGACACTGTCACCCACACCAGCAGTCCTGGCATCCAAGAGTCACACATCAGTACAGAGACAACACAGGGCTGAAAAGGCACCGCAACACATGCCAGTAAGCACCACCTCCCAGCTGCCACCGACAGGGCCCATGTCGGCATCTGCCTCTGCAGGGCACTGAGGTCACAGAGATGCACCAGAGATGCCCATGGCCTGAGGACGAAAAGGGACAGAGTGGGACACATAGCAGTCACAAAGCAAGACAACATCTGCATGTACCTGGGATTTACCCCATGGCATACAGGACAGAGTGCAACTGATTGTATCTTTTGCCTCTGGATACTTAGATAAAGTCATAATGGAGCATGATTCCTTCCTCAGTCATTGAGGACAAGAGGGGCCCCTACCAGCCCTTCAAAGGCAGCTGATTCCCAGTCCATGGCCTTACCTAGACAGCACCTCAACAAGATGAGTGAAATGTGCTCCAAAATTCTAAATCCTCTGAGGAAGGAGAATTGCGAGTTCAAACCTAACCTGAGCAACTTAGTTGCCCTTAATGAGATCATGTGTCAAAACAAAAACTAAAATAGCAGGGGATGCACCAAAGCCCTGGGTTTAATCCTCAGTAATATATATCCCCATGCACTTTGCCCAGCAAGTAAAAGATGGGAACACACGCCCATCAATGGATAAATAGATAAATAAAATGTGTTCCAGCCACAAGAAAGGAATAAGGAAGCTAGGTGCACAGTCATAATTCCAGCTAATTTAGGAGGCTGAGGCAGACGGATTTTGAGTTTGAGGCCACCCTGGGCAACTGTGCAAGACCCGGCCTCAATGTAAAATTTAAAATGGGCTTGGTGCTCAGTGGTAGAGCAGCCCCAGGTTCAATCCCCAGTACAAGGAAGGTAGCTAAAAAGGGAGGGAGTGAGAGGGGGCCCGGGTATAGAACACTATAATGTGAGTGAGCCTGGAAACCATCATGCTAAGTGAAAGTATCCCCGACACAGGAGGCACCATAGTGTATATTCCAGTTACACAAAATCTGCACAGTAGAAAAATCAGAAAAAGTGTGTCAGTGATTGTGGTGCAAGAGAAAGGGGCAGGAAGGGCTTAATGAGTATGAGCTTGGGTGATGAAAATCTTTTGGAACTAGACACTTGTGTTGGTTGCACAGCACATTGCTATGCTTCACACACTGTGAAATGGTTTAAAAGGTCAATCTTGCACCTGCCTGGCAAGATGAGGTCGTGAGTTTGATTTCCAGTACAAAAGAAAAAGGAATGGATATAAAAAGGTGAATCGACCTGGGGATTTAGCTCAGCAGCATAAGCATCTGCCTTGAAAGCGCATGGTCGTGAGTTTGATTCCCGGTACAAAAAAAAGGTGAATCTTATATGTATTTCACAATTGTTTTTAAAAATCAACACCCAATCAGAGAGGGCCACCTACATGCAGGGGTCGATAGTACTGGGCCACCACGCCATAGGTCCTGTTCCCACACACATCAGTCAGCACCAGGAAATGAACATGGTCCTCCTTTGGTTCTGAGGCCACATCCATGCCTCCTGTAGACAGAGTGAAAGGAAGGGACAATCTCAATTGACAATCTTCACGGCGTACAGGACATGTGATGCCCAAGATGTGTCTCCTCTGTAGCCTCTTCTGCTCACCTCTCTCCTTGGGGCCCCACCCCAGCAGCAGCTTCTTTACAACTCCTAAAGTCTGGGGAGCTGGTGAATGATACGATGGGGTCAACACCAAGGTTCAGAGCTGAGACACACCTTCAGGGCCTTCCTGGTAGTGTAGTGATGTTTCTGGACACAGAACCCTGTCCCACACCTGTCCCAGGTTATAACCCTGTGACCAGGCTCTTAATGGGGACCACAGATGGGACCTGAGTATCCTGCATCACCCATCTTAATTCTTTTTAAGACCAGCAAAAACACAAAGCTCAGAAACACAAGCTCACCATTAACTGGAACTGTTAATTTGTGTATCAAATGCACACTTAGCCTCTTTTTCCAGTATACAGAGACAGTGATAGGGAGAGAAGGGGCTCAGAGACATTCTAGAGGCCAAACCAACTTCCTGTGACATCAAAGCAGCAATGCTTCAAAAGCCCCTGCAGCACACCCCATTTCCTGGCAGTCACACAGCCTCTTCCTGGACTCAGCCTTCCAAGCCCTGGGACTGCACTAAATGCTTTCAACTTCACCTGATAGAACTCAGGTCCCGTGCTCCAACAACAGATGGCAGGGGACCCAGCTCCACCCCCCACCCTGCTATCCTCCGCATGCACACCTGTGGACACGACTGCTTGTGTGGCAACAAGGCATACTGCACTCAGGTTGGCCGCAGCACATACTATACCTGGAAAGCACAGCTGGGGTAGAGCATGGAGGTCCACACCACCTGGAACGCTGATATCCTCAGAATCAGGCCCTTTGGAGTCCCCTGGGGAACCCTTCCAGGCCTCTATCTTGGGTTTCTCTCTCTTCTTCCTGAAGGAGCGCCTCCTGCCTTTCCCTAGGGTCGCACAGTTCCCACCAGCTCCCTGGCTGTCCTCTTTAGTGATAAAAGGAGGCACAAAAACAGACAGAACCTCTGGGTCCAGGGAGGAGAGGCTTCTGACTCCCCTCCTCTGGACAACCTGGAAAAGGAACAATAAGAGTCATGCATGGTTCCCTCCTTCCCTGCACAGCACCCTCTGCCTCCCCTCTGCCACAGGCTCCAGGGGCTCTGAGATGTCCTGTAAAGGTACAGAGGGAGTGTCCTTCCCACCTGAGACTCACATCAGTAAATCACCAAAGTTTCTCTTAAGAATTCCCAATTTCAAACATTCACAAAGCCCTCTGAGCCCAGGGCTTCCACATGGAACACGGGCAGCAACAATGTGCCCTCTTGACACAAGCACTGCAGCCCTGAGCCGCATCCTGAGGAGGAGACTGGAGCTCCAACCCTAGCTCTGTCTCCACCAGCCAGCTAGCACAGTCCTGTGCCTTCAAGCATCACTCTCACAGGTACAGGCAGGGGATGGGGGCAAGTACGTAGGTCAGACAGGACCACACATGCCCACTCTGCCCAGGGAGGTCAGAAGCAGGTGCATCCTCACACTCTGCATAAGCATGTTCACTGGCACTGCTCTGCATGTCCCTGGGCCTTCCTTCAAACGACTTCCTGTCCCTGCCAAGCTGGGTGATGGACAGAGGAGTGGGGAAGACCTGATGGATAGGAGAGGAGAGACACTGACCAAATGGTTGCTTGGGATGGGTAAAAGGGGAACACTTAACCTGAATTCTTTTAAATGTTAATTTGGTACCAGGTTGGTTTTGTTGTTGTTGTTGTTGTTTAGTTTGATTTTGTTTTTAGCTATTTATCTTTCCATTCTTTTCCCAAATAATATAAAGAGCAATGGTTAATCCTTTAATCTCTAGTCTGTCCAGGACAAAGCTAACAACAGTTCCTGCCCCAGAGCTGGACTGAGTGTGTACTGCTGCCAAGCTGGTTTCAGATCTTTTAAAGAACTCCTGGTGTAATGAAGTTGTGAGACAGAAGTGGCGCAGGGGCTCAGCTGGCTAAAAATAGAAGAATCTTAGCCGGGGTTTTCTGAATCTACAGGACACAGGAAAGAAGAGGCAGCAGGTGAGGGGTGGGAGGTTGAGCAATTGAGAGTCTTTGTGCCCAGAAAGGGAATCTGGAAGGACTGTACTCTACCTGGTGCAGACCTCAGAGATCACAAAGGGAACAGCCACCTGTCAACATCTCCCAAGAATCTGGAACTCAAAGGGGACCTCTCACAGGGACGGAATTTTACGAGGACAGCATCTTCAGTCAGTAAGGACACTCTAAAGTCAGTGCAGTTATGTATATGCTGCACTTTTCAAATTCTGTCAATAATCTTATATTTGGGGAAAATATACCAGAACTGAAGACCAAACATAGGAGTTTTATATTAGTGCATCTTTTGAAAACTTTTTAGGTCCTACACATGAAAGGAATCCATGTCTCCAGTCACATGAAACCACCTCTAAAACTTTTGACCAAAAAGCAAGAGTTTTGACATAATTAACTGAATATACGCTTGTATGTTTCTTCTACCATGGAGAGTTATAGCCATAAAGCCTTGGACACATCCCCACCATGCAAAACTATCCGTTGATAAAAGTCAAGCTGTGGGAGCGAGTGAGTTGACACCAAGAAACACAGGGGACAGCTAACCAGCCCCTTTCCTGGGGCCTCCATGATCCTGGCTTTCTTCTGCCCTTTCTTCTCAGGTTCCTGGCTACCCCTACCGAGCCACTTCCATCCTGCCTTCTAGACTGGAGTCTTAGGGGCTGGGCCCCAGCACCCAACCTCCTGGACTATCTCATATTCTCAGGGTTCCAGCCACAACTCCAACTGTCCTGCTCCCCACTCAGACCTCTCCACTCCCTCACTATACCCAAATGCCCCCAGTAATCCCCCTGCATGTCAGGGGTTCCTTACAGGTACAACAGTTAAACTCATGCTAGTTTCCAAAAAAAGTTGATCTCTCACCTATATTCTCTGCAGTGAAAATGGCACAGTTTGGGTCTTTGGAGCTGGGACTCTGGGCTGTGGTCCTACTTTTCATTTGCAAACCCCCACCTTGGGATCACTGGTCTGGAAAGATCTCTCAAATCAGTTCACTGCTGTGTCATGGAATAGGGCTTGCAAACCCAGCACCTACACAGCCATAGCTAAGAGTAGGTACAGATTAATCAGAATCAAATCCTTCAAAGGTCTTATTCAGCCCAGGGCTCCCTATCAGCATCTGTATCCATGCTCCCCAAGAGAGGTGCCCTGCTAAATGATCAGATCAGGCACTTTGTAGGATCAACCAGCCCTGCAAACCCTTCTCTGATCTTCCACTACACTGAAAAACATGTCTCTCCATTACCATTACTGCTAATTTCCTGTGTATATATCACACATGTGCATAGGGCACATGATGGTATGCTCCCAAGAAGCAGGTCAGCAGCCCCTAAGCCAGGGTCCCCCAAAGCCATATACAACTACCCAACTCTGGGGTCATAGGACACCCTGCTTCTCCATGCCCTTTGCTCAGCCTGACACCTCCAATCTTCTGTTGGCTCTATCTCCTCACCAGCAAACCCCCTGCCCTCACACCTACTGGAGAGGACCTTGTCCACCCTGAGCCAGATGGTGAGTTTTTCCTGGCCCTTACCACCTAGATCATCACCTCCTACAGTTCCTCGTCCAAGGACTCCACCTCCCCAATACATCAGAATTCCTCTGTCCCCCACAGTGCAACTATATCACCTTGTAGCTTGCAGAGGTGGGGTGAGGTGAAGATTGTACTGTATTTCTGTCCCCACATTTAGCTTTTAGGTGAAGTCCCTCCATTTATACCCCTAGTGCTTGGTGATCTCAGAACTGGATTGATCACAGTGGTTATCACACTAAAGTCAACACACTCTTGTCATTCATTCCCTCTAATTATCTTTAATTAAAAAGATGTCCTCAAAATCTAACCAACATTTGTCCATCAGTTGGACAACAAATGTCCAACGTTTGTCCATTACACATGTGTTTCTTCTTCAAATGGAAATCTCTGTTTTGGATAAATCTCTCCTGATTAGATAAGCAGTAAAGTCTCATTTTCACAAATAACAACAATGTAGAAACAATAAAGGAAACACGAGGACAGGAAGACCCAGGATTCCATGATTCCAAGGTAACACCCTTTGTCCAGCTCAGGATACTTCCTTTCATTTTTTATGCATATGTAAACTAACAACATTTTTTCGTGTTGCAGTCATCCAATTTACACTGTTGTCTTGGTCATTTAACTGCAGTGAGGCTGACTTCCCTGTTCACAGCTGTCACACTATGTGGCAGGTCAGTAATACATTTGTCCCTCTTCTTCTGAGAGGTATCTGGTATGTTCTCAGGTCTTACTGAGATGGCTGAACCCATCATTTCCTTGTTAGAATAAATTTCTGGACATAGATGCCTCCCTCGGGAGTATTCATGGATTATTCTGTGACACATATCCTGGCTGTGAAGACAGGTTCATGTCTACAGACTGCCAACTCCAAGACTGTCACCTCTGCCAGCCTGAGTCAGAATCTGACAGTTATTTCCTGCTCTTCTGTCCCAAACACTGACTTATTAAACCCCTACACAACAGTCACTGTTGTGTTTTTTTAAAAGCTAATTAAAAAGTAAAAATCACAGCACCTAACTCATTATCAGGTTTACTTATAAACTAGATCACACAGTGCCAGCACTCTTAACTGTAAGATTGGTTGTTATTAATGAAATAAAACTAAAAGTAATTTTTTCTATACTCTGGAACTGTGCTCACCAACACAGCTGTGCCATATGACCATTGAAATTTAAATTAATTAAAACTAAATGAGAGCTGGGAGTGTGGCTCAGAAGCAGGGAACTTGCCTAGCATGCGTGTGGCTGAGTTCAGCCTCTAATCCTGAAAAGCAAAAGCAAAAAGCAAACTGAAACATAAAATCCAGTTTCCTCAGCAGCACCAGTCAGTCTCACTGAGAGTGCTCAGCCATCTTATGTAGCCAGGGGACACATATGTATTGGACAAGGTGGACAGAGTGCCACCATCCCACAAATGCTACTGGACAATATTGTCCTAGGAACTGAAAGACAGGGTGCCCCTACTAAAACCATAAAAATGTACCTCCACATACAGCAATTATGCTGGTGACCTACGCTGCAGAAGGTGCTATGAGCACTTTCTGCCATTCTGTGATGGACCTATGATGGGTTCCCTCGCACCACAGCAATGAATAACGGGGACCACACTGCAGCCTAGGGTGGAGGGAAACTATCACTGTAACACAGAATGGGCAACGACCCATTCTGAAGTTCTTTTTCACCATTCCCAGTAAAACAAATACTATCGCCCATTATTTACAAGACAAAACAAAACCTTAGAGCACTATGCTACCTTAATGTCAGGATGGTATTTCTCACAACTCTAGTCTTGTTTTCACATGCCACCAAAAAAGAAATGGAAGAAGCATAGAGAAATGGTAATTTTAAAAAGTAAAATTAAGAAGTATTTTTTTAAACTATGGGCATTCAAAAGAGAAATACTATAAAAATAAAGCTAAATACATAAAATTATACATTTGATTAATTGTAACATTTATGTTAATTTGAAATTTCAATCCATCTCCTAATCTTTTGCTTGTCACATTGGAATTTGAACCCAGGGCCTCATAGATGCTAAGCAAGCACACTACCATTGAGCTATACCACCAGCCCTTTATTTTATTTATTTATTTTTATTATTTTTTTTATTTTGTAACAGGGTTTCAGCAGGCTGTCCAGGCCAGCCTTGAATTTGCAATTCTCCTGCCTCTGCTTCCTGAGTAGCTGGATTACAAGCATGTGCTATCATGCCCAGCTCTAACTCTCCTTTATTTCCTAACCCGTAACTATTTTCCTCTCTACAAATCCCTAGCAGAATCAGAGTATAAAACAAAGAGGATTAATGTTAAACAGAGAGTAGCAAACCATCTCCTCTCACTTGAGCTGGGGAGCACTGCAGCTCAGGAAAGTACCTCTACAAATATTCCAGTTGATTCATCCTGCACTCAAAATATGTCTCACATCAAGCAACCAAGAGACATGCTGCTGTGGCCCAGGAAGCAAAAATGCTGAGCTGCCTAGAAGGCCACAAGTTATTTCCTGATATTTTCAGGTTATTTCCTGTTCTAAGAAAAACAGGGCAACCTCTCATTGGGCAGAGAGACAACTAAATCAACTGATGCAAGCTGGAGTAGATACGCTGACATCAGGGTGGGGGGACTGAGAAGTAAGACAGGTGGGACGCCCATAAATCGTTTCTATGTAGAAGAATGCTTTTTTGCAGAATTCAAAATAGTTTTGTACTAAACTCCAGCAATAGAAACTACAGACACATTAGCAGACATTCACTCTGCTACTTTTAGTAATATTTAAAATTTGTTGGTGACACTCATGCAGCCTCTGCTGTCCGTTTTCCCTGAATAGCCAGCCAGCAATTCCTCATATGCCTTTCCAGTGTCATCAACTGGAAGGAGATGAAAGTACTTCCCCCAGGCACCTGGGCAGACTAGTGAAAACTCCTGGAAAAACGATACAAACAACAATGTCACAGATAATACTAGAGAAACAGAAAAAAGGGACTATAAGACAAACTCAGAAAAAGGCCAAGTTTCAGAAACAGAAAGAAAAAACACAGGAAATAAACAAGGTGGAGGTTTTCTAAAACTGATTTTTTCCCAAAGAAGGGATATAAATTTCCCCACGGAGGGAAGGCAGAAAAAAACAGCTAGGCTTCATCGCACAACTAAAAGTAGAATATTTAAACCTGGTAATTAAAACTTGAGATCACATTATCCTGTGCCTAGCAGAAAACTCAATACTTGGGAGACAATAAATCTTTGTGTCACGAAGGAAATCATTTAATCTGCTAACCTGCAACTATTTGGTTCACTAGACCTCGACCTCCAAGGGGTCCCACCTAGTCAGCACCTTTCTCGAGGTGGGGACAGCCCGGGGACCCAGGACTCCAGGGAGGCAAAACGCCACATAGAAACGCTCCAGCTCACATGAGCAAGCAGCATCGCTGTCACCGCTAGATACAGATCCAGCCAATCTGAGTCCAGAGGGTCCTCAAGGGGAACGGAAGGTGCTCCCCTCTCGGCGTCTTTGGCGAACAGCTGCTGGTCTCAGCTCCAGTCTGGCTGATGGTACCTGCTCTGACGACGGGCGCGCCGACACCCTTCCATCAAGGGCGCGGGGCCCCTCCCAGGGCGTCGAAAGCTTCGTGGACACAGGCTGAGATGCGCAGCACAGGGACCCGCAGAAGGCCTGGGAGGCCCGGGACAGACACGCCAGCGGCCAGTGGCAGTGGGGGTGCCATAGCCGTCCGAAGCCCGCGCCAGGCCAGCTGAGAACCTCCTGATTGGGGCGCTTATTGAGGATGCGCCTGGCCTGACTGTGATCTCCGGTGGTCACCTTTCGCTCTGCCTCAGTTCCCCCGCTGGCTTCTTACCTGCTCAAGACTGCGACGGCTGTCCCGAGAGGCGCCCAGTAGCGCGCACAACTCCACCAGTCCTGAGGGCAGCGATAGGTGCCGCGGCGCCGTCTCCGCCATGGCTGCCCCGCAGACGGCTGAGCGCAGGGCGCTCGGAACCCCGGGGCCACCCAGTGTGGCCCCTGCGCTTCAGCCGAGCGGAAACTTAGCCCTGAGCAGCCGAGCTGCAGCCGCGTCTGCCGTGAGCGCAGCCCGCGGGGCGGGGCCTGGGGGCGGAGTCTTGGGGGAGGAGCACTATCGAGGCGGGGCCTGAGGGGGCGGGGCGGAGACCTGGGGGCGAAACTGGCCGGCGCGCTCCGGCCCTGCAGGGACCGTGGTGGAGGGGAACTGCAAGAGGGCTTTGAAGGGCGGAGCCTGCGGGGAGGGGCGTGGCGGGCCCTGAAGTTGTCCTCTTCGTCACTTCCGAACCCGCATAGTCGGCCGGCACCTACGCGGCTTTGTGCACTGTTTTTCCTTTCTGCTCTGTCCCTCCGTGCAACCACTCCCACACTCCGGAGAAAGACTCCCGTTTCCCAGCAGCGTTCTGCCACCCCGAGGCTCTGATCTGCTCTGCTCTGGCAGTCCCGGTGCCACTCTGAGGAGCATGGAGAGACCAAGGCCGGGCACACCTCCGGTCAGCGCATCCAAGAAGCCCTTCTGTGCTAGGACAGCAGAGTTGGCAGGTGTGGACGTCTGAAAGAACCGGTGGGGGAGGAAGGGTGGTTAACTGCCCAGGTGTTATTAATCACCTAAGGCTGGCCATGGCCAACAAGAGACTGAGTAATATTCAGCAGGAAGTGGGGTGGGATGGCCACCGTGGAAGGGAGCCCAGGGAACTGAGGCTGAGGGTAATCAGGCCGGGCCGGACGCTTCCCTGGTTAGCTGCAGACCTGGCCTGACCATGGGTGAACCGCGAGGAAGGAGGCGGTTAGCGTGCCCCGTCCAGCTGGTACCTGATGACTGGCTGCAGAACTGAAAGGATCTGAGCCCCAAGCCTCCCAACTGGCCTCGCCCCCTCAGAATCCTACCCTAGGCATTTGTTTAAAAAAAAAAAAAAAAAAAAAAGGAGTAGGGGAGAGGAATTCGTCCAAGAAATTTTCCTAGTTCTGGTAATCTAAGGTTCTATTTTTTTAAAAAAAGAAAAACCCTAAAATTCTTAGTGGCAAATATCTGTCATCAGTCTTAACAGGGATTGGAACAATACAAGCCAGTCAAAGTCAAAGTGAGTTGGCTGCGCTGTAAGGGAATTCCTTTCCCTAGGCAAGAGCCTGGACCACAACTTGACTCATCAACGATCTGTTTTAGGGTAATTTCTTTCAAGGTGGCTCGCCAGTCAAAAATATTCCAGGTTCTTCTTACCTCAAAGAATTGGACAAGACAAAACAATAATGGTGTCAAAATGTTTATTTGAAAAGTTTCCCTGGGATCTTGTACTTTCACAAGTCCCTCTCATTTCCCGCAGCCAGTTTTGCCATGCCCTATCTCCTATATACCTGCATGAGTCTGCTGGCTCCCCTTTGTCCTAAGACTACCTGGTCTCAGTGGCTCTCATGTAGTGTATGAGCTATGACAAGTCATTAAAGTCACTGACTTCAAAAGAAGGGCAGACTTTTGCTCATGCTTGCCTGAATCTTTCACAGTGCTTTTATTTTTGTTGTCCTTGACAGAGGGCAGGCCTGAGTTCTTACCTGGGAATCCAGAGTCCAAGACAGAGGTTCACAGGAACCATTGGAACATGAGCCACTGTATGCCTTCAGGGCCTGGACTGGAGTTGGCCTCCTCCATGTTAGTTGTATAACCAGTGGAGAGCTCCACAGCCCAGAAGCTGGGGCTTCCTATTTGCTGAAACACTTCAGGGCAACTGGTGATCAGGATTCTTTCTGGAAGCCCTTGCAACAGGGCTCAAGAAAGAGCAGATTTCTGTTGCCTTTCTCTTTCCTCTGAAAGGTAGAAAGGCTTAAGGAGGGGCTCCTGGTTCTGTGCTTTACAGTAGCCCCCATGGGCTATGCTGCAGGTATTGCCTAAGTCTCCAAGAAAGCTTTGCCTGTCCTTGAAAAGCCACCAATGGGGGTAGAGATGGCACCAATTTGTAATCAAAATCAGAGGTGGAAAAGTCAGATAGAGGTGAGACAGTGAAAACATGTATATGTGTATGTATATAAAAATAGTTAAGATGATTGTACTACTGATTTCTCTGAGGTCATTGAAGAGAAGGATTTGTGCCAGTATTGTCTGGACAATTGAATGCAGATGTCTTGTGCTCTGGGTGAATAATTTGGAGATGACAATGAGCAATGTTTGTACCATTGTTGCCCCTCTGATTGATGTGTTTTTAAATTTTATTATAGTTTTTTCTTTTAATTTTTATCCTTGAAATAAAATGGATTTAGAAAAATAAAATGCAGTAAAAATTAAAGAAAAAAAGCCAGGTAGAGGCAGATGATGCAGATCAATGGACCCAGAGAGTAAAGGAGAGCCCCCAGAGCCTAGCCAGCAGGAACACCTTTCAGGTAAGCAGGTTGCCCCATACTGTCAAAAACCCTGTGGGCTCAATACCCTGCCAGTGGCATACTCTCCCCTCTTGCACAGTTCCATGAAGGGGTTTCCTACGCTCTCTAACACCCATGGTTACTGTGAAAATCAAACAAGGGCATGGATATAAACATAGCTTTGTAAACCAGAAAGTACTGATAAAACAATAGAGGACAGTCATACTGTGAAGTTGTAAGTGACAAGATTGTTCACGTTAAGATGATTTTATAGCATGTGAATTTCATCTGACTTTTTTAAATGAAGTTTGTGAGGACTCTGTAGTACATTAGCACTCCTTGGGACATTTTAGTGGAGCTTCAGGTGTCAAATAAAATTGTTTTTAAAAAAATAAAGACTAAGGAGGATGCTTCATGGCATCTGCTAGTGATTTCTTGGATGTGATCCCAAAAGCACAAGTGACAAAAGAAGAAATAGTTAAATTAGCAATCAAAATGAAAAATAGTGGTGCACCAAAGAACACTATAAAGAAAGTGCCAGGTGCATTGGTGCACACCTGTCACCCCAGCACCCAGGAAGCTAAAGCAGGAGAATCATAAGTTCTGACCCAGCCTGGGCAACTTAGTGACTTAGCAAGACCCTGTCTCAAAATGTAAAAAATTAAAAACTGTTGGGTATGTAGCTCAGTGTGAAGGCCCTAGATTCAGTCCCTAGTACCTTGAAAGAAAGAAAGACCAAAGGCTACTCACAGCATGGGGAAAAAATACTTGTGAATCAAATACATGATAATGGATTACTGTTCAGAACATATAAGGAACTTCTTAAAATCAAGATTGAAATCTCAAAAAGTGAATTAAGAACCTGAATAGATATTTCTCTAAAGAAGATATACGAATGGCCAACAAGCACAGGAAAAGATACTTAACAAAAGAGACTTAGCAAATACAATTCACAATGAGGTCATTTGGTCAACTATTTTAAAAACGATCACTGAAAATAAATATTGGCAAGGAGAGATTAGAACCTTTGTACATTGTTTGGCTTACTTTCTTGCTGCAGGGACAAAATACATAACATCCACAGGTTAAAAGGTTTTGTTTTGCTCACACTCTGTAGAGTATAATCTGATTACAAGGCTGGGAAACAGCAGAGGAGAAACAGCTCTCGGCATGACGGGTAGAAAGCAAGGAACCTTTCCCTTTTTATTCCATCCAGGCTTCAAGCCTATTGGTTGGTGCTGCCCACACCTAGGGTGGGTCTTCCCTCTTCAGGAAACGCATCATATACAACCCAGAACATACTAAACCAATCAGTGGAATCATCTAGTATTACACACCCATGATCCAGCCACCTTTCAAAGTCCCGCCTATGAGGGGAGACAACCAGATATAAACCATATTTTTGGATGAGAATGTAAAATGATGCAGCCACTTTTTGTGAGCAGATAAGTAGATGTTCCTTTACTTCCAATGATTATTGTGACTCTGCTGCCACCCTGTTTCATGGAGCTCCCCAGCTGGCTTAAAACACAATTTTCTCAGGTTTTTCTTCTGCTGCTTCTTCAAAGCCATGTGTGATATGGCATGGCCTGTTGTGATATATGTATATAGAAAGACAGGCAACTTTAACCAATTTATTGAGGACTAAGGATGGGGAGGTGTGGGAAGAAAATTGTCTTTACTTTTCTAGGTTAAAAAAAAAAAAAAACAGCAGGCCGGGGATATAGCTCAGCAGCACAAACACCTGCCTCGCAAGCGTGGGTTCAACCCCCAGTACCAAAAAAAAAAGAGGAGACAAATAAATGAATGGGACCCTCAGTAGTCTGCTCCAAAACATTACTTTGCCTTCTGAAGAAGAGTAGAAACAGGCTATGTGTGAACCTCAAGGAATTAGCAGCAGATGGACACACAGCATCCTAGAGCTCATCCCAGCCAGTAGTTCCCTTTTACCCAGCTGCCTGTACAAACCTCAGGTTCTGGATTTGGAGCTAGAAAGGCTGGCTCTTCCTCATGAAGAGTGGCCCCCAATCTCTTTGAGTCTTAGTTTCCTTATCTATAAAAATAGAGGAGTGTCCATTTTGCAGGGCTGGTGGAAAAATTAAAATTCCACTGATGTGGAAAAACTCCACACATACAACAGGATATGCCAGCATGATCATTGTAACTGTCTGCACAGAAAAGTCAGTAAAAAGCTTTGGGGCATGTGTGTAGTCAGGCCCCAAATGATTGCGCCAACCATCCCCATCCCTGCCCCACTCCACAGCAACTTTCCTGACATGCACCCTTTCCAGCCCAAGACACACATCCCTGGTTGGCCTGACACCCTCTGACTAGTCTTTCCACACTACAGTACCTCAAGACCCTGACCCAGGATTATGACTGTTTTGTTCTCCAGTTGCCCAGTGCCAATTCTGATCCAGTATTTCCTCAACATTTGAGCTTGTATAAGTTCATCTCTCTAGGCTTTGGTCTCTCACTGTATGATGGGGATAATAACATTAGTACCCAACTTCAAAGTCCTGGGAGTGCCCTGTCACTTGGACCATGGTTGGTGGCAAGCGAGCATGCAGTGGGCATAACCTTCTACTACAGTCACTCATAGGAAATGTTCAGAAGGGCCTAACCTCTAAATCGATGGCAGGTGGGGATCAGGCCATGTTGGCACAGCCTCCCAGACAGAGTACATGGCACTAGCCACCTACACACAGCCAGCACCTAACCAGGTGCACTTGGCAGCCCTTGGATGCCCTTTGCTGTGGGATAACTGGTTTTATTGCCTGAGTTACTTAAAGAATAATCACATATCTGCAAAGTAGGGATCTGAACAATGCAATGTGACCAGAGAAGAATGTTCACTGCATTAATGATGAGACACAAACCTTCCAAATCCCAGCTTCTCATTCTACCTGTGAGACTCAGGAAGTCAGCTGACCTTGGTTTCCTCATTTCTGTTTGGACATTTCTTGAGCCTCTATGATGCTATGATAATAGATGGAATCAATACTAAGTTAAAATAGGGGAGAAGGTGTGTATGCAAGGAGGGCAGGAGGCAGAGACTGTTGTGAATATGGAGAAGTGGGATCCCAACCCTTGGGAGATCCAGGCAAGAGGAAAAACCCAGAACCAACCATGAAGATGGAAGACGCATTTTCCAGAGGAAGGAAGGGATAGAAGGCAAGGTAGGCAAGGCTGTGGGAACAGTATGGTGTGTGCACAGCATGCAAGGGTGAGGAGTGATAGAGCATGGTGCAGCTAAGAAGCGTCTGCCTCATCCCTGCGACTCTGCTCCCACCCGGGAACAGGGGCCAGCATGGCAGGGGCTCCGTACACACTACAGGGAGGGATGAAGATAGCTTCAGAGCGGCAGGGCCTAAGAAGGCTTGGGCACTGTGCTCAGGAGGCTGACATCTGGTCTGGGGATGGCAGCAGGCCCAGAGAACCTTGACAAGGAGAGAAGTCAGTGCACAGAGCCATAGGCCAAGGTGGCGGCAACTGTGACCACTACAGCATTACATTGGCCTCAGCCTGGTGAAGTGCAAAGAGGGAGACTGGAGTAGGAAATGGACCCAACGTCTGGCAAGCTGGGGTCGGAGTGGGGAGACGTAGCCCTAAGTTTCTCCTCCAGGACCCTGGAGACTCAGCTCCCAGACCACCACCCCACAGCCAGCCACACTGCACTCCCCTGGCTTGTTGGTCTGTCCCCACATGTCTGTGAGGGTTCCTCATGGCTGAAATGCTTCTGCTTGTCCTCTCAGCAGGTCCTCACTCATGAGTGAAAGCCAGGAGCACCAGGCCCTGGAACTAGGGCAGACGAGGGACGAGAGTCGCTAGGGATAGATTTGAGACAAGTTAGCCTTGGCGGGACTGTGGACATAAACTCAGGGTCATCCTGCAGACTGCACTTGTACACCTGTGTGCATCTCTGTGTGCTTATGCATGTGTGTTTAACAGCTTGTGTGCTTCAGTGCTAAGGGCCAGGTGACTGTTCTCTCTGGTAGGAGAGAGAGGGAGGGCTGTGAGGAGCTGCAGCTCTGTTACAGAGGAGAAAGTTTTGTGAGCTCTGGGCCACACATCCAGAAAAACGATGGTGTGATGGTGACCCTGAGTTGGCACAGATGTCCTAACACCCCCACTGCAAGAGAGACCACTTTATCCAGTGCCCCAGCCTACCCCCTCCTGCCTTTTCTAGCTATTTTCCCGTTTGTTAGAAGTTTTCGCTTTAAAAGATATAATAATAATAATATCTAAGAGAAGCCATGTGTTGGAAAACGCTCACCTGGGGATAGTGCAAGCTCTGAGTTCAGTGTCCCTTAGGGCTTACAGAGGACAACAATAGCTCTGCACTGACTGCTGCAACAAACCCCTAGGGCCAGATCCTGCCCCAAGCCGCTGGGAGCCATCAGATGGGTCAGGCCCAGCAGCTGGGGTTCTGGCGATCCCCAGGGGACCTGAGTGGCAGCTGAGCCTCACTGCGGTTGGGCCATTGGGCCGATACTGTGTATTGTTGTGTGCAAAGTGGAAGGAGAGATACTCACTCCAGAAAGAGGAAGCCGTGGCTCTGCTCCACAGAATTGCCTGGGGACATCCTGTGTGCCAGGCTGTCCTGCCTAGTAGTTCCAGTGCACAATGGGACTGAACTAAGGGGGCAGTTAGAATCCGCACTGTTGGTGCCCTGGAAACACCTGGGGGCTGGGTGACTGGCCCATCTGTGGATGCCAACTCCCCGCATAGGCACATGTGAACAGGTGCATATGACTCTGATGAATGGGAGAAGGGAGGTGTCCTACTGTCCCCCGACCCTACATATTCCACACAAGCACTGTTGGCTGGATGCAGCGACCTCATCCTGAGTAAAAATAGTCAGAGGATATCATGGTACCACTTAACAAAGTCTAAGAGTGAACAGAGCACATTTAAGTAAGAAATGTCCAAAGAAGAACTGGGTGCTGTGTACCAAGTTCAGGCTGTCAGAACCCCCAGGGATGTGAATGGGAGGAGTCTTGGTAGCACTGAGTCCTATCAACTGCTGGGGGAGGAAGTGTTCACATTACAATGTTAGATGAGCTTTTTTAAATATGTACTATCAGAAATAAATCAATCCAGTGGCTGTGTCTATTTCTGGAACACTATTGTGTTTAAAACAATGCAACCTCCCCAACCTGGGAAATATCCCACACCCTGGCCCCCCAGGAAAATAGACTAGGCCTAGGGAAAAATCAGCCAAGGAAGAGTGACCAGAGAGATGAAAAGGGAAACCTGGCCACTGCCTCTTGGATTGTCACAGCCAGTGGCTCAAAGTGGTCAGAGGCTCAGGAAGACTCTGACACAGAGCTGTCTTCCTGACTGAGGGAAGTCTGTTCCCGCCCCAGGAAGGTCACCCTGAAAGAAAATCCAAGGAAGTTGCATTGCTTTTGGCAGCAGAAGCTGTACCCAGCTGAGACTGTGTGTGCACTGGGGTCAGAGTTTGCATGGCCGGGTGGCCACACTCGTTCTTAGCCTCATCTGTGTGAAGAAAGACAGGAAGCTGTGGTCTGCCCGGGCTGTGTGCGTGGTCAGGAAGGAAAGGGACAGATGTGAGAACTTTCAGCTCATCTTGACTGGTGATCAAGACCAATAAAAATAAGCAACTGACAGTAAATTTGGGCAGGAGGGGATGCAGGTGCCGGCCCTGCCAGCCCAGAACCAATGGGGATACTCATGTGCCCCAAGGTTGTTCAAGGCAATTCTCTGCACCTGCTACTCTCCCTGGACTGCCCAGGCCCCTCGTCCATGGTAACTCTGACTGCCTTTCATCTGCAGGATGCCTCCTCCAGGATGTCCTTTCGCCTGCCACTCTACTTCCTGCACCCCAGCTCATGTTGACTTTGACCATGACCCCACTGGCAGGCAGGTCCTTGTCCTTGGACTTCCAGCCTCCTTTTTCTTGTTCCAGGACCCCAGCCCAGCTCCTCTCTTGTGCGCATTTCTCATGAAGAGCCCAGTGGAAAAGCCTCTGCCATTGGAGACAGACAGACCTGACCACAAGGTCCACCCCACACCAGCTGCAAGACAGGAGAAATAGCCACACAAACTGGGAGGGACTACTGTGAAGGAAAGGGTGCTGGACAAGCATTCCACCTAGGCCCACTGCTGGGTGATGGCCAGTGAATGCCTGGTGCTCTGCTCCACCTAGCCTGAGCCCTGGAGAGCCCAGCTGTTGTTCTCACCGCTCTCTGGGCTGATGATAGTAACAAGACTGCTGCTTGTTCCTTTGATTGATGTTCTGTGCTGTATATATACACATGTATTCTCTTTCTCTATGTCTCTCTGTCTGTCTCTGTCTCTGTATCTGTCTCTCTCTGACTGGGGACTGGACACAGGGCATTCACACTGAGCTACACCCTCAACCCTTTTTTTTAAAGAGACAAGATCCTAATAAGTTGCTAAATTACCCAAGTGATTCTCCTGCCTCAGCCTCCTAGGGTGCCGGAATTCTAGGCCATCACACCGGGCCCACATGCATTCTCTTATGAATTCTCTCAGTAGTCCTTTGGGAATGTATCACTGCATTTCACAGATGTGGCCCCTAAAATTCAGCAGCTCAGCCACGTAGCCAATATAGTTAAAAGCATGGAAGCAGGGGCTGGGGATTTAGCTTAACAGCATAAGCATCTGCCTTGCAAGCAGGTGGTCGTGAGTTCAATCCCCGGTACCAATAAAAAAAAATGTAAAAAAAAAAAAAAAGCATGGAAACAGAAATGTGCACCCCAAAAAGTTTGACACCAAAGCCCAGGCTATAACCCCTAAGGCACTACTTTGCTAAGTGTGGCCCCAGTCCTCTCACTGGACCTCCATAGGGGCCCTGCCCTCATCCTCATCCTCCCTATAGGAACTCCTACAGTTTTCTTTGTGGACAACAATACCTCCAACAGTAGGTTCTTTCTTATTGTTACAGGGTATTGTAAGGCCATCTGGCCAAATTCAGACACCTCTGCACCTCCTCCAGCCCCAGAGAAAGTTCAAAGTGGCTTCCTCCCATTCATTCTTGTAGCATGCTACAAACACTCTGGTGTGTCCTGTGCACCCACACAAGATATACACTAGCAATGATACTCTGGTAGGCTGTGGTCTGTCTATCTCCCCATTCCCTGGGCTGTGGATCTAGCTGGGTTATGAATGCAGCACCCAGCAAGGAAGAACAGAGACAAGAGGGTTCCAGAAGGCAGAAGGGCTCCTACAAGGATGTTCTGCAAGGGCTGCCCCATCAGACTGGAACAGACAAAACACATTCCCAAGCCAGAAGCGTGTGTGTGTGTGTGTGTGTGTGTGTGTGTGTGTGTGTGTGTGTTAGGAAAGCCTTTGCCCTGACAGGATACACTCTTTCCCAATGGCCCAGGAGGGTGGTCTCCCTGCCCTCCCCCCAAAGGAGAACTTGGCCTTGCCTGTGCCCTTACAAGCAAGTGGTAAGGCTAGAAGGCAGGCCTGGGAGCCTAGGACAACACTAAGCATTATCTAAACTCTGTTCCCTGCCTGTCCCTCCTCACCTGCAAGGCCAGAGCCAGGCTGGCCACCAGGATGGATGCCCAACCCATGCCCAAGCCCAAGAGAGAGAAAGAGAGCCATGAGGAGTACAGGGTACCCTCTGTGTCCCATTCACCCCTGGTCTAATAAGGCATTCTTTCCTGGCACCTGGAACCTTTCCAGGAACCACACACAGGTCTCCAGGAGCCCTGAAGACTCATCTACTTCCCCATCTAGGAATACACACACACACACACACACACACACACACACACACACACTCAGAGAGAGACCTGGCCCTGATCAAGGATAGAGAGGAACCTTCCACAGGGGTGGGTATTGTGAATCAGACAGTGACATAGGCTTGGGTAAATTTCATCACATAGTCTGGAAAAGCTTAGTTGGGCAGGGGGAGTCAGCTACACCATGGATTTGTTAAAACTTACCAAGGATTTGGGCCCAGAAACCTTCTCCTTGCTCTAAAGTGGGTGAGACTCGCTAGAGTGGGTCAGTCCTGCAGTCCTACTTTAGGAGCCTTGGGAATGAGTACAGAGAAGGGGCTGCATGCCCAGGCTGGGTCGTGCTCACCTGCTGGGTGGGGGTACTGCAGATGAGGGCTCCCCTTCCTGCCTTCTTTCATTGCCCCCACTCTCCCTAGGATGTGAGGGTCACCGAAAACTCTCCTGAGCTCTGTCAGCTCAGCTGTTACCTCTAGCCATTCCCCATGGCCCTCACCCCTTCTCTACTCCTCTCCAGGTTATGGAACACATCTCTGCATGCTCTCATGGTGGAGAACAACTGTCAGGGCCAGGCCAGCCTCTGAGTGTGACTTCTGAGCCTGGACATCTCCTTATGGAGCCCCTATATTTCTTGAACTCAGCTTCCTTAGCCCAAGCTGCCCCTCCAAACCTGTTCCTCTCAGAGCTCACTTCAGCCACCATGGTCCTCTTCTCTGCCAACCAAATCAGACCCCTAGATCAGCCTGGCCATGTCCTGTTCACGAGCTGATGCAATCAGCCAGGCACAGCCCTGCAGGTGCTACTGCTGGCCACTGGCCACCCATCTGGCCTTCCTGTCCCCACCCAAAAATGAGCCCCAGCTTCTCAAATCAGACCCCTTTAGCCCTGATTGCTGGGAAAGCAAACATCAAGATGGGCTTATCCAAGCAAGAAATATATCGGAAGAATGCCTGTGAGCTACTACGGGTAGCAGCTGGGAAGGCTATGGGAATCCTCAGAACCTATGCTGGGTGAATGGTGCCCCCAGGATCATCATGTGAACTAATTTGGAGCTTAAGTGTTTGCAGATGTGATTAGCTGAGATGAGGTCATCCTGTAATTCCATGACTTCTTAGGGAAGAGGAAAGGACACGGAAGTGCACACAGCACAGAGAGCACGTGAAGGCAGAGGCAGAGCCTGGGGAGACTCAGACAAAAGCATGGAGTATGACAATCTGTTGGCAGCCACTGGAAGAGGCAAAAAGCTTCCTCTAAAGCTCTTGGCAAGAGCCAGCTCTGTCTTGTGCAACTCTGCCTTGAGTATGCCCAGCACCGTGAAAGGCATGTGCACGTAGTCTGTTCAAAAGCATTGTTGGGAGGCTGAGACAGAAGTGCAATCTCAGCCTGGGCAATATAACAACTTAGTGCGACTCTGTCTCAAAATTTTAAAAACCTAAAATGGTTGTTGTTGTAGCTCAGTGTGAAGGCCCTGGGCTCAGTCCCCAGTACTGAAAAGAATGGGGGGGCATTGTTTCAACGAATGAATGGACAAGTCTTGCTATGTTGTTCTGCCCGCCCCCATTGTGCAGTTCTGCCCCTCAGGGCTCCCAGCAGGTAGGGGCCCCTAGCCCTGCTCTCCCCCACCCCCCGGGGTTGGGATTCCCCATCTTCCCCCGTCAAGCCCTGCTCTCCCCCTGTTCCGTCTGTGGTAGCACTGGCTCACAGACATGCACAGCACCACAATGTCCTGAACAGTGACCGCTAGGTACCAGGTCTGCCTGTTCTGTTCCAGCACTGCCCAACATCTGAAATCAGCCACGTGCAAGTTCAAATATACACGATTTCACCAACATAGTACAGAAAAAGATCGCAAACTATCTCATGACTAACGTGTAAACCAGTTACATATTGCCATGGTATATCTTTGCTATACTGAGCTACATAAAATATATAATTAAAATTAATTTTACACATTTCTTTTTACTTGTCTTAATCTGGTTTCTAAAATTATACCTGTGACCCAAATTCTATTTCTGAATAGCGCTTACCCTTTTTGTTTTTTTGTGGTACTGGGGACCTAACTCATGACCTCGTGCTTGTCAGGTTATCCATCTTTTAATCAATCTCTTGAGAAGGAAGTCTCCCAAGACAGTTCACTAGCCCACTTCATGAAATTTTAATTGAGCACTTATTAAGGGTCAGGGATGTGGAGATAAGTCAGATAAATTCTTGCCTTCTATGATCTCCCAGCATCAGGTAAACTTCCTTGGGCCATACTCCAAGGCCAAGAGGACTCAAACCCAGATCATGGAAGCTGCTGCATGTGACACCCCAAGTGCATTAAGTGAAGATGTTGGTCTTTCCTTCTTGGAAACACTGGTTCTACCAAAAACCCAGAACTTGGAACCAGGCTGGAACTGGCTGGGTGACTTTTTCTAAGTCAAGTAGGTAGTCATCCCTAGGGTTGTAGAGGGGGAAACTGAGGTAGTGTTGAGGCACACCTGCATGTTTGGCTCCACAGCACACCAGCAACCTCACAGGTCATGGACTCCGATTCCATTCCACTCCATCAAACACAGACAGGGGAGGAGGACTTACAAAGAAGACATGTATAGTTTTGGATTTCCTGTGGGGTTTTTCTTACAATCATCTTGAACCTATTGTTGTTGAGCCCTTCTTAGAGAAACCACATGAATCTACAATTCTGCTCTTTCCCTTAACCTGAAATCTTTATTTAAACTAACATTTGGTTATGTAAAATAAGATTACTTTTCCTAAGATGACCACATGCATCTCAGGCCCTTGTGATAACTCACAAGACTGTTGGGTCCCCAATTCATCAGAAAGACCGTTCTTGTCACTTCACCATGCCGGCAGAAGTGTGGTGATTGCCAGCAAGGCCCCAAGTTTCATTTTCCCTGAAAGCAATTCTGTCTCCCTTTGATTTTCGGTATCACGGGAGCTAAACACCTGCTCTCATAGCATATCAGTGATCTGTTATAATCTTTCTGACTCATTTGTACTTGAAATATTTGGCAAATGTTCCCTTGGCTCCCATTTGGGGAGGGGAGCACCCAGAGAAAGAGAAAATGATCTTTACGTGATTTGTGCTACTTCTGCATGGCTTGAGTTTGGCAGAGTTCTTGTTAACTTGCTCATGTGAAGAAACACTGCATATCAGTAACAGCATCACTTGCTGAGCTTTAGAGTCACTGGTCCAGGGGTATAACTCAGCAGGGAGCATTTTCCTCACGTGCACCAGGCCCTGGCTTCCATTCCCAACACACACACACACACACACATACGCACACATGTATGTGCGCACACACAAAGATTTCTGGAATCATTATATAGTTTCACTATTGTTGGGGCCCAGAGAATGACATTCTAAACTTTAGTGCCTTGGCATGCTAAGGACTTTGCATGGAAGGACACCGGAAGCACCTTTCTGGCCAATTCCTGCCCTTGGTTCTCTGCCCCCCACCACCACCCATCAAGGCAGCCCATAAGACCAGACTCCTTCTCCCCAAGGTAAC